GAGATATAGAAGCGCTCCAAAGGCCAGAGTCCCAACTTAGACTTCAGCCGATCCAACAAGGTACCTAAGTGGGTTGACTTTATTCGGAACTTAGATGTCCAGGCTTGCGTCAGTAATTGCGAGTAGCACAAGTGGGCTTATGCCTGGACAGGAAGTTGTCGATCAAACATATGGACAAAGACATGATGGAATAGGTCTTCGAGGACCTGCCCGCTTGAATGGCCTGACGTGTTACAGGTTCATCTGCTCTATGGCTTGCGATCACCCAGCTCTTACAGCCGATGCAATTCCGAGAGCCTGTACATCCGAGTGAGCTCGTCAGGTCACGTTGTAAGAAGGCACAAAGTATGAATTCTGAAAGAGGCCAGCCAAGTGCAAGCGGTATCTTGGAGTGGCTTGTGGTGGCACCCAAGAGGTCAACCCTGCAGCAGTGAAGGTCCTGCATGGTACCATGGAGCCCCAGAAGTAGAAATCGAGCGGGAGCCGAGAGAGAAAGTAAAGGCTATTCCATAATACCTATACACTGCCCGTTATGTCGTGACACGATAGAGGATGCGACGATGCGACAAAGGCCAGCGTCGTCTTCCGGAAGACGTGCCTGACAACGTTGACCATCTCTCGGAAACTGCTATTGTTATTCCAATGGTCATCTCCGAAAAGACTGCACAGTCAGTAGTAGGGAAATATGCGGCTGGAATGTGAGACAATGTGTGAGAGAATTATCTCCGGATAGCCAAAGTTCCAAGGCTCCAAGCACCAGGCATGCAAGAGGCTGGCTATGAATACAATGTGACTCCTCTCGGATGTGCTGATTCTTGAACTCACGCAAGGGCGGTCTGCAACATATCGGCTCTACTTCAAAAAATCTACTACACGGCTGCATGTCTATAGTGATTATTGCCCGTTGGTACCTGTCTCCCAAGTCTCGGGGTAAAAGAATAAGTAGTTCAAGAAGTATAGACCATGTAATGTAAACTGACCTGCTGATTTTGTCTCTCATGTTTCAAGCGGCCGACTTTTCTGATACCTGAGATCTGTAATTAGGAGTTGGGCAGGTTTCTCCTGAGGCTGAAACGTACATACGCTTGGCTGCCAGGGTTTTATCTCACCTGCAGCAAGAGTTGCAGGCGTTGCTTCAGAGTTCTCCCTGCGTGACCGGATCTCACGTTCTTGCTGAGGGGTTTGAGACAAACATCACGCATACATAGCGAAAAGAGACTGCATATGTCGGTGTCTTGCGACAAAAAAAAGCAACATTGAGGTAGCCTTGCGTGCATTAAGCACGGACAAATACGTGTCTATTCATGTAAGGAATAAGAGCGAGAACAAACAAACCTTGTGCATAATATGATGACCCCTCTTATACGATGTGATAATTGAGAGTGAATGACGGACTGTTGGGTGGAATTCTCCGAAGGTTGATCAGTAACTTACGCTCTGTACTTCTTGGTTCCAATTCACGATATCAAACCTAGAACATTGTTTCGTGCAATACTTAGCGCCTAGAAACGGAACAATAAGCTGGGCGCCTACCTGTCATATAATTCTGTAATCTTGACGGTCAGGACCTGGATAACGCTTGAATCACAGTATGGGGAGTGTAAGGACAGGACGTGGGACGTGGGACGTGGAACTCCGAGCTACTGACTTGGCCGAAGCACTTGTAGCCATTGCCGATACTGGTGAGATAAAAGTAGAGTCTGGGTCGCGCCGATATTTGCCTTGTACCAGTCCATCTTCTTGTACATTCGGGTCTTCACTAGTTAGTCTTTTGGCCAGATCTCAGGTGAGCCACAATGGAAATTTTTTGGCACAATTATGAAGTTAATGATAATGATCCGAGTTTGAGACATATTCAGAATCTTCGGATTTGTTTGCTTGTTGGCTCAGGTGTTCGGATGATAATGTTGAACAAGCTAATTGGACTTATTCACCCCTTAAGCGTGAAGTCGCCCAGACAGCTTTTTCGGGAGGGGGTGTGTCATCCCAGATATCCGTCATGAAACGCGGGAATAAGAGCCAACCATGTTGTATGCATTGTTCTTTGACGAAGTACGTACCGACAGAGGTGGAAGAAGACCGTGATTAACGAGATGCCAAGCCAAATGACAAATATCCTGCTCAGCGTACGTACGCATCATTGTTTGTTTGAACAGAATGTACGTATGGGGCTCGACAATCAAGGAAAGCTGATCACCCAACAGCATCGGCAGTTGTTGACGAAAGGCTATGAAGTTCTTTCCGAAAGTAGGGGGAGATTGACAGCCGTTTATGCTTCCTGTACCACCAGAACAAGAATGTGACAGAACAAAACGGAGTCCTGCTGTTCTCCCAAAGCGTTTGACACGGAGAGCATGCCATGTAGTGAATTAGCCACCGAGTCGTACTTTTCCCGCTGGATAACAACTTAGGTGCAATAATGACTAGGAGAGCTAGCATAGGTACCATGCATTCGTGGCCCAGCATTCAAGACCCAGCAGGGCGGACCAGAAGAACACCGTCCCGGTACGCCATTATAGCGTAGTCACTCTGCTGGTAACCACGGACTAGGCGCCGAAGGTTCAGGAAATGTAGAAAAGTGCGATTGGAGGTGAAGAGGCCCAAGCTTGAATAGACAGAAGCACCGGGGCAATGGTTTGACAGTCGTCACAACCCGAGATTTAGCTTAGAACAAGGAGGAGCGGACACCAGAATGTGAGTGGCATGGCAAGCATTAGTCAGTGCCTAACATGAGTATTGCCTTGTTGTTGGGAAGTCTGCCTAAAGAAAGAGGTAGAATTGATCGGCGAATTGTCAAATGGGTGTAGATAGTTTAGCATTGTTTGTTTGTTCAAGAGTGGTGGTGTAGTGTATCCCTTGCCGCGGGATGATGAATGGCGTGTGACCGTTTTGGATCATGGACAAGGTATGTACGAAGGACGTATTCCCTACTGCCGAATGTCAAGGGTGCATTCATACGTCTGTTGGTTGGGGTTGAAGAGTAAGTTGCAAGGGAGGCAATGACTTATCGACTCAATGACACTATGGTGGTTGCGGAAGGCGGGTCTGTCTTACGGGCGCTAAACCCAAAGTGAGCCTCAATAGAGGGCAATAGACGGAAGGTGTCACCCGTGGCCGGTGCCTCGATTCAGCCCAGTCGGTCGGAACTACGGCCTTACTTTACAGGGGATGGGACAACAATACCAAGCGCATTCTGAGGACAATAGGAAGCTGCAAGCCGCCAAGCCACGCCCCAACTGCCACTTCACGCCTTCCGCTTTTCTACCGGCTAACAAGCTGCCTTCAACCTGCCTTGTTACGCCCTGCTTTTACAATTTGGCTGATGAGCACTTGCCGATTGGATTAATTTTCCAGCAAGGGAGGAACTGTGGTCAACTCGTTACCCGGGTAGGAGATACCTGACTCTTGTTTCTGCGTTGATCATTTATGATACTGGATATCGTCACTCGTTTTATGCCAGAGTTTGTCTGTGAATCTGACAGGTGCATAACTTCAATCTTGTGTTACTCTCTTTCGTGGCTACAGTTGATCTTTCACAGTCTCACATTATACATGAATACCTCAGCAAGACACCATAACATCGAAGCATAGCATTGCATGGCTACACAGCGACACAAGCTCGCAGCCTTTTTACATGTCATTTGTCAAAAAGGAAACTCGAATAAATCCGAACATTTGAATACAGGCACTTCACACTTCACTCAACAAGGAAATAAATTGCTATGCAACCATCAGCAGCGTCCATCAATAGGCAACAAGATCTTACCAACAATCGAAAACAAGACATCCTAATACACATGTTTCGTGTCTTTGCCTACTTGTACGTGCTAACATTGCCCTATCTGGTGCTAGAGCTCACCCCATTCCATGGACGTGGTCTTGAGGTGGTCCTCGCGTTGGTTTCAGCCCTTTTCTCTGGACGTGGAGGGGGCGTGTATAGGAAGTGTATCGTACTTCACGTCAACAGCAGCCTTTTGAAGAAGTGCCCACAAGAGCACATTGTGTACTGATACAACAAAACAAAACTTGCCCTGACGAACGTTACTTTTGGTCGAGGCTCAGAGACCGTACATTTTAATTTTGCTGGCTTTTTCAGGCACGCCCTACTCTGACAACCTCGGGAAGCTGGTTGTTGACATATGACTTTACTGTCCCAAGCTTTGTTGGTGGCTTGTCTCTGAGTGAATCGGCTGCAGCATTCTATTTGTACACTGGAGTCAAATTCAGGTTGGAGGATCCATTCATCCTATTTTGAGCTATTGTGGTAGTTGCATGGGAAATGATAGCTTATAGAGTCTCAACCAGGGTCCATGCATGACATGTTTCCCACACATCCACCCTCTTCCCCTGTGCGGGTAGATGGGATTCTTCTACGGGTCTTGTTTGCTGTTGATTGCACTATTGTGCTGTAGAAACCCATCGCTGCCCCATGTCAAGACAAGCAATCAGGCGTTGAATATATCTATTCTGTATTGTCCAACACTCCATGACCAGGTCTTGGTGATAGCTCGCTTGCATGTTTCCCCTTATACCTGCCCCCTTTGCGCCCAACTGTGTATATTTGAACCCTCTTCCCGCTGTGTATTCCAGATCTCATCTCCGAATTTCTCCCACAACTCTATCCAGTCATCACTCCATTCTCGCGTCATCAAACTTAGCAAGCCAGAGACAACCTTACCATACGTGGCGCAGAGCTCTCGACCACCACATTCGTCTCCTGACCTTGCCTATTGTGTCGAGGACAGGTTCTTGTCGTCCCGTTGGCGTAAACGGCAATCTCATCGTTGAGATACCTCTATAAACGACAATCCTGCCTGCCGTGCTAGGCTATCAGTGTCTCTCTTCATCATTAAAAGCTCGTCATTCTTCTTCGAAAAAAAACGAACTTGCAACTTGCATCCTTCTTTTCTGCAGTTCCCATGAGAGAAGATCTAAACTAGGAGCACAAACCTCTCACCCTTGTATTCTTGTCATCAGAGACGACAACACACGAAAGAATCATGGGCCCTCCAAACAACTCCCCTCAATCCCAAGGCCCCCTAGTCACCGTTCCCAAAGACAATGGTCCCCCTCCAGCATACACCCCAAGACGGATCCCTTCTCATATTGCTTCTTTTGTAGCACAACTTTCGACTACATTGGACAGACAAAATCAAGAGATGTCTTCATTGGCCAGACAAGCTCAAGAGACTGGGCGCATCGGGGACAGACTGTTTCCTAGACCGGCTGTCCCGAGCATGCCCAGTGTTGTCATGGCCTCTGATGATCAAGACGAGACATCTGAGACTAGTTCACCAATTAGCCTACGTATCAACACTGCCGTCAATGTGTCACGTAGCAACAACATCGTCTGTTTGACTGCCACTCCCGCAGAGCAGGCCAATGCCATTGCCAAAGCAGTTGTTCAAGCTTTGTATGAAGGAAGCTCTGGACGCTGTGGCATCCCCATGATCGATGAGTCAGGCTGTCCACGACCTTTAAACATTGAGGTCGATGCTGGCCTCGTTGTTGAAGGCACAGGCAATGTCATCGGAAGCCGAGACGTTATCGGCGAACTCCTTCAGAAGCGCGGTACACCTCCACTCCGACGATCTCGTGAGGAGGCGGATGACGAGGATGAAGGCTTTGCATCAGCAAAGAGACGACGTTCAAGTCATTAAGATCGACAGGATACCGCACATGTTCCACGAGATTATAATCTCGTTCGAATTTGTGAAAACTTCCACACAGACATTCCTATAAAAAAAGAAAGGTAACTCGCTGGTGTTTTCAGCGTGATGAAAGGAGAGAAAATGGACGCAAGCGTTTCTTGTTTATGTTTCAGCCTTAGACTCCTGTTTTTAGATAGCAGTTTTTGAGCTGAGCATAATTAACGGCCTTTTTATGATGGTTACAAGACACATGAGGTTTTAGGAGTTGGTAAATACTTCTGGGGCAGATGCAACCCGAAGGAAGGGATGGCAGCACATGAACATGTACGACACATGGATATTGAAGGGGCAAATCATTGGGCTGCTTCCAATTTCTTATTATACGTGATCTCTAATACATCTTCTTGTTTAATTTATTCCAAAACTTAATACTCGAGAAACTTGAACCTTTACTCTTCACCATCGTTTCCATGACTTGATTGACTTCACAATCTTCGTCTGGCCTCCCTTTAGGCAACCTCCCAAGGTCAGTCGCACTCGCAGCCAGGAATTTCAATAGCCTATTCTGGGTCATATTGGAGTCCAGTTCCCGTCTCAGCCATCATCATCGTACTTGCTCAATCTTCAGACCGCCACTCCTGCGGCCCTTACGCTACTGTACTTATTGCCATGGCGTCTACATTTCAATCATCACTCAGTCAAAACCAATACACACCCCTTCAGATAGAAAGGCAACTCTCTGCAGAAAGGCAAAGCACGGTCACCCTGCGCCCTGGTTCCTCCCACCATTGTTGTCCCAGTTCAAAGGTTCGGGTCAGCTTAGATCGTGTCGGTCTTGCTCTAGTTTGCTGGCTAGTTATTGACATCCATCCGACTCGAGGAAGCTTTCTTTTGTCCGGGATGTTTCCTTGAATCCGTATTGGTCAAGGCATCAGATACAAACATTATCCCGTATAGTGCATGCATTCCCAGCTTCTGTGTTGTAATTAATTATTGCGCCAGGTCAATTGCCAACCAAGTTAGCCTACCAAGGAATATACCATTTGACAACCAAGCTCCTGGAAGCCACCACCTTGTCTCTCTCTCTCTCTGTTCTGCTAATGAATTCAACTCAATATCGGAAACTGCCGACAGAAAAGTATGGCTACAAGGCGAGATGCTTAGCACCTGGAATCAACAAGTCTTATATTTGATACGCCTTTTCTTATCTCGGCACCTGATAAAGTTACATGAAAAAACAGTGTTTTGTTGATTCTCAACTCCTATAGCTAACTGTAAAGCTAATTGGTACTATCATATTTCTCCAGCTTCAAGACTCTTACCGTCTTTTTGGTGGCCATTTGAGCATGTCCCCACCACAACTGATCCTTGCGCTGCTCTCAACTCCCCGCCAGTTCTTCACCTTGTTTTTATACATCATATTCGGTCGCTGTAGTTGCGCATGCAAAGAGTTGTCGCTTATCGGTGATATTGGTGGAGGATTTCTTTTACTTCATCCAGTGTGAGGAGTTCTGCCCAACCCCCCACAGAGTAGCCCTTGTCAAGGTCCTACCAGTGCTCAACAGACGCCACCATTCCCCTGGTGTTCATCTCATCCTACGACAACCGCAGCCATGACCAACCTCACTATTCGCAATCTTACCATTAACCCAATTGAGCTCATTGATGTCCAGCGATTCGAAAGTCAACGCGTAAAGGCTGGCTATCTCTCCAACATCACTGGCCTTATTTACAGCTCAAACAAAACACATGCCAAGGGCGATGCGATTATAAAGGAAGAGGCATCAGTCAATATCGATCCTTTCAAGACCAAAGACACTGGGATCCGAGCTGCCGACAGCAACAAAGAGGCTGTCCGTCTTACTTTCAAATATGAGAACCACAAATACGAAGTCGACATTCCGAGCTCCTCAAATAAGTCGTCTGTTATGAAAAACCTTGACGGCGGAAATCACGACCTCACCGTTGTTTATACCCCCAACGGTGCTTTTCTCGCCGTCTTTTCTTCTGCTCAACTTCATCGATGGATGGAGGAGCTTCATGACGATTGGCCTCTCCCTTTACTTTCCATTCCCGGCACGCACAACTCACCAACATGCTTTACCGCCCTGCCTTCTGTTCGATGTCAAGCGGTCGACATTCCAGAGCAACTCCGAAATGGCGTTCGGTTTCTTGATATCCGAGTTTCTGTAAGCTCCAGTAGTGACGATCTTGCTCTTGTGCACAGCGTGTTTCCCATCGCCTTGACTGGTGCAAGGTACTTCAGAGACATGGTTGAAGAGATCTACAAGTTCCTTGATGAGAACCCCAGTGAGACCATTATCATGAGTATCAAACGCGAGGGTACCGGCAGAGGTACCGACGAGCAGCTCGGCAAATACCTGAAGCATAGTTACGTTGACAAGAGGCGTAGCCGCTGGTGGACCGAACCCAGAGTTCCCACTCTAGGCGGTGCGCGTGGTCGCATTGTCATCGTCCGACGATTTTACTTGGACGACGAGATGAAAGAATCATGCTGGGATGGCCGCGGTTGGGGCATCGACGCTGGCGATTGGCCTGACAACTGTGAAGATGGCCAGGTGGGCGAAGGAGAGCACATCCGTGTTCAAGATTTCTACACAGTCACCGAGAGTCAAAACATCCAGAAGAAGATTGAGTTTTGTCGCCGGCAACTCGAGCGTGCTGCTGAACAGACCTTTGCCCTCGCCGGTATGAACGATCACAGAGAGGATGCTGATCTGCCTCCGTTCATCGTCAACTTCCTCACAGCAAGCAACTTCTTCAATGCTACCTGTTGGCCAGAGCGCATCGCTGCCAAGGTCAATCCTTCTGTCATTGAATACCTCTGCATGTGCCACGGCGAAGAAGGCAAGGGGCCCAACAAGCTCAAGATCGGTTCTGCAGCCACTGGCATCGTTGTTACTGACTGGGTAGGCCATCGAGATGATTGGGATTTGATCCGGTGCATTGTCGGAATGAATGCAAGACTGCAGCTCAAGAGATGAGCCGTACAAGTACATGGAGATAGATATGGTTGGTTTTGCCATTTACGTAGATACCAGGACACAAAGCTTTAGACATCGACTTCACATAATTAAACACACTTTTAGACAACATTTTCACCACAAGGTCAGGCGAGATAAAAAGTTCAAAGATCAATGATTGGGATTTGTTGTATTTCCAGCGCATGTATAGATACACTTCAATCTTCCAAAAGAAAAAGAGTATTGGCTATAAATAAATCCTCAGAAGTGTAGCAGGCGTGGTAACGGCATGTGTCTGAATGATCCATACTACTATTTCCCATATAGCACATACCGTTACCACTACTGCTACACTTCTGAAGATTTGTTCATGACCAAGTATCTTCTCTTCATAATAACAGTTGCCTATGAGTATATCTTTTGTTTTTGAAAAGATGAATTATCTCACCACCAATAACCTCCATATATATTCGTTATTATTAATATTTCTAGGGCTGTCCTATTATCGGTTTCTCTTAAAATAAAGATACTTGTGCCAGTATTCCCTGAAATAATAGTAAAAGAAAAAGAGAACGAGTTGTGTTCCTTTATATTGTTACTTGTAAGGGATACTCTCACAAGTATCACTCTTTCTGGAAAGAAAAAAACCAATGACGAGAAGGCCCTAGAAACAATGATGATGATGATGCAGGGACGAAATGCATTTGCACTGAACAACATATGCTTGCATCATTCAAGAGAATAGATTGTTGCACAGTATGCGAACCTCATAACTGTGGATCTGGCAAAGCTGGTTAGCCACAACGTTCACTAGATCATCTCGTAAACAAAAAGCGTGAAAGGAACCAAATCAGTTCTCCAAGGTGAATAGGTTGTTCGTCATGATGAACTCGGATAGAGCTAATAATAGCATAGTCATCATATGGTAAGGGTAGTGTAGATAGAAAAAAAATGTTTGTCTTACCATGACAGATGGGAGGGCAAGTGCAAATCGGTTGTTTTCCTACGGCGGAGTCAGCATGGCCGCTTCATTTTGATATTAACAAAAAGCGTAAAGTGAAATCTGGGTAAGTTAGTGATGAGGTTCTAGTTAAGTCAAGCAGTGAGTAGCATACCGATCAATCAGAAGTTGACGTTGTGTTCATGTCCCGGGATCCGAAGACCCTGAATCAAACAGTGTGAATACAATTTGAAAAATAACTCATCACGAAAGGGGTGGATGGCAGATGCACAATAGAAACAGTTCTTTGTTTAGATACCTAGATCCTCAACAGTCAGCCACCGGTTCCTTAACCAGACATCGACAAGAATCCATTTTTATGAGCCACGATCAGGTGACGAAATATCAACAAGAGGTCCCACTACACACCCACCACAAGGATTTGTACGTCCTCGCTTTTCTAGGGTGGGAGGCAGCAGTACTCGTTTATGTCCGCCCGTTCGTTCAAATATTCATCATATAGTGGCTGCGAGAAGCTCGGCAAGAGAGTAGGGCAAAGAGCATTACCTATTGACAAACGCCAGTTAGCAATTGCGGTCATGATAGATGGAAGCAAGCGAAGGTGCGTTGTGATCTCCAGTCAGACAAGGCTGAAACTAAATACAACAGTATCGACATTATATATTAAGAATGAGGAATCCCTGAAGTCGTTTTGATCATCATACGGAGAGGGGGAGAGTGAAGAGAGAAAAAGATAAAAAAGTGTACAAACCTTTTAATTTTGTAGGAAAAGTTGACGCGCTTGGCCGGCAAGCACGTCCAACATGGGATAGCAAGTGAAACAGAACAACTAGTGACCAGTTAGTAAGGGGTTCTCGACAAGAGTATCCTGCAAATGCCCGAGGTCCAAAGCTTTCTCAGTGTAATTCTCAAAAGAATAGTATCACCAGTGGTTGGTCTGATTTGGATTGTTCGTGTATGATGTGCATCATAGAAAGCAAGCAAGAGCAGGGAGACAAAAAAGGTCTTACCTAGAAGGAGAGGGAGGTCTGATCGCGCAGAATTAACAACGCTTGCGCATTGCGCGCGCGAGCCAGACCTTGAGGAGTGAAGAGAAGAGAATCAAGTGAAGGAAGCTCAAATTCAAGAAAATTTATGTTGGTTGGTGGAGGTAAAAATTGCTGACTGTACACAAACGCTAATCTTCTTTAACCTTAGCTCGACCCCGCAGTCCGCCACCCGACCCCTTCCGTGTGGCGCATGACGTGGCGAATTATCACCGCCATAAAGAGTGTCATAAGCGCCGACTCAGCTGTATGTGTTGTACTTGATCTTTACAACCATCTTCCAACTCAGCACACAACTTCACAATGGCGTCCTTACAGGCGCTGTGGGGTCCAATGGCCCGACGGCTCCTGCGAGTCGCCGTGGCCAAAACCACAAACGTGGTGCGGACCAAATTTGTCGTCATGACGCGGCCCCTGCAAAACCAACTTACACTGAGAACCGCCAGAGTTGCTCGTCAACCTATTCACCCTGTTGCTGCTCTTCGACAGCAGAAACGCCATACTAGCCGATGGTTCTCGAGCTCCGCAGCTCAGAACGTCAACCGAGTTATTAGGAGATTCGTTAGCTCCGAGCCCAAGGCTGCTCGTTTCGACCGATCCAAGTTCCCGAGCTCCAACACCTCACAACGTGTTGCGCAGTTCTCTGGCCGAGCTCCATTTGCGAACGCCCTCCGTCCCAACTTGATGGGCGGTGCTTTCCCTCGAAGTGCTGGTGGATATAGTCTCGGCGGTAGTGCTCGATACTTCTCCCACGGTCCGGCAGCTCCGGCTCAGGTCGTGCAGAATGTCTCTCAAGCCATGAGAGCATTCTTCCTTTCTGGCCAGAAGCTCCGTTATGACGGCCTCGGCCCTCGAGGTGACCGACAGTATCGAGCGGTGTCGCCAGTTGAAGACCAGGCCATGCACAAGTTCTCCGCCTTCTCCAACTCGGCTCCCGGCGCTTTCGTCGACTTCAACCTCAGCCCCACCGTCACGGCACTTAGCCCTCTCGCTGCCGCTATCCCCTTCGCCTCCGAGACCTCTGGTTTCAAGGCTCAGGCTGCTGCGGCCGGTGCCTCTCTCAACACTGAGGGTTTCCTTGATGTCCTATCCTCCGACTTCGGCCGAGTATTGCAGGATCTCCGAGCAATTGATACCGACCTCCGCAGACTTGCAATTTTAGGTGACCTTCCAGTTTTATTAGAGAAACACAATACTCTCCGAGTCCGCTTTCCAGGCGTCGACGCCGAGACTCTCGAGCGATTATGCGATGACATTGGGATCCAGCGCGGGGTGGTGGGTCAGGATGCCGAGTTTGACGACGCTGCTGGCGTTCCAGTAGCTCTCAAGTTCCCATTCGCCCCTGACAGCGGGAAACAACCAAGTGTATCACTTCGATCTTTGGAAGGTTATGAGACTGATGAGATTTCGACTCTTGACGAAGAGTATTTCGTTCATAATGAAATCTTGGACGATATGTCTGACAACCCGTGGTTGGCCGAGACTGACGGATACGAGACAATGTCACCTCCAGCCAGCTCGGTAGTTGGACAATCCGAAGATTACGAAGGTCTTGAAGGAATCTACCGGTTCCTTGAGGAATGTGACCATGCCAAGGGAAAGGTTGGTCGAGTAAACTGATTTTGAGCGAAACGATACCAGAATGCCATATGAAAATTGACAGGCATTGATTGTACTTAACGACCGACATTCTCTACACCGAACGAACCACAATAGCTAGATTTAGTATGAGCAGTAACTAGCTTCCAATTGAATTTCCTTGAGTATTTATTAGTTTTCTGAAGACTTGATGAATCTAACTACGTGCCGTGATTTGTAGCTTGGGTGTTTCTTTGCCATAAAATTGAGTGAGGTCTTACCCACCTTGGATGCATAGATAAATATTTTAACTTCTATCATTTAAAGAGTTCTGTCAGGTAGCCGGCTGATCTGTTGAGTCGGCGCATCAGGGCGTGGCTGAGCTGATGGGGAGACATTGTTGGGCTGCGGAGACTTTGAGTTGGCGCATTTCTGATCCAAGAGGTTTGTGCTAGTAGATATGTCTTGGAGAAACATTGCCATTGAGAGCATCTGAGCACAACGATGCTGGCATTCGATAGAAGAAGACGACATTATAAGTGTTGATGATGTTGGTGGTAAGTTGAGGTTGGAAAGTGGATGCGGTGGAATGATAGTGATAAATCACCTTACCCTGTGGCAAGTTTGCACGTGGGCGATATCCTTATTCAATCACCTCGGAAGCATTTAGTATGAATTGGTTCGACCTGGTAAGTACTTAATCATTTTGTTACAAATAATGGAATATTTTATTTATTATAAGATGATTGACGTTGCAGCCATAGCATTACAGTGCACTCTATAAGTACCATCTGTTTCTTTTTAGCTGAAGAATTTCAACTCCACCCTCTTCCAGCGAGTGACCACTCGAATATGTCCAGCGAAGCGTCACATTGATGTTACTTACTTTATCCTTCAGCTAAGAAAAAGAAAAAAATGGCAGCTTCGCAACATGTTGGACAGCGCATTTCCTATGACGGCGCCCTTTGCACAGTGAGATACGTCGGTGAAGTCGCAGGCACAACAGGAACATGGCTGGGCGTAGAATGGGACGACTCAGCACGAGGCAAACATGACGGATGTCACAAGGGCGTTCGCTATTTCACCTGTAAGATCAAACATCCCCTCTATCTTCCTTATGACAGATCATCCTGCTTGTGCTTGATACAAGAAAACTGACACTCATAGGCAAATCAAAGTTCCCCACCGCTGCTTCATTTGTGCGTCCTTCTCGACCGGCTGACCCGCCGCGTCACTTCTTAGCAGCAGCCAACCACAAATATGCAAGCGAGTACACGCTTCCAGATGGTAGAAGGGCGGCAGAAGAAATCATCTTTTTCGGAAAGCGTGCCGAGGAGGTCGGCTTTGAGAAGATCCGCCGAAAGCAAGCCAATATCGGCGAGCTGACTATTGTGATCCTGGATGATCTTCAGATTGCCGACGCAAGGGCAGACGATGAAAGCGAGGGAACCATCACCAAGACGTGCCCCAAAATTACCCAACTGGACCTTAGTCGTAATTTGTTCCAACACCTTGATCCTGTCTTTGACATTTGTCGTGAGCTACCAAAACTCCAACATCTCACCCTCAAGTGCGTTACATCTATCAAAAACATAAACCGGTTTACTGACGCGATTGCAGTGGCAACCGTTTCCAGGAAGTTTTGGAAAACCAAACTCAAGGCGTTGTGGAAAACGTCAAAGAGCTGTCCCTGGAGGAAACCATGATGAGCTGGGAGGAAGTTTGCCACATCGCAACAAAGTGTCCGTCTTTGGCAGCTCTTGATGCCGGATCAAACCAACTCCATTCTCTCCCAGCACTAAACTATGGGAGCCTTCCATCAACTTTGACATCGATCAACCTTGAGATTAACGAATTCACCACCTTTACTGATATTAGTACACTCACTGCACTCACGTCTTTGCGCAATATTCATCTCAAGGGAAACAACATCACTGCAATCGCACCGGAAGGCGTCGAAGGCCCAATATTCTCAGAGAGCGTTCAGTACCTCGATGTATCATACAACAATATCCAGTCATGGAAATTCGTGGACCAGATTCCCAAGCATTTCCCTGGTTTGGTGGGGTTGAGAATCGGCCACAATCCCTTCTACGATGCTGTTGATGCTGATGCCAAATCATCTTCTTCTGAAGAATCTCACATGTTTACCGTCGCTCGCTTGGCTTCGCTCAAGTCCCTCAACTTTAGTCAGGTCACAGCAGCCGACCGGACCAATGCTGAGATGTTTTACCTCTCTCGGATCGGAAAACAGCTTGCGGCCGCACCTGAGGAAGCTGAAGCAGATGTTCTGGCCCACCACCCTCGCTGGGCAGAACTATGCGAGATTTACGGCGCACCCAGCGTTATGCGTAGGTCAGAAGTCAACCCTGCCTTTTTGGAAGCTCGCTTGGTCACTGTTGCCTTTCATAAAGATGGGGGAGAGGAGAGAGTAACAAAGATACCCAAATCCTACGACATGTACGCTGTCAAAGGAGTTGCTGGAAAGGTATTTGGCCTGTCCCCCCTCAAACTTGGCCTCATCTGGGAAACAGGAGAGTGGGATCCTGTCGCTGGATTTGATGACCAGGAGGGCGAAAGCAGCGACGAGGAGGATGCCGAGGGAGAGAGGGAGCGCAAAGAGGCCGACGCAAACGCTGCTGACGAGGACAGCGGAGGCAAACCAGGTCGATGGGTGAAGAGAGAAGTTGAACTTAGAGATGGGCCTAGGCAGTTAGGTTATTGTGTGGATGGCTTGGATGTCAAGATTCGTGTGGAGGCTCGTTAGGTGAGATAAACTTGTTTAAGTATTACATAGACCTTTGTGATTGTCTGTACTGCAGCAAACTCGGTTCATGAGATAGCGTGCAGTCAGCAAACACTCTGTTACTGAATGATATAAAGGAAACACAACAGAACGACCACCATGGATTTCTGGTTCGCTTTACTCCTCCCGCATTATGTAGCTTGGCGATCAACTGTCTTTCCTCATCACTACTGCAGCAGTCGTAGTCATCATGACTTTCACCCCAAAACCTCAGTTCTTCCTGATTAGGCCTGGCGCTGAGGAGATCACGCCCACAGGACAAATTGTTGCTCAGCCCGCAACTGCTGTGCCTCTCATCCCTGCAGACCTTTTACCTGACTGGGTAGAAGTCGTTGGCGTTCCGCGAAGTCTATCAGAAGATGAGACCAAGGACATTGGAAACCTGGGTGTCATTCATGCAGAGCAGTATACCTACAAGCTCCGATTTGATCCCATCACTGGAGATGACGCTTGTGCCAGTGATGAAGTGGAAGAAGAAAACCCTTGTGAATCTGTGATGCAGCCCAGTGCCAGTATATGGGGCCCATCGATTTCTCATGATACTTCTCGTGAAGAACAAAATCCAGAGACCTTGACGTCTCTGCCATCTCACACTTCAGCCCTTCAAGTCAAGCTTAAACCCGCTCAAGGGCTTTCGTCAAGTCGTCACAACCCGGAGAACCAGCAGCAGCAAAAATCTATTGTTGACAAGGAGCCATCGCCACTTCAACCCAACACCACATCGCCGTCATCGGAACTCCCTTCACCATGTCGACACTGGTGCCACCATGGAGTCTGCAAATGGGGTCTGGACTGTCACTACGAGCACACAATGCCCACAACGTCAACTGGCCTTGCAGAAGTCGGCCTCTCGCAGTTCCCCGACTGGTGGCTCCAGGCGCGTGGTGTCATGCCAATGCCTCCAGAGATGCTTCGTGCTGCGGATGCATCGAGTGCTCGTCGAATGGACAGGAAGATCATGAGCTATACCAAGAGGAAGCCTCGGTCCAGAGCTCGTGCGAAGCGTGTCGACGCAAGACCAGTAGACTTGGATGAGGCGTCAGAGGTAGAAGCAGAGGATGAGTATGAAGAGGAGCCGGAGACCGAACATGAAGTGGCGCAAGAGCCAAAGAGGGAAAGAGAGGGCGTTCTGATTGAATTCTGAGGGTATCATCACACTCTTTGGACTAATGTAGGCATTAGTTAGGTTAGGATGCCCAACTACTTTTTATTCAAGCGGCAGCTTTTGATGGCACTTGAAATCTATTCTTATAAATTGGTTAGGTACAGATAGTTATCGGTTATCCCGCTAAAGAAGACCAACTCCCACTACCCACCTACCAAGACAGCCTGCCCACCGTATAAAGATATTTATTATGTGATAAGATCTCACTATTCGGATTACGAGACACAAGCCAACATCCTATCTCCATTTCACTTCATAGTTGTGGTTCATAAATCCATGATAAGCAACCTCTGATCCCATAGTTTGAAGTGTTTATTAGTCAGATCTCGGGTTTATGTAACATTGACGCTGTAACGCCGATGGATCGGGGCTGCGACATCACCATTGCCGTTTAGGATTAGAGTCGATGATGAATATTGATGTTATCAAGTGGGATAAAAAATACATATATAAGCATCATGTCTCCTCGTCAAAGGTACCGTCTCAAAGCCTCTTTTACTGATATCAGCAACACCATATCCAGAACACTCCACCTCACTCAATAATCAACATGCCCGAGGTTCTTGGAAAGCAAGTTGGCCCTGTGGCCTATGGCCTCATGGGTGCGTAAATTTCCTTTGAGAAAAGACATGTGAAACTCACATTCCACAGGCTTCACATGGCGCCCAAATGCTACCCCTCTGGACCAGGCTATTGAAGCCATGCGCGCTGCCTCTAACAATGGCTGCACGCTCTGGAGCGGCGCCGAGTTCTACGGACCCCCAGAGTACAATAGCATGACCCTGCTCAAGGCGTATTTCACAAAGTATCCCGAAGACGCAAACAAGATCACCATAGTTATGAAAGGTACCTATAATCTCGAAAAGTTCCAGCTCGATGGATCTCCAGAGAACGTTCGAAGGTCAATCGACAACGTGATCAACCAGCTCGGCGGAACCAAAAAACTTGACATCTTTGCGCCTTCAAGACGAGACCACAAAGTCCCTTTCGAGACGACCCTCAGCGTCATTCAGAAGGAGTACGTCGATACTGGCAAAGTTGGCGGCATTGCTCTTTCAGAATGCAGCGCCGAGACTATCGAAGAGGCTGTCAAGATTGCCAAGATCAGCCTCGTTGAAGTTGAGCTCAGCTTGTTTAGCACAGACATCTTGCGCAACGGCGTTGCTGCCGCTTGTGCTAAGCACAACATCCCTATCATGGCCTATTCACCCATTGGACGTGGTGTAAGTATATCTATATACTTCATCTGAAAATCTTACGCAACTAACGACCAAAACAGATTCTTACTGGCCGCTTTAATAACAGCTCTGAGTTCCAGGGTCAAGGAATTGCCAGCAAGTTTCCTCGTTTCCAACCCGAAGCGTTCCAGCACAACCTCAAGCTCGTTGAGCAGGTCAAGGCTGTGGCTGAAAAGAAGGATATTACCCCAGCACAACTCGCAATTAACTGGGTGAGAGGTCTGAATGGCCACGACGGATTGCCTACTATAATCCCAGCACCAGGAGCAACCACGGCGGCCAGAGTAGAGGAAAATGCTCAACGCTGCCAGCTTTCGGAAGACGAGATGAAGACCTTGGAAAAGATAGCAGATGAGTTTGAGGTATCCGGAGGGCGATACCCAGACGGCATGCCAATGGAGACTTAGGCTACGAAATGAATATCTGATGTTCAGTTAGAACGGATTCATAGAACTCTTGTGTAAAACAATAAATGGGAATGTGGTTGATATTCAGCTGTAAATTGTCCACGTGTTGCCTAAAACAAAAAAGGCATTCGGAATTGCAGAATTCATAAAAATGAATGCCATCATGAAGGGTTGATTATGAGGGTATGTGATGGAAAAGTGTAACCTACCAGATAATGATCAGCGTCATTTATAGCAGCAATCGTAATGATTGCTGCAGGGAAGACGGCACCCTCTTGAATGACATGGAGCAGACTTGTGCTGAGTTCTTGAGTTCCTCGTTCTGTTGTTTGAGGTTCGGAGACAGGCTCGAGCTCCAGTCGCGAAAAGTCGACCATATCGGTGTGGGGATAGCACGTGACATCATATGAGCTTGCCAAGCCCGATATCCTTAGGTGAAGGCATCGTTGATACTTGGGCAGTAGTATACCCAAGCAAAGTAAGGTTTACTGTTTTTTTTTTTAACTCAATAATTCACAGTTGATAACCGAAAAAGTCGATAACAATAAACACAGGGTATATCAGTAAATTCAGCTGGCCACTACCTCATAATACAAGACACGCCCACTGGACTATGCTGTCAACGCTCCATCCAATAAGGGTTCTTAAACTATCAAAGCACCGTTGGAGCCGACTGCTTCCAATCGGTTCACAAGCTTCTTCACGTTCGCCCAGTCCTCGTTCTTCAAGCTCTCCTTGCCACCAAGACCACTAGCAACCTCAAACACCGTCAATGAGCCATCGATGCCACCAGTGGCAAGACGCTTTCCATCATTAGGTTCCCATGCGACCTTGTTTAGACTCTTCGAAAGCATGGTTCTGCCGTCCTTTCGGGAGCTGGGTGAGATCTTTGACACGGGCTCCTCGGTCTCAACAGCAATATCCCACAGCTCCAACCAACCAGCACCGTCAACCAAAGCAAAGATATTGGGCTTGACGGGAGACCACTTGGCGTCGTAGACGACGTCTTCGCGAACAAAGTCGATAAGAGGCGCAATTGTACCGTCACCAGATCCAATCGTAGATGTAGCTGCAGGTGCTCGAACCTTCCAAAGCTTGACACTCCAATCCAAAGATGATGATATAACCAGATCGCCCAAATCCACGGGGCCCCTAGCAGGATGGAAGTCCACCGACATGACGGGAGCAGTGTGTCCCTTGTAGCTGATCTTCTTATCGACACCAGCCTTGGCGCCGGCACGGTCGTATCGATGGCAGGGGAAGATGGTGCCCTCCTCACTACCAACAAGGAAGAACGTAGGATCTGTATCTGGGAAAGAAAGACACGTGGGACTCACGTCTTCGACCGCCACCTTGGCCTGACTAGGGTTCTTCAATTCAAGAAGTTCCTGGGGCTGGGCGAAGACGTCCATTGTCCAACCGCAAACCACGCCGTCGGTGGAGCAAGAGATGATATTGTTGGCGTTTTGAGTACCGACAATATCAACAGAGTAAATAGGATGAGCATGACCATAACCTGTCAAGGGAGTCTTTTGTACTGGTGCCGCCTTTGCTCTCGTGTCCCACAACAGCACCTGACCACTGTATGAGCCACCAATAATCAGATTGTTGTGATAAGGAGAGAACTTGGCAGTGAGAATATCCGACTGCGCAGTGAAAACGTATTCCGGACGATCTTGCATGTGCATGTTCCAGACTTGGACCAAACCATCCGGTTCATGAGGAGCCGTTGGGTTCTTAGTATAAGAAGCGAGAAGTAGCTCGTTGAATTTGGGCGAGAAATCAATTCCGCTGATCATGCGCTTCTTAGACCATCGCTCGTCATAGAATTGAGCCACTTCCTTTATTCTGTGTCGCCCTTTGCCACCCGTATTACCGCTGTCCTCATCGTCGTCATCTATGTCTTGGCCTTGTAGAGCGTAGTCTGTGAGGATATCATACGTCTCTTGGTCAAGAGCCCGTTCAATGACCTTTGTGGACTTCTCGAGGAAATCAAAAAAGTCGTCCGATTGCGCAACGGCATCGAGCTCCTCCACGGTCCAGTTTCTTGCAGGTTGACTGACTGCGGACGGGACGACACCATCGCTCAAGAATTCCTTTGTCGCTCGTAGCTCCTCTTCAACCTCTTCCCTGATCTTCTGTCGGAGCTCCTCCTCCCGATCTCGCTCTCTTCTGCTCAGCCTCTTGCTGGGCGTCGAAGTTACGGCGGGAACATCTTCGGCCTCCGAAATGAGAGATTGTGCTCTGGTTCTGGTAGGAGTTGTCCACTCCTCGGTGGTCTGGACACCTTTGCTGTACGAGAAAACCTCCTTTACTGGAGATGGCGGACATTCGAAGACGGTCAGGAGCGGAGCGGTACTGAGACTTGGGGGCGGCTGGGCGGGAATCTGAATATTGCTAATGGTGGTAACTTCGGAAGGTTCGTTGCTAATCTCGCCAGCGCTAAGGACGCTGTTCGGGCGACTACCGCGAGGAGCGGGAGAACCAGGCCCTCCTGTGACTGCTGAGCCAGGCCTGCTGTCACCAACAAGACTGTTAATGAGGGTTTCGATCTCGCGGCGGTTATCTGCTCTTCCAGGGGTTGGCGATATCAACTGTGGTTGAGAAACGTCAACGAGGGGCTTAAAGGCGGTAGAGTGTCAGGGGACCAACGTCGCTAGAAGTTCCTACGCTCGCACGACCTGCATTCGCTGCGTTTGCCCGAAGCTCTCTTTGGCGCTTGAGCTCAGCAAGCTTTGCCTTCTTTGCTAGGATTTCATCTCGACGTTGCTGCATTGTGGACGTTCCACAGTCGCATCGCGGGACTGCTCGATGTTTGGAAAGCTATAATTTGGAAGGTATAGATCGACGACGACTGGACACGATAATAAAAGATTCACTTTTTTTCTCTTCAAAAATAGACGTGCAGTGACGATGACAAGAAAGAACAAAACCAATCTCAGGTTACAAGGTTGAGGTATGCAATTGTGTGGTTGTTGTCGCGATAGAGGTTATGAAATGCTGGGTTGTACAGTAGCAGTAATGAGCTTGCAATGGGGTCCAATTGAATCCATCCATACGCGACAGGACCTGACTGGACAGGACTTTAGAGGCACTTAGGCACTAGCATCCCTCAGAAACCCCTGCACCAACCTGGCTGACTGGACTGAGCTTTTAAATGTTAGTGGAGGTGGTGATGGCACATAGTAAATTCTAACTCCACAGTGATACAACGAAGCATGACACGTGATCATTTTGGCCGGCTCACTGGCTCCAGCTTGGCCGAGCTCCCCAGCCGCCAGCGGTTGGCTGGCTCTTTAGGTTGGCAGCGAATGGAAAAACTGCGACTTTTCCCGACGACTTTTCAATTCTTCACCTCAAGCCGACGCATCTAATCACCTCGAGCCACTCCGACTGGGTCCATTGACAAGCCATTGTCGACCCCCGACTATCGTCAATACCGATCCTTTCGCTTTTCGTCCCGTCCGCCCTTTTTTTGCGACTCTATTCCCAATGGCTTCGACCGGAGTGAACGTGCGTGTTATCCTCCCCCGATACGGCCGCTCGACCGTCTCCCAAGCCCGAGCTATCGACGATATCGGCGAATGGACTCTGAACTTTCGAGCGGCACAATCGGATAGAATTGTATAAGGTTCAAGGGACTAATTGAGTCATTTATAGGTTCTGCGGTGGTCCGCCCTCGGCCTGGGTATCTTTTACGGCTTCACCCACCAGCGAGCGATTACTGCTTCTCAAAGGGCTGAGCACGCGCAGCACGAGTACGAGAAGAAGGAGAAGCTTATCCAGCAGGCCAAGGCCGAGTTCGCCAAGAAGAAGAGCCCTTCAACTGGTGATGATGGTACGTCATTTAGTCATTATCGCTCCAATGCTTGCTTCTCAGGCAATTGGCAGCGGCATATCGCGCATATGTGAGCTGGCGAACATCCAACTAACCGAAACAAAAAGTTATTACCGATCCTTCAGACCCCAAGTTCGATCTTGAGAAGCTGCTGTTGAAGGTCCAGAAGGAGAGCCCTTAGATATGTAATAATGGCGCGGGGCAACACAAATATGACAAGGGAGAGAATTGAACGATAGGAGGTTTTGGCGAAAAGGTTACCGCTAGGGAAACAGGTCCTGCTGGGGCAATAATCCGAGCCTCGAACCAGACCCGATGTATGATTGAGGATATACGTGGCGGTCCTGCATAGATGTTTCCTTAGGTCCCTGTTTAACTCTGTGTACAGGTGTACAATATATCTACTTTAGACGGCAAAAGCGTCAATTGTCTTGAATAAGGATCTTGTGTTACTTTGGCAAGGCATTCTGGGATAAGTTTGAGCTGGAAAGATGTCATAACAACTGCAAGAAACCTATGATATAATGTATCGCCGGGGAGCTAGGTAGCTCTCCAATACATATTAGGTTGGTATAGTGTCAACGAGTCTGTGATATCTGAGCAGTTTTTACGATGTACTGTACGATTTTTAACTTTTTGCACGAAACCGAATTCCCAACTTAGCATTTGGCGTTGTATCAATGTTGTATCTCGAACACGCAGCTCATTTTAATACTGCCCAACATTGGAGCAATAATTTGACAACGCAACATCCCCTCCCCGCACTACTTTTTAGAAGGTAGCTAAAATTCCGAGAGTATCCAGGGTCATACATGAGTGAAATTGTGTAAGGATATTGCGTTATATTATAATCTCCCTTCCTCATTCAATCTAGAAAATGCTTATATATAACTCCACGCATGTTTCTTCATATCTACCTATGTACCTATCATGAGAAGAGACGATTGATAAGCGGTTAAAGTTCTGCTGAATAGACGCTATCTCCCATGGTCGGATTGATCTCCTATATCTTAAGCATTGACATATTGAAATGAACTAAACAGAAGGCAGAAAGATGTCAATGCTTCACATGCTCATGTAGTGACTTTCTGAACATAATTACTAAGTGAAGCTCTATGTAAACAGTACCATATAGGTTGTGACATTCTGTACAAATTGAGGCTCAATTGATCAACAGAGAAATACCAAAGAACGACGAGAAACAACAAAACCAACAAGAACAATTTTACATCTCATAATTCAAGCACACAGTGTTGACCAATATTGTAAATATTTGTTGAGTATTGTGGCGTTTATATGCCTTGTTCGGGAAAACGACGGTCCAGTGATGAAGCTAATGTTTCGAAATGGCTTCAAGACCGAGAGTACGTACCTTTTTTTTTTACAAGAAAATGGGCTCCACATCGACCTCCTTGTACGTACCTGCTAACTGCACCTAGCTCCCGCGTTGTAAAGCTCCAAGCTGTCCTTCTGGTGGAGTTGAGAGTATCCATCATCTCGGGCTTTAGTTTCGACAAGTTGCATCTATCATTGTCGACAATTGCAGCCCATCATGACGGCCGCAACGTCAAAACCTCGCGACACGCTCGCTCTATTGACAGGAACCAACACAAGAACTCTTCTGAGAGTCCTCATCCTTTTCTTCATCGCTGGCGCAGCTATCTCCAGTCGTCTCTTTTCTGTGATTCGTAAGTGCTTCCTTCTCCCCTCATGATGGAGGCTTGATGCGCTCTCGCACCCTTTTCACGGAGGGCGTTTTACTTGTCGAAATCATCATTTGCTAACAAATTGCGCGTAGGCTTTGAGAGCATCATTCACGAATGTCAGTTCCTCCCACGGCACCCCGTACTAATGTAGAGCTAACACCATGGTAGTCGACCCGTGGTTCAACTTCCGTGCGACCAAGTACCTCGTCGCCAATGGGTTCTACAACTTCTGGGATTGGTTTGATGACCGAACATGGCATCCTCTTGGACGAGTCACTGGAGGTACCCTCTACCCTGGTCTGATGGTGACCAGCGGCGTTATCTACCACGCTCTCCGTACCCTCACTGTCCCCGTCGATATTCGAAACATCTGCGTTCTTCTCGCGCCCGCCTTCTCTGGATTGACGGCCTATGCCGCTTATCTTCTCACTAATGAGATGACCACTACGCACTCCGCTGGTCTCCTTGCTGCGGCCTTCATGGGAATCGCCCCTGGCTACATTTCACGATCCGTCGCTGGTAGTTACGACAACGAAGCCATTGCCATTTTCCTCCTCGTCTTCACCTTCTACCTCTGGGTCAAGGCTCTTAAGAGAGGTTCGATGGTTATTGGTGGTTTCTGCGCTTTGTCTTACGGCTACATGGTTGCGTCGTGGGGTGGATATGCTTTCATTACATGTCTCTTGCCAGTTCATGCTTTCACTCTCATTTGCATGGGCCGTTACAGCGATCGCCTTTACCTTAGCTACACAGCGTGGTACGTCGCTGGTACACTGGCCAGCTTCCAAATTCCCTTTGTCGGCTTTCTCGCTGTTAAGACCAACGAGCATATGCCAGCGCTAGGTACGCATGTACAAATCTCCGGCTTCGCTCAATACTGACATAATATTAGGTGTTTTTGGTCTGCTCCAGGTCATCGCCTTCATTCTTTTCGTTAAGCGCGTAATTCCTGGCCGACAAATCACCACCGTTGTGATTGCCGCCGGTGTGGTGACTTGCATGATCGGCTTGGCTGGCCTGATCCTTTTGACCTCTCTTGGATACATTGCGCCTTGGGGCGGCCGATTCTACTCCCTGTTTGACACCGGCTATGCTAAAGTCCATATCCCCATTATTGCGTCCGTCTCGGAGCATCAGCCCACTGCCTGGCCCTCATTCTTCTTTGACATGAACTTCCTCATCTGGCTCTTCCCTGCCGGTGTTTACATGTGTTTCCAGAACCTCCGGGATGAGCATGTTTTCGTTGTGGTCTACGCTATGTTTGCAAGCTATTTCGCTGGCGTCATGGTCCGTCTCATCCTTACTCTGACCCCTATTGTTTGCGTTGCCGCTGCTATTGCTGCTTCCCAGCTCCTCGATACCTACATGCAAATCAAGCAGCCTGATGCTGCGGAGGAGACCAAGAATGAGGGCTCCGAAAGCTCCAAGAAGAACAAGGGCGCCCTCCGTGCCCTTTCGAAGCCAACGGTCGGTATCTACACTATCATGTCCAAGGTCCTGGTTGTTGGTGCCATGGCCATTTACCTAGTCATGTTTGTCACCCACTGTACTTGGGTCACTTCCAACGCCTACTCGTCGCCCTCCGTCGTGTTGGCCAGCCGCATGCCAGATGGTAGTCAGCATATCATTGACGATTACCGAGAGGCGTACCAGTGGCTCCGACAGAACACCGAGAAGGACGACAAGGTCATGTCATGGTGGGATTACGGTTACCAGATCGGCGGCATGGCTGACCGACCCACCCTTGTCGACAACAACACTTGGAACAACACTCACATCGCGACTGTGGGCAAGGCCATGAGTTCTCGTGAGGAGGTCAGCTACCCTATCATGCGCCAGCACGAGGTTTCCTACGTTTTGGTAGTCTTTGGTGGTCTCATCGGCTACTCTGGGGACGACATCAACAAGTTCCTCTGGATGGTTCGCATTGCCGAAGGTATCTGGCCCGATGAGGTCAAGGAGCGCAATTTCTTCACCGCTCGGGGAGAGTACAAGGTCAACGAGGAAGCTACCGAGACCATGAAGAACAGCTTGATGTAAGTATATACATGTGATTTGAAAAATGTTTTTGAGCTAACTTTCTTCCAGGTACAAGATGTCGTACTACAACTACGCTGGCATGTTCCCCCCTGGAAGAGCCGTTGATCGTGTTCGAAACACCGCCGTGCCTTCTGAGGGTCCTACTCTCGACACTTTGGAGGAAGCTTTTACCAGTGAGAACTGGATTATCCGCATCTACAAGGTCAAGGATCTTGACAACATTGACCGTAACCATGTCGCCGCTGGCGGTTTCAGCCGAGGACAAAAGAAGAAGAAGGCGCTCAAGAAGCGAGTTGCTGTCGGTTCCCGTGTGGACTAAGGGGTTTTGGTTTGCTAGAAGCGTGGAAGAAAGAATACAGGGCTTCAATGTTACCCGCATTTTAGACAAAAGTGAATTGAAAATGTATATCAGTGTAAGAAACTTGCCTGATTGAGAATAAAGAGAAAGAAAAGGAACAAGGACATACATTCTTTTGTCCCGATATATTTGATGAAGTGAGCGTGCGTTCACACTAGGTGATGTGTTTGTTGTGATATATGATGGAAGCAAGTGAAGCGCAACAAAGGCGACACTAGAATGCTCATGCGTGTTTGCATTTTCGAGAAAGGAATTGCAGCCATTTGCAGTTCAGGGAAGAAGGGTCAAGTTGCAATGCGTAGAACGGTTGTAGACGCAGTGAATGTCTCTAGGCTGCTGAGTGTTTACAGGTGATATCTTAAGGGTATAAAGTTACATATTAACTCACGTCCTACTTTTCTTAATCTTTACCATCGCAGATACCTTCATCGTTAAACCTCTCCCCTCGACTTCTTTGTGCTTATACCAGCTCACACATCGCTCAGGGGTGACCAAGACGCACAAGGGTGACACTTTCAACGATTCGATTGACCTTCTTATTACTTGAAAAGAACGGGAGAAAGGAGTCCAAAGGAGGCTTTATGAGATCTAAGGGTGAGATCCCCCTGAATATCGAGAACGAGACGAAGGTCCTAAAGCTGACCTTTTTTCTGCCACAGTACGCATTGCCTACAAGACAAGAAATACTTGCATTACTCAAGTTTATTGCATTAGTCTCTTCGGCTACCTGGCTCTTTATCTAAGCTACGAAAGCGAGTGGCAGTTCTCGCCAGCTGCCAACGGCCGCACAACTGCCTTCAACTTGCACTTACGCACGCACAAAAAATCGAGGAGAAGAAACAAAACGATTAATTTTGCGATTATAGCGTCATCATCTTGAATGAACTGTTCTACTCTTCACTTTACGCACTTGATTCATATCCTCACATCTCCACCCACACTCCTTCCAGGTTATTGTTCTATATACCATAATCACTTCCCTTTTTGTTCTTCCCACCGTCGCACCAATAATCATACTCGAGGCTGAATAGCGACTCTATTCTCGCCCTCTATCTACGTGCCTTTCTCTGGCAGCGCAACTATGCGCCTCTTCAGCAAGGCCCTGCGCCGCCGTCGCCATCGAGCAGGTCCCGAGTTCGACCTTTTGAGCGCAGCTTTTGGTTTTCCCTTTCGCTACCGAACTAAACCTTCATGCAACAAGAGTCCTGGACGAATGAAGATCGTCTATGATCATCCTTCCGACCCCAACGACGAATCAGAGTCGGATGAAACATGCTCTTCATCTTCCCTGAATGATCGTGGACGACAACAGCATCGCAGCCGTCACCTGTCTGAAAGACCTCCGACTCCTCATAGAAACACTCCAGCGTCTCCCAGCACTTCAAAAAAGAGCTCTTCACGAAAGAAGCAGCATCGGCGATGCCGTTCGCGAGCTTCATCTCGATCTAGTCCTGCAAAATCGACTCGCTCTCGAGCCTCTCGCTCGACATCTCGTCGACCAAACATTGGAAGCATGACTCGCCCAACTACCACCCCCTATGTACAGAGTTCCACAACATTTCCACCCCCCATTCCTATTCATTTGTCGAAACCACCGTGTAATATTTTTCAGTTGAAAACATTTCCTATTTCTACTTTGAACCAACCTTTTGGACTTCCAGTATGCCAGTCAATGCCTCAGCAGCAAGTATACTACCAGAACCCAGTCAACTTTGGGCCGCCTCAGCCATCTGCTATGATTCGAGCTCCAGTCCCTCAGTTCATGGCTCCGGCTATGCCTCCGCCCGTCATGGTGCAGCCACCTCCTGGCCTAGCAAAAGTGCCTGTGTCTTCTGCGACTTTAAACAGCAACGTGATTCCTCCAGTAACATCTGGCGTCGATTCTCCAAAGCCAAACTCTCATACTCCTAGGCCATCTGACCCGTGGACAAACGACATACAGCGACTGCAGAAACACATTGACGCAAAGATGGCTGATCTGTCTTCCGAGCCTAACAGCAGAGTTTTACGTCGTGACCTTCGTCGTCTACAAGACCGACTAAACTCGACCTTGAACAAAGCTATTACGCACAGCAAGAAGTCACACGCAAGGAAGCTTTCCCTCACATCGGCCAGCAACTTCTCGCAGCTGGCCCTCGGCGGAGATGCTGCAAGCGAGCCTGCAACTGCCCTGGTCCGCAGCCTCATCGCACCTGTGCACAAAATGGAGAACGAACAGCAGCGAAAGCACCACACACAGCAGGTCAAAAGCCCTCAACGCATTCCACGTCACCATGTCTGCTCAGAATGTGGTAACATTCGCTCACAGCAATTCCATAAGCGTTGGCCCCTTAAAGACTCAAGTAAATCACACAAGATCAACTACTGCGAGAGCTGCCGAGAAGGGATGTTCAATCGAGGTATTGTTCAAAAATACCACTTCTGTTTCAACTGCGGAGGTGCGAGGTCGATGGCATTCCATCAGCAGCATCCAGTGCTACCGGGCGAGCCTATCTTCGTCAACTATTGTGGTTCATGTACCGAAGAGTTCAAGGTCTATGAGAGTCTTCCAGATCATTCTGTCATCAACTTTGTGAGTTTGCGATAATTACCGGTCTAGCAGTTGCTCATACATACAAGGTTGACCCAAGAATTGAGACACACACTCTTTCTGATTCGGAAGATGACTTGGATTCACTCACTGTCAATCGTCACTCGAACAACAGAACCGACCATGACAGTGTCCGAAGCGATCAGCGATCCGAATTCAAATTTGAGCGGCCTGCCGAGCCACCTCGCGGAAGGCGAACAGAGCCACGTACCCCTAAATCGCCTGTTGTTGCATTAGATGTCGACTTCGTGCCCCCTGAATCGCCGTACTGCCCCTCGCGAAGTACTAGTTCTTCTGACCGTCGAGCGGAGAGGAAGTCCTCTGGGCAATTCAGTACAGGTTCCAGTCCCCACAGAGAGGAATTCGAGGCGAAGGGCAACTACCAAGCGCCCTACGTCGAAGATTCCTCGTCGAGTCATCATTCCAGAGTAGCCACCCCGACTTCTAGCCTTCGCTCTAAGAAGAGAGGAAAGAAGACTGAATCCAAAGATCGTGGAACTCGAAAGAATCTCTCCCCTGATGTTGTACTCAAGTCCGCACTGGTAGGTAGTGACCGGTCTTCTTCGGATGGATCTAGAAAGGCCAGAGCCAAGACGTCAGATGAATCGCCTCGAGTTCGCGGGGAGTCTCTCGACTCTGACTGTTCCGACCCAAGTTCTTCCAAGTCTTCGGGCAACAAGACAGTGAGGTTCAAACAGTCTGTCGACATTCGTACAGCCTTGCCGAAAGATGCAGACGACTTCTCAGAGCCTGGAAGTCCCAGATACCCGCGTTCTCCGAGCTCTCCTCTCATCTCTCGCAAGCAGTCTACCTCTCGCCGTACCAAAGACCTGAGAGACAAGTACTTGCACCCTCACTATGGTCAACATTCGAATGTACCCACAGGCTTTCATCGTGAGCACTTGCACACTCCCGATAGCTTTGTCCCTGGAACACCCTCAAAGGGGTACTCCAAAGGAGCATTCAGCAACGACTTTGGCATTGGCGGACATTGGGATTCTTTCGCAAGCCCCGGGTATCCTTACGCCGACCATCACTCGGAAAACTCTTTCCACAACTACTATGACGTTGGTGAGGATTGTAAGGCATCATCTTCTCATCACTACAACTATGACCAGTACAGGGAGTCGACCGCATCTCTTCCATCGCGCCTTTCTACCGGGAGTATATTTGCCTCCTTCTTCGAGAAGGACAAGGCGTCCTCTGTCCCTCCAAGCTACCGAGCAAGCCCGAAACCTTCTGCTCACGATTTCAACGAGACTGCCAGAGACACTTAGGAAAGATTTGGCCCTCGCAGTTCCAATGACAGTCAGCCAACACCTTGCCCTCGGCCATCTCAGTGTTCCTCAAACATCTTCAGTTCATTCACGGAACCTGAGTTACACAGCTGCACAGGTGCAGGGTCAGTTACTGAGAAAGGCAGTGGTCCAGCCGGAAACAACCCATATTACACGCCCCGTAAGCGCAGTCACCCAGAATCACCTTACGGTGGTTCTCCTACCCAATCGGACAAATCCCCCAAGCGGGATTTTGATTCATCTTCGTCCGCAAAGTCGGACAAGTTTGTTTGGAAGAATGCCTTTAATCCTGTCCCAGTAGTTGAAGAGCTGGGCGCTGCCGGTGACACTTCACCTAAGAGCCCAACAGACCTGCTTGGTAAGTATCACATCACTCGCTTGCATCAATACCACTTATTAACATATCATTTTCCAGAGTTCAATATCGTCATTAATCCAGCTTCTCCCATTGATGATGGAATTGACGAGGTGTCATCGGAGTTGTACTCCAACACGCCACCCTCATCGGACGAGAACTAGAACAACCAAGCAGCTGATGAAACGGCTATCTAATACTTTCGGCCAGCAACACTATATGGGTCTTGCGTCGCCGACTTTCACCTAGACACCTGGTGAAACACAATTGTGGCCATTTTTACTTTTGGGAATGTACGGATGTTTAATGAACAAACATCGAGCCTCTGGATGAAGAGCTTAGGGTTACGAAAAGTCAACATGGAAAGGACTGCCAGAGGCATGATAATGATTTGATATGAAGGGGAACGACTGTATGACTTGTTTTTTTCTTGGAACGATACCTTGCTATGACCTGTATTATTAGCGAACGAAACGATTGAATGAGTAATGTATGTACGTATGACGATCAACACGATGCTTCTTAGAAGTCCAATGCACTTCCTAGTCCTCGGGATATCAGAAACAGTGACTGCTAAAAGCGTAAGGGATGAAATTAGTAGGTCAGCTTATGCTACTTAGCTACTTAGACTAGACTTCTAAGGATACTTATTTTATACCCCGAGTCTTAGGAGACCAACTTTTCTACTACACACACACGCCGAATTCCCAAGGACAAGATAAAAAATAGAGTTCATTACTGCATTGTCCCATCATCCGAGCGCCGGCAAAGGGATCTAAAGCCTAAAAACACAAATGCTTCTCTAATGAAGCCGATGTCCCATTACTGAATTTGAAAACTATTCTCCTGGCTGGGGTTTGGGCGAGGCAATGGAATCCCAAGAAAATGACTTGTTAGGGGTGCACTTGTGATCGCAGCCATGCGTGACAGAGGGCTCTGTCTTGATTCGAAATACGCGATGGCTTCTTGTCGTTTCATTTCGAAAGCATCGCTCCGTGCTCGTTCCCTGTCTATGTTTTCCGCACGTTCTTGCAAATCAGCACTGATTGCATCTTCCTTCTTCTTTCTCTCTACAGCATCCTTGATGCGTTTCTCTGTTTTCTGGCATGCGGCATCCAGCTTCTGGGCCATTGGTTTCTGTGCGAGTTCCAGTGCCTTGTTCTCGCCACGCTCTTGGGTAGAGGCACCCCAGAGACATTGGAAATTGAGCTTTGTTTGTTGACTGCTGCGGTCGCCAGACCCCCAGATTGTCAACGTATCACCGTTGTAGAGACGAGTCCAGTGATGAGAAGGCCCGCCGTGGTTCTTAGCGTCGGCTGAGGCAAGCTGATAACCGTTGATGTTGATGCCAACAGATGCTTTAGTCGAGACGTAGAAGCTGTAGGCATTTGGATCCTCCCCATTTCGGAGCCAAGGAAAAGGCATCTTTGATGGGTCGAATGTGTCATCATCTTTCCAGAGCAATATTTTGAAAGCATACTTGGGTACCCGAGATTCGTAAATGTCGCTGAACGGCTCTGTATTTGAAGGACCACGACCAAAAGAAACCAAAGTGTCGGTAATAGGGATAGTAATGCCTGGTATGCACGACTCTGGATGGGACTCGATGACGCCAACGAGTTGTTTGTTGGGTTCTGGTTTTTGGACAGGGACGACGATCTGGGTATGGGAAGTGGGCAACGTATCAGGGATTTGTGAGTCCTCCGAGGCGACAGCGGTAGGTGGAAACTCCATGGCGTCGTCTGTCGTGCCCTGCGGTGTCCGGGAGCTTCGCCGAGTTTCGCTGATCTGTGTTCCAGCTTTTGACACTGGAGAGAAATACTTCATTGCAAGATCCCATAATGGGGTCTTTCCGGGCGCAAACGTTTCACCCCTTGTCTTCGCCGCCTGCTCGAAGGCTTTGTGTTGGAGGTGGGTCAATTCAGGATAGTTGAAATGCCAGGTCTTTTTGTCCTGTTCCCAGAAGCATGTTTTGTTGAAAGGCTGGTCAATTTGTCGTCCCGAGGATGGTTTTCCGGCTACAGGGACCTGGATCAGTAGTTGATACTCTTCAAGTGCTTCTTTTGTCATCTCTTCAAGATTGCCCTCCGACTTTAATCTTTTCATAGTGGGTTTTCCGCGTGGTGTGCTCTCCTCAAACTCGTCGCTGGTGTCTTGGGAAGGAGGTTTGCGTTTACTAGTATTCAAATCCGATGATTGCAAGGAGAACTGAGAAGCCCCCAGAAACTGCATACTAGGTTCGTCGCCACCAAGGCTTTGGGATGCCACATTCTCAACAAGGCTTTGAAGCTGATCTTCTGACTGTTTTTGAACCATAGAGGCAGTCGTTTGGCGGTATGCTCGGCGGTTTCTACCCCTAGGCGTGGCATCCTCGTCTGATTGGTAAGCCTCGTCCTCATCTTGATTAAGAATCTCAGTTTCACCTGTGCTAGCGTTGCTCGCTTCGAGGTTGAGGTATTCGCCTGGAATTACACCAGAGCTGCCAATGGCGGAAACACCAACTTCTCCGAAAAGCCTGGGTTTGTTTGCGTCTGGAAGTCCTGCCGTAATTTCTTTTTCCGACTCTTCACCCATGGAGTCACTAACCCGGTCTTCCTCGTAGTGGCGGGGCTGTAACTGAGAGAAGTTATCATACATGTCGTCGTCCGAGATCTCGTCAAAAGATTGCGAGGCGCTGATGACCGAGGATTCGCCAGTAAACCAAGGGTGGTGTTCGAGTTCTGTAACTGTCGCTCGGTATTCTGGGCGCTTTTCAAGCATTCTGCAAAGGAATTCGATCACTGGCTCTTTTAAGCCGTTTCTCTCCAGGGGCGAGGTGTCTAACCGGGTAGTCATGATCTTGTGCAACAGTTCAGAATAGCTAATGCCGCTCTTAACTGGATAAGGGGGCGACGCAGTCAGAGCGTAGAACAATACACCGCCTAAAGACCAGATGTCAACAGCATGGTTGTATCTCTGACCTGGAGGACGTCGCATTTTCTTGCCCCGGCTACGTACGCCATTATCATCATACTCCGCATATTCTGTGTACACCTCCGGCGCACAATAGAGTAAAGTGCCACAGAACGTTCGTAAGAAAGTCTGTTCACTATCCACCATTTTCGACAAGCCAAAGTCGGTAAGTTTCAGATCGATAGGATTAAGAGAGTTGATAAGAATATTGTCTGGTTTGACGTCGCGATGAGTGATGTTGTTGTCGTGTAGGTATCCTAATGCACTCAAGAGCTGCTTTGACATGATTCGAACACTTTCCTCTGTCAAAGCTTTGTGGTCCGAGATAAGTTTGCCCAAATCACCACCAGGGACAAACTCCATAATGATGATAAGTAGCCGGTCATCCCATTCGAAATGCTCCATATACTGAACGATATGAGGCTGTAAAAATGTATGTTAGAGGGGACAAGGCAACGATATAGGCAAGACTTACATGTTCAACCCGCTGCATGATCTTCATCTCATTCTCAACCTTTTGGTCCAGCACGCCGTTTTTTATAAAACGACGCTTCTCAATCTCCTTGGCTGCGTAGGGTAAACCGTCGTACTTAGACGTGACCCTGTGAACAATCGCAAAAGCGCCCTTTCCGATTGTGCCAATTCTGTTGTACTTCTTAGAACCCGTCCATTCTCTGTTACCGTTGCCGTCTCTCCTTTTTTGTGGTTTGCGAGAAGCTTGCTGGGTAATTTCGTCCGTCTCCTCTCTTTTAAATTGGTTCTGGGCTGGAACCTTGAAGAGATCAACGTGTCCACCAGGTCCAGGAGTGATTGTGTCATTTGAACGCTTGATTCCGTGGCGAGTAAAGAAATCATCGACTTTTTCGGTATACGCTTGGTCGTACTCATTATCTCGCCGAGGTATCCTGACTCGGAAAGTCAAATCTCTTTCCGCTTGGTGGAGATACACCTTGATGATGGAGCCAGAGCTGAGAACCCATTTTGTTATAGGCGGGTCATCTCTTTTGGCTGAAGGATTCGAGGCAAGAATGTGGTCATCTACTATAGTACCATTGGTAGACTGATCCTCAATCATGACAGTGCCATACTCGTTGACATATATTCGGAAATGTATGTTGCTGACTCGCTTCAAGGGATCGTTTACGAATACAACATCGCATCGCATCGTGTTGCGGCCAAAGACAAACCCAGCAGCGGGGTTCTTGAGCTGTGACGACAGCCGAAGGATAATAGCATGGCTGCCGCTGCTTCCCGTGTTGGCGCTAAATCGGCCAGCCTGGTCTTCAAGGGCATAATCTGGCTCAACGCCGTCCGCTTCGTCCTTACCGATAATATGGGGAGAGCCTTCCTTGACAAGGCGTTCAAGTTCGATGCGGGCCGATTCCGAGTGCGGATAGAGGACGCATATTATATCAGAAATGTCTTCATCTGAGAAGCCCGAGTTCTGCTTCCCGATACGGCGCGGGTCGAGGACATTCTGCGTCGCTTCCACGAGGAGGTCAGCGTAAGGAGGAGAGAGACTGGACCAGAGAGGACATACCTTGCGTGGGTTCGTCGCCATCCATTGGGATCGACCCGAGCAGCCTACGCTGCAAAGCGATGCAAGACTGCCGTTTTTATACTTGATAGAGACAGGTCCAGGCAGACAACAAGGCTTGTAACGTTGTGAGGCGATCACGGGCGCAAACGTTACAGGCTGGAAAGTCCTACTTTTTGGATATGATATTGGGGTAACTTTTTCGAAGTGGTATGACAACCGGCTGGCTGATGATTTGAATGTCTCGCTGCGTCGTCGCGAGGTGGGATTAAGAACAAATTGTATTTGAAACTTCCAAAAGTAAATAAAAGAAGAGGTTGAAGAAGAATCCAAAAAGAGGGGAGACAGGATGGAAAAAGAAACGACAAGGGACTATTGAGGTTGAAGTAGGTAGGTGCGAATGGATGGACTAAGATGGGCAGGAACGTCACGACAAGCCCTCCCATCAGGTACCAGAAAAGTTGGCCGCCAGGAGCATAAGAGACTAAATTGCTGGGCCACTTTGTGCTACTTAGACTATACTTCTTAGGCTATTTATTTTTGTCATCTAAAGCTTAAAGGTCAATTCTTCTGCTACCCACTAGCCTCCACAGGACAGGCCTCGAGGGCAATAGAAACGCTGCCTCTGGTTGGCTGATAGCGATCGGAATCTAGTCTAACAGCAGGAGCAGGCCTGTCCCATGGCCAATTGCCTGGCAATTAGGCACCCTCTGCTCTCGGTTCCAGCAGATAAATCCCGGGCATCCACGACCCAGCGTAGCGGGGAGACGCCGTTTGAGTGCCGTGACGACTCTACTGCTTGACCCTTGCTTAATAGAGTGGAACGTTCCATACAACACTTATGGATGCCTTAGCAACCAGAGAGAGAAAAAAGTCGAGCTCATGATGTAACAAAACAAGGTCACATCACGTTCTATCCACGTAACACGGGCGCGTGGAAACGGTACTCGAGGCGCGCTCAAGTCACGCGCTTCGAGTTGTTGCTTTCCTAACAGTAAACAGCCAACGATTACAGACGTCGACGTCAGCCTGTCAGGCGCTAACGACCAGCCATTGTCCTCGAGACTGCCTTCAGAGTTGAGCGGGTCAAGCACAGTCACTGGACAGTAACGCCTGCCAAAAGTCTCAGCTTAGCTCACGCTCCGCCACTATCCAATAATTTGTCCTTGACTTCGATTTCAATAATAAACGCGATCTCGAACTAATAACGCCTGGTATCGTTGTATGGCATCAATAGCCATCGATGTGCTAAACCACGTCACAACCACTAGCTTTCCAAGATAATAGACCTCACATAAAGTCAAGACGAAATGTTACAATTCAATAAGTATTTCAAGGAAACGGAATACTGTATGCTGACTACCCTCACAATGTATCTATGATAACTGAACATAATGCGAAATCTCCCGAAAATGATGCAACTCTTCTCTGTATATCAAGAGTGTATTGTATGCAAATTGATCTTAACCCATAACCGTCAAATCATATTCTTACATGCCCAAAACGCCGTATGATGCATGCGCCCGTTTCGTTGTACTCCAAGTCGCTATGATCATGCGATATCCATAAGTAGTTCCATGCTGACTTAACCGGAGCTTCTTCCCAAATCCTGACTAGAACGCTTGTCCTTGGTACTGTGAATGGACATTGCGAGAAGCCTGTTGAGCTCCAAGCGATGATGAGTTGTATTGACCTTGAGGCGGCACGAAACGAGGATCGACCTGTTGCGCAGCTCGCATCGGTCGTGAGAAACTATTCGGCTGCCCATATCCTCCCATCTGCTGAGATGCTGGTCCGTATTGGGAGCCGCCTGGCGTGTACTGGCCTGGAGCTTGACCCATAGGGCTGTATGCGGGCATGTTACCAACACTCATCGTTGGCTGCTGGTAAGCTTGTTGGTAGTTTTGCTGCTGGGCCTGCTGTTGGTACGCCATTTGTTGTTGCTGAGCAAGTTGCTGTTGTATCATTTGCTGCTGAGCCATTTGTTGCTGGGCCATTTGCTGCTGGTACGCCATAGCTGCCTGCTGTTGTTGTCGCTGGCTGATCGCTTGTTGGACCGCTTGGCTATTCATCCCTTGCTTCATCTGCTGCTTCTCCCGTTCCCGGGCTTCAATAGCACCAACTAGGCCTGAACCTGAGGAAGCCTGTCTCTGGTGGCCAAGCGAGAACCCCTGAGATCCTTGTCTTTGGTGTCCAGGCATACTAATCAAAGGTTGGCCAGTCAATCGGGCAACGTGTTCCTGCTCTCGTGCACTGAGATGGCTTGAAGTCTCTCCAGAGCTTGCAAAGTTCAAGGTTGAATTTGCGCCTCGCGATCCAGGTCGCTGAAGCAGATCAGCCGAGTTATTTCGAGAGTGGCGGCCGCTCTGAATGGCTTGTAGCATGTCGGAGGAGCTATTTCGCTTCATTCCCCCAGGACTACCCGTAAGGTTGCCGCCCATGCTGTTGCTAGATGGGGTTCGGGCATGAGACGCCCTCTGCTGCACGAACTCCTCGGCACTCAGTCCGTGAGCACTGGCTGGAGGAGCTGTTGCACCTGGTGACCAGGCCATCGTACGCTTCGATTCTGGGGACTCTTTCTGGCCAAGGGATCCCTGTGAAGCTGAAGATTTGTGAGCAGGAGGGCTTGGTCCATGACCTCCAGGCGTATGGGGCCTACTCTTAGTAGCACCATAGTTAATGGTTGGGCCAAAGTTGATATCTGGGATATCAAATTCTTTCCCCGACTCCTCGGCGCCGCCAACGGTTTTCAACACTCCAGCACGAGGCTTGGGTTCTTGGTATTCGTATGCGTCCATAAAATTCCTGAGGCTGGTTGCAGGAGAGTCGTCATCGTAGTGACTGCTTTGATTGCTCTCCAGTCTGCCAGGCGGCGCTGGCCGCCTTTCAGAGTTTGGGGTTCCTTGGCGAGGCGTCTGTCGGCCTTGATCAAAGGCATAGTGATCGATGATCTCATTCGTAGTAATGGCGCTGCTGCCAGACATAGTGTTGCCCTTGGTATTTTCGAATTGTGCGGGCCCGGGTGGCGGGGGTCCAGGCATCTGTCCAGGTACAGGCTTGCGGTGAGCCATTTGTCCTTGGGGACCATTAGGAGGCCCGCTAGGAGGTCCGTTTGGGCGAGATCCTGGCGGTCCGTATGAGCCAGGGGGTCCAGGGGGTCCAGGAGGACGACCTGGGCCAGGCCGGTAGTTGCCGTGAGGACCAGGAGGCGGACCATTTCCACGACCTCGCTGATCGGGAGGTCGACGACCATCAAAACCAGGGCCTCGAGGGTCGGAAGGTCTTCTTCCGTCAGGGCCGGGTCGTCGAGGATCCGAAGGACGCCGACCATCTGACCCCATGTCGGGGCGACGATTGCCATTTTGAGGGTGAGGACGTTGCTGAGGGGGCATACCCGGAGGCATCGGGGATCGTCGACCTTCAGAAGTCCCAGGACGCGAGTTTGGCCCGTGGCCATAGGGGCTAGGTGGCCCAAGCGGGGGCTGGCCCAGTGGTGATCGAGAGCGTTGCTGAGATGAGTTGGCTGGGAGAGGGAGACTGTTGGAAGAGGGATCCTGATTTGTTGAGCTTAAAACTTCACGCGAGCGGTTGTCGTTAGCAGATATCCCTACGGAGTTGGCGTGTGGTGGTAGTACCGATGGTCCAGATCTTGCAGCGTCCACCTCATCTTCCCCGGGAGAAGGTCTCGAATCATTCGGTCCACCCATTCCTCCAGCTGAGGAAAGTTGGGCTAGGGTAGTAACGGAAAGCCTACTGTTAGCTCGTCTGAGCTCAGGTGAGTGATAAGCTCTGCTGACGGGTCTGCCTTGAGAGCCATGGCTGAAAGCAGGAGGGCGCGAAACAGGCTCAGGAGTGTGCATCTGTCGCATTCCGTCCAGGTCTTTCAGAGGTGGCGAGCCATTGGGCCCACGTTCGTTTTGGTAAGCAGGGCTCTGGTCTCGCGAGGCCTGGTTACCGACAGGAGTCGGCCCACGCTGTGGCGAGGCCGAGTAAGGGCTGTTGTCATTGACGAAGGGAGGACCTCCGAGTTGATTGGGGTCAGACGAGTTGCGGCCATGGTTTCCGAGAGCAACCCGAGCAGGGTCTGCAGGAGCAGAATCCGTTCGAGCACGCTCGCCAAGGGAGAAAGATCGTGAAGACCTGGTGGGAACTTGCTGGTCCGAATTGGTCTTGAGGGTGGGAGGACCATCTCCAAAGCTCAACCTAACGCTCTTTCGACTGTTGCTTCGAGAGCGTGTTGCAGGCGCATCATCCACAGCATTCATACGAGTGCCAGTAGATTCCTTCAACTTCTTTCTCCAATCTCGCTCACCCCAGTTCGAGCTACCGTCCTCGAGGATCAAGTTGGAGACGTCGAGATTCTCGAGGTAACCATAACGCCGGCTCTTTGGCATGGCGAACATGAGGGATCTGGAATCGAGTGTACTGGCAACCAGTCTTCCGGGGCGACCATAAAGACCAAAGGTATCCCATGTGGGGAAGAGGAAACGTAGTAGCATCTCGAATCCGGTGACAGCAGGGCGAGTTTCTGGCATAATGAACACGAAACCTTCGGTGGAGGAAGGAGGATCAGTGTGGATAGAAATGTTACCCTCAATCTTAAGCAGGGTTGACGCCTCAATCAAAGACTTTGCCTGAGGATAGATTGCATAGGCCGAATAGGCGTCGGTGATGGTGGCGATTGGTTGCGCTTTCTTCTGCTTCTTGCCATCCTTCCTCTCGTCGTAGAATTTGATGTCTCCCTTGAGGGTAGGAACAGGTGATCGATCATAAGGAGACCTCTTCTTGAGTTCCTTTTGAAGCTTTGCATACTGCTTCTCATCGGGAGGGGTGATAACACACCAGCATCGTCTCCAAGGTACACCAGCACCGAATCGGACTCTAACCCATTCTTCAGTGGGGAATCTTGCCCTCTCCATGATCACACCAATGTTGTTGAGCGACTTGCCCTTGCCGGCAATAAGAGCGCCGGTGTAGGCCTCTTGCAGCGAGGAGTGCTCAAAGATGGCCAGTCGGATACCAGCGGTCCACTGCAACAGGGAGTGTCGAGAATTGAAGTGAAGAAGATATCGGTTTCTTCCAGCTGTGGAGATACTCAAGATATTCTGCAGGGGCTGTTCATCGGCAGACCTTGTGGGCAAGGATTCGATCTGTCAGAAATTCGTATTAGTCGAGTTCGGAGATTTCACCATCACCATGAAACCGGATTATTTACCATCTTTATCGATGCATCAGTCAAGTTGACGAACTTTGGTAAAACTTCGCCATCCTCGCCGGCAGCATCGAGCTCTGAGGCATCCCACAGTGACAAGACAGTACCGACAAGTTGGGCGAAACATTCACACCAGGTTCTATCAGGGTTGGGTTTACCCTCTGTTAACGAAGTCGTTAGCTATACATCCTTGCAACACATGTGTGAACAGTTGAATGTGGAGTCCCCTTGGCGTCAGGGGTAGGTATGTGGGGATGGTAAGAACGGCAGTGGGATCTGGGTCAATCATACGTGTATTCTGGTCGTCGAGCTTGAGGAAATAGCCCTCCTGGTACAGCTTGTTGGAGTGGCTATTGAGAAAAGAATAGATAGGCTGGAGTTCGGGGATTGTATCCTCGGTGATATCCATGATGGGCGGTTGGTGAGCCAGGACCATAGACGGGGGTCGTGAAGATGCAGCGGATGAACTGCGTCGTCGGCGGGTGGATGGTTCAATTGGGGAGCCGCCGTTTAAAGGTGTGCCATAGTCCGGTCGCGAAGGCGGTGTGTTTGGCCGAGAAATATCGGCACTGACTCGATGGTCTGGGAAAGGTTCTGTGCCAGAATTCACTCTGCGATGCCCTTGCTTGTAAGGTGAATCTGATGGAGGAGAGGTTGAAGGCGGAGGTGTCTTTGTGCCAGCAGAGAACTGGGACATAAACGAAAGAACTAAATACCGGCACCAACAAGTTAGCACGAGACGGGATGAGGTGAGATATTATGAACGGCATGCAGCCCCCTGGAAGCAGACAATATGTCCACGTCGCTCAGTCCCTTCAATTAGAGCCGGACCCCTAGAGGAACTAGCCAAGGGCCACCATACGTCAACGTACAGTGGAACTCTTTGTCCCCGCTACCCATAACTGCCCCCCCCCCCCCCCCNCAAAACCCCCCCCCCCCCCCCCCCTGCGGCCTGTGTTGCAGGCGTATGGGACAGTCATCTCAGGCTGTTCAGTCCATGAATTTGGGTCGGGTGCCCTGGGCAAGCCCACCTAAAATGAACATGGACACGCCAGGGTAAGGGTCCAAAAAGCCACTAGCACCACCTTCTCTAGGTCCTCCTTACGTGCACGTCCGCGCGCAAAGTAAAGCAGCGCAACGTATACGAAGTAGCCAACCCCAAGGACTGGAATGGTATTCACGAATGCACAACGTGTGTAGGTACGCACCTCGATTTCGACCCATCTTGTCAACAATGGCGGGTGTGACCGAAAGGAATTTCTGAAACAAAAAAAATAATTAAAAATGAGGCCTATTCGTGCCCAGCAACAACAAAGGGAGAAGAAGGTTAGTTGATTCGGTTTGACTGCGCAAGGGATGGTCTCGAGAGAGATGAAAAGCTGCGCCAGCCACGATACTGACGTCGTCCGGTATCGTAATTTCAGACGAGTTTGATTATCTTTTCTGGGCGTCGAAGATCAGGGCGGTCCTGTAGTCCAAGAATGAGAAAGAAGAAAGGGAAAAAAGCTGGCCCTTGCGTGCGATACGATTTCAGATGTAGGTGAGGTGGGCGGTTCTTGTACTATTATGTCGGCTCTGAACTCTAGACTCTCTTTAGAACCCGGGGCCGGACTGTATCCATTCAAAGGTGGTGCTGCGGCGGGTGCGGATGCGGATGCAGATACGGATGCTTCGGGTCACTGACTTGTCAGTACAGTACTTGAGCAGCCAAGGATGTCGATGACCAGGTGCAACTGGTCAATTTGTGGTGATCTACCGTAAGAAGTAACTGCAGTCAGTGCCTGGGCAAGCGACAGTAACGGATAGGCAATGCAATGCAAGTCTTGGCTCTGGAGCTGCCGGTAATTAGGTATACGGGCTGTGTCCGTAATTTCTCCAATACGCGGAGGTCGGTGTCTTCGGACTTGTTAACTCGTCTTTCGGCGAGTAGCGGCGGTGGTCTCTTAAGTACCGAGCTGGAGGTTCTTCGCCCTGCGTTGATGAAGTGAAGCACTGTATTAGTTAGAAAAGAGAGATGCGTCGTTCGATGGGTTAACCTTGTCAGGTTGTCTAGAATGCGGGCTTCGTTGTTTAAATCTGTACGAGGCTGGTAGGGGACCCAGAAATTCAACGTCAACGAGAGCAGGTTTTCTTGGAAAAAAGAGGACCACTAACAAGCTCCAAACCAGCCCAGGACCGGGTCGTGTTCGGTGTTGCGATGGATCTCCAACCAGCGCGGGGGGTCCCTTATTTTCTCGATAAAGTCCCTCGGTCTTGGGTACTTCTGGAGTAAGAGAAAGAAGAGGGTCCGACCAGCTCGTTTGCTTAATTTGTCTGCGTACGAGATCCAACTATCGTTGCTTTTCCTGCAATCTTGTAGGTACTCCAAAGTACAGTACAAGATGATACTCCTTCTGCGAAAGATATGCGATTTGCGATTTGCGATTTGCGATGAACGAATTGAGTGATGACGGGCCCGATCAGTGGCATACGTCACTAGTGTAGCGGGTTATGGCCTGGGCGAGATGGATTGGAAGTCTAAGTCTGGTGGGCTGGACTAGAACAGACACCCTCAAGTCACTAAGAGGACCCTCCTATAGGTAGGTCGTCTTAGCACAGGCACCTCGAAACTTGTGTACACCGAGTAATGTAATTCAAGCAAAGTCGGTGAGCCAAGGCTCTAAGAAAAAAGTAAAAAAAAGCGCAGCAAAAGAAATACGTAGAATCAAGGAACAGAAGGAAAGAATTGTTCGCGAAAGGGATCAAGGAGGGTTACAATCCGCTTATAATGGCAGGGGCATCATGTTTTCTATATACTTGCCATGATACCCAGTTCCAAGCTGACTACCTCTACCATTAGTTACCGGGCTTACTCTGCCTCTGACGAAAATAGAGCTCAAAGAAGCACAAAGAATCAATCAGACGCTTTGACGACAGGCCTCTGTTTCGCAACATGCCTTTGACAAACTGTCAGATGCTGGATGGGCGCTTCGGCGTATCGACAGTTATGTGGAAGAAGCATGCTGTCCAATCATAGTCCCGCTCTTCCATCTGCCTATGACTGAGCCAAGATCAAGTGCAACATAACAAGAGGCTGCATGCATCTACTTCACTGGATTCGCGTGTGCTTGGCGCCAACTGTTGCTGGTGCAATTACTGTATTGTGTCTCTTCTCTGGGACCAATTCGTCTGGTTTTCCAAGACCTGTACCAGCAACCAGACTTGGAATTCGCGGCACAGCACGAGAACGAGGCAATAATGATAAGGAAATCTTGTCAGCATTGCCTTGACTTGTGAACAGGGTAATATGGGGACCTGCAGTGTGCAGTGCAGTTTCTACCGCTGATCCACTGCTTGATCAAGTATAACATGAGCTTGTCAACGAATATCTGATGGCCAGTGGCTGGGATATTCCCGTTTCGGGCTCCGTAGAACGGCGTCAACGACGGGTGTGATCGTGGCATATCCCGGCCTGGAAAAGACTCGTCATTCTTAACGCCATTTCCTTCCACCTCAGGGCTTCTTTTACCGCTGTCTCCACGAGCACTGGGACTAACCTACTGGACGGGCCGTTCATCGTCCATGCCCGGGATGGCTCCATCTCATGCGTCTCAGACGCTTGGGTGCCAGCCACTCTGATTGCTTCCAATGGATCACTTTGTTTCGTCCTGTTACGAGTAGAACACAGTCTCGTAAGCTTTACGCTCGAATGCTGTCGTACCAACAAAATTACACCATACCGAGCCAGTCTCGTATTATTGCTTCAATAGTGTCTAGCCAAGACTCGATCTTTGGGGCTTTTGGCGATTTCAACTCCACCGTACCGCTCAATACAGGCATACGTAAGCATCCAGCCTCTTTTTCCATTGGTATCTAGGCTTTGTATAAGCGGGTTTGAACAGTTTCCTGGGGTTGGAAAAAGCTTGGCGTGCTGAGTATTTCAAGGTTGATGCTTCGAGACAGGACAGATGCTCTTGTGCCGCTTCATCAACGGCGGTCGTTTTCGATTTGTCCAAGAGTTCGAATGATAGACATACATGAGGCTTACCGGAGGCCCATTGAAGCAACACATATACATCGTCGGCGTGTCCCTTAGTGGTACCGCTGGGTAAGGTTCTCCCGGGTTTAGGCTTCATGGATGATGGATGGAGGCATCCAAGCCCTATTCACACTCAGCCGGACCAGGGTCAATGTAGGTGAAGATGGGGTCGTAAAAACCGGAGAAGACAACCCGAACTGCCAAATCTACCTAGCGTACTTTTAGAAGCGAAAAGTACATATTTTTGTACGGCAATCCCATACGTGAGTTCAAATCACGATGGCTATGCTAGATATGATGCCAAGCTCTTGGTGTTGTGTTTATTCCACCGCCGACTCTCGATTGGTCCAGCGTATATCGAGGCGCCCGTACTCTGTACATCAGAGCAAAATCTCATCAACGATTACTGGACGTTAGTATACGGTACCTTGCTCTACTCGACCGGGAACGCCGGCTCTTCCTTAGCAATGCATCTTCCATGCTCAGTCAGCCGCCAGCAAATACTAAATAATCACTGTACAATAGTACCAACTGGACGATAGCTTCGAACGTTACAACCATAACGGGGTTCGTTTGCGTAGGCGGTTAGAATTTTCTGTTTGATAGGCATGACAACATACAATGCCTGAAGTTTTGAGGATAGCGCTTGCGCGTCAAACAATGGGGAATGAGGTACAGATTGTGCCAGTCAGGTTGATGATTGTGATTAGGGTCTCACTTCAAAGTTCCGATTGCGCTGGATGGCATGGTAGCCATCCATAGCCATTCGACACACAGCCTAACAGCTTCTGTCAGGCCCCCGCCCTACCGGACTCCCTCTAGGGCCCCCTACAGTGAGATCGGCCAGGTCCACTATGTTTGATCGTCAGGCATTTGAAGAGCCGGCAACTCATCTCTCAAGAGCCGCAGATCGTCATGTCAGCTACGTACGTACTGTAACTTGACTTACAGCAGAATATTCCATACAACGCTACAGTGGCTTACATATACGGAAGGGTTTCAAGATATAACCTAATCGGTCCAGGGAATGTAACCCTGCTGGTTATACATAGTCGTGAACAAGTTCATCCCAATCCTTTACGTCATGGGTCCCGATACTATGGTGATTTCCCTGCAAGTCGTTCATTGAGGACGCTATCAACCTGTCCAGCGGATATTTGCATGCGTGGGGACATGAAAACATGTCACATAATGATAGTGTCTCAATAAAATGCGTCATACATCAACCCTCATCTTATCATGAATGGCATGACACTTCCTGAGCGAATATTGACAACACAGGAGGGTCATTGCGCGCTGTTTGGCGGCCCAGACCTTGGCATCCATGATAGGTTGGGTTGATCCTTTTAGATCGTGGAACAAAACAAGGTGCGGCAACCTTACGCTGAACACACCTTATTTTGTTCAATGTGGCTGCTGTTTCGTCTCATGACGTGTAAATATGTCTGTGTCCCCAACCGCCAACACGTGGTGCTTCGAATATGTCTTCAATGTCACATTCTAGTGGAATTCAGCCATTGGATTCGAGAATGCTATTCAAGGTTGGAACTTGGCTATCTCTACTTACCTGCTAACCTGGACAATCAATTCGTTGGTGATTTTTGTATATTGATCCACCCGTGCCTGGACTGAACCACCACATTGTTTTGCCAATTGTCTAACATCCAGCAAACTGATTTTATGGACTAACTACAGGGTATGAATCTCTCCCTTGTTGTTTTAAGCTTCCCCAGATATCGATTTGAAGGGATATCTTCTCTTTGCGACAGTGAGATCTATCCAAGTGATCCAATCATGTAACGTGTTACTGCCATTGGGCTTGACCACTCTCACGGAAGCTCGCCGAAGCACAACCTTTTTTTACGGACCGGTCGCACAAAAACTGTACACCAACCGGAACAAAGTATGGGGGAGCAGACTTTTATAGCAAAAAAGAAAAGGTTTTCTTTTGTCCCCCCTTTTCCCCCTTCTCTCCCCCAGTGTAAGTTTGTCTCTCTTGCGGTTGGGGTCAACAAGGAGCTCGGGTTCCTGCGGGAGAAGAATAGTGTTTGTGATCATTGGTCGCTTTGACTCAGAAATTGCCATTTTTGGATATCGCCTTTTCTTTTCTTTGGCGGTATAGAAAGCAGTATTGGGGTCTGGCTTATCACGTGTCTGAACTGTCTGTAATCCTATCCCCCAACCTATACCTGCGTTCCGATCTTGTCTCAATTGCGAGCCTGAGCCTGAGCCTGAGCCTGATTACTCCTTTTAGGAATTTCAATCTTTGGCACAGCAGCAGTCTCACTACAGGTTGCGGCCAGGCAACTCAAACTGGGCAGGAATCATCAGCATCAGGCTTGTATAGCTGGAATGCTCATTCAACCACACTCGATTCTGGCGCCCGTCCCAATATCAACATTACCATCGCTCCCGGTGCGACGCCTGGCACGCACGACATGGCGCCCGTGTCGCAAGAGATGGTTCGCTTCAGAGACGACTCATCCTACACATGAGATTCCGATCTTGCCTTTTCGATTCGAGACGGGCATAGGCCTTTTTGCGAAGCGACCTCCTCGACCATTCCCGCCGCCTTTTCTGTCTCCTCCGTCTACATCATTTACAGATCCTCTCAGTACACATCACCAAAGCCGAGACCGTCGCGCCTTTGTCCACGGCCAACTGATAAGAGGGAAAACGAACGGCGATGATGCTGTCTACGCAAGTGATTATTTCATTTGTGCCAACGACGGCGTGGGAGCGTGGGCTACGAGGCCGAGAGGGCACGCTGGGTGAGTAGTCGGACAACTTCCGAGCTGCCTCAATTAGCCGCTTACATTTATCCCAGGCTTTGGTCACGACTTGTTTCACATTTCTGGTCCTCCGCGATCGAAGAAGAACTGGCTGAATCAGAAAAATCGAAAGAACCCAACCCTATCGCTAGTCTACAGAGCGCATACGACCGGACTCTTGCTGCGACGACCGAGCATGACTGCTTGGGCACAACAACAGTTTGTGGTGCGCAGTTGCACTACAAGACTTGCGCCGAGAATGAAACACAGACCTCGCCAGTTTTGTATGTAACCAATCTTGGCGACTGCCAGGTTTTGGTTCTGAGGCCCAGTACCGGAAAGATCATTTTCAAAACTGTGGAGCAATGGCACTGGTTTGATTGCCCCCGACAGCTTGGTACAAACAGCCCCGATACACCCAACGATAATGCAATCGTGGACAAGATCGATTTGGAAGTTGGCGATGTGGTGCTGGCAATGACCGACGGCGTTATCGACAATCTTTGGGAGCACGAGATTGTTGCGAGCATACTCAAAAGTATCAAAGAGTGGGAATCTGGAAAGCACCCAGAGGCTCACAGAGGTGATCTCACAGGCGGTCGTAATGGTGGAATGAGGGCAGCAGCCCAAGATCTCATCGAAGCAGCTAAGGAAATCGCTCTAGATCCCTTCGCTGAGAGTCCATTTATGGAACGTGCGATTGAAGAAGGTTTAGCCAGCGAAGGCGGTACGTTGTATTTACCTCACATCTTGCTGAACAGAAATCTAACGTTACTAGGCAAGCTTGACGATATCAGTGTTGTCGCTGCCCTTTGTGTAAAAAACGAGGGTTAATAGTAGTCTCTTTGCTGGACATTCGAGACACCTGAACGACTTAGAGTAGACTTGACGGAACGAGCGAAGCATTATGGACCTACTTAATTATACGATTTAATGATGGGACGGGATACATATAGCCTTGAGATGAGGCTCTCCATGCATTATAGAAAGAATTTGCCGACTAAATATAAAACTGATTACTCTGGATAGAACGGTCGATCACCTACATGCCTCGCCATGATAATGCTTTGGTGTAGCAAGCTATAGGGTTCTATAGAGAAACGAGACTGTTTAAAGCTCATACTGAAGTCGCCATATATATCTTACGCTAGTAGTAACAAGATTATCTGAAAACTATTATCAAGATAAATATATAAATCTAAAGACAATGTTTGTTGTCCTTTAACGACTTTCTTTTCCTTCATGACAAGTGGGATGATGGCGGGGCATGATGACGGACAGCGGGTCGCGTCCAGCATATCTTATCGCACGTGCCGCGATAAGGAAATTTATTTTTTGGAGTTGATCTTGACTTCACCTGGTGTCGCATCTAGTTCTGTTTGGTACGTCCTCAAACAACTGGCTCAGCCCTTAATCCAGCAACAAAATATTCAAGATGCGAGGAAAGAGGTCAAAACAGTACCGGAAGCTCATGGAGCAATTCTCCCAGACTTTCGGCTTCCGCGAACCGTATCAGGTCTTGGGTAAGTTGTCGCAAACTGCTATTGTCCCAAGCTATCCTCTTCCCTCGTCGGACTTGGGGACAATGCGATATAAAGAACAATGGCCAGAACGAACCAAGCTTACAATCTCTAGTCGACGCCGAGATGATCCAAGATTCTTCCCGATGCAAGATGGACCTCGAGCCTGCTCTGTCAAGAACCGTCCATGGCAAGGTCAAGCCTAGTACGTCCCATCACCAAGCTTTTCTACAACCAATTGCTGACTTGACTAGTGGTGACGCAGTGTGAGATGCGCAAACTCTACGCTACGAAAAACGAAGCTTTCATAAACCTAGGCCAGACCCTGGAGCGCCGCCGGTGCGGTCACCATCCCAACGAGTACCCTGAGCCGCTGAGCACCCAAGAATGCCTTCGATCAGTCGTCGACCCCAAGGACACAAACCAAAACAAGCATCGTTATGTGGTCGCCAGCCAGGATCAGGAAGTGCGAAGGATGCTACGAGGAATTAGAGGCGTTCCTCTCATTTATATTAAGAGAAGTGTCATGATTCTTGAGCCAATGGCCGACGAGAGTGTTCAGGTCCGAGCAAAGGAAGAGAGGGCCAAGTTCCGAGCAGAGATCAAGAGCTCAGTCGGCAAGCGAAAGCGAGATGACGACGATGATGATGACAAGGCCAACAAGAAGGATGCCGGTACTACAGAAGATCAAAAGAAGAAGAAAAAGAAGGGATACGGAACTAAAGGGCCCAATCCTCTGGCAGTCCAAAAAGCGAAGAAGACAAAGACGGATGGGCAGCAGCCACGAAAGAAGGAATCCTCCGAGGCGAATGAGGACCAACAAGAAGGCGCCGGCAAGCGAAAGAGACGGAGACGGAACAAGACCTCTGAGACAGAGGACCAAGGCGAAGTGAATAATGCTACTACCGCTGAGGTGACCATGGCAGACGATTAGGTCTTGGAAAGAAGCGGACATCGCATGGGAGGAATGCTAATAGAGCACCGCTTGCTAATCCCAGGCGATGCGCCAAGGTAGTTTATCGAAAGGAGTGTGCGCCATTAGCGATACCCGAGAAGATAGCATTGGATGTGAGAAGATCAAGGGGTGTGGTGAAAAGGATATAGTGTTTAAGCGTTAACAACGGTGTCAATTTAATTGGAAAATGATGCATTCAAATTGGATCAACTCTGATTCTTGTTCATTCACAATTCTGCAACCAATTGACTAAAACGGCCCAGTCTATGGAGTGTCGCATCTCCTTTTGTGAAGAATTGTTAGGGGTCGTGTGAGGTATGAAGGAGAAATTGGCTTCAAGATATCCCATATGTGGTAGGCTTGGAGTGGAACATTGCATGGGTTCCTTGCACCAGAGTGCTGACGTCCACTAAGAATCACGCTATCCACTGTCTGTTAGGGGCCATCAACCGCTTCTGGGTCGACCCCCACTCGTAGCAATTCAAGACGGATTTTATCCACTTCAATATAGGAGTTCGTTTCTGGAATAGTAGAGGGACGAGGGGAACAGCAAGTCCGTCGCCTATTCTTTTTTACAACAATTCGACTTCTGGACCTTTTGATACGGGGGTGATTCTCGCATCGAATCACCACTTACATCATCTCACCTCACTCCTCGGCTGGCTTCAAACTTAAAGGAGCCCTGGTGATTTAATTGCCCGCAGCACTTTTGATTTGGGGTCGAATGTCGTTACTAGGCCTTCGGCCCTCTCGATCCATTTGAAGCGTCTTTGAATAGCCCAAGTCATCTTTCACTTCTTTACTTTTCTTCAAGAAACCGGTTCTTAACAACAAGCCCGTTGAGCGGGGAAACCAACCATAATTGCGGTCTTCCATTATTGAGACGTCATGACTACTCAAGCCGATGTAGACGATTTCGGCCTGCCCATTAGGCGGTATCCGACCCCGAAGAACGATGAACCCACCGATGCGCATACTAATGCGCCTACCGACTCTTCTAAAGAAGAGAAGCCTACATCGGCCTCGTTAGATGGAGCTGCGGCCGACGAGCAATCGAAACCTCCCGAGGCCAAGGACGATAAGGTCAAGGATCACGCGACGCCTGCTAGCGAAGCAGTCAAAGCAGACGATCAGAGCGATACTTTTGAAGATGCTCAATCTGAACTGTCAAGTCCTAGGAAAGAAACCAGATCGGAGACACCTGTCGTCGCACAGGAAACTCCCACACCGACCGAGACTAAGCCCACAAAGAACGAATCTCTCGAAACTGAAAGTGCCCCTAGCGAGTCCAAACCGGGAGTCCCTGAAGAAGCTTTACCAAAAGTGACAGACGTTCCTGAGAAGGCTACGGAGGAAAACAAAGCGCCCACAGTCGAAAGTGCTCGTCCCAGTGACCACAAGCCCGAAGTTTCCGAAGAACTACAATCAGCAGTGGACGATGCTCATAAGAAGCCTACCGATATCGAAGTGGGTGTTGATAAGGAAGAACCGCCTACAGACGTAGCAGTTCAGGCTCCTTCTTCACCGACACAGCCCAAACGCGAACAGATTTCTGAATTTTCCCACCAAAAGATCACTGTTAAGCCAGAAGAGAAGAAGCATGAAGACGAACTGGAATGGCAGGAGATGCCCTCATACGCCCGATATGACATGTATAACGATGACGACAAGCTAGTTGCCAAGGAATACGATGCGGAGGAAGTCGAAACATATGAATATGGAGGACTTGGTGGTGCTGGCAAGGGTTATACCCGTGTATTCCTGGATGACGATGCCGAGTCTGCGACAAGCATGGACGAGAACACGAAATATCTTTTCAAGAATGCAGCTGGAACCAGTATGGTGGATGACGACGATGGACGGGACGCTATCGGTCAAATGCAGGCCACCAAGGATCTTTTGACAGAGGGGCAAAGAGTCGCATACGTGGGATTGGTCCGCCTTGAAATTGTTAAGTTGGTGAAAGAGGAAGAAAAGATGAAGACGTTCAAGAAGACCAAGAAAGAAGTTGGCCTTGCAGTTGAATCCATGATGATGTGGGGGCAAAAGATGATGCTTCGGCTTTACGCCCACATGGAGATTAACGAAGCAGAGCAAATCATGATCGAACAGCTCGCCGAACATGGAGTGATGCCCCAAGACTTGTCGCCGGCGCTCGTTACCAATGCTCGTGTAGCAAATCCTATGGCAGAGAGCGAGGCATCTATGCCAGGCACCCCGTCTCTAGATGAGAAGCCTGCCGAGGCACCACCGCCATACCAGGCGCTTGATGGCGAGGAGCTATCTGATGTCAAGACGCCATCACAGCTTCCCACAACGTCAAAGATTGATATCGATTTGCGATGGACGGTTCTCTGTGATCTCTTTCTACTCTTGATTGCTGATTCTATATATGATGCGCGCTCAAGAGTACTACTCGAACGGGTCGGCGAAAGTCTTGATATCACCTGGATTGACATCTGCCGTTTTGAGAAGAAGGTTACAGAGGCTCTCGAGATGCAGCAAGCGGCCGAGAAGGAGAACTGGAATGAGGAGGAGCACACAGAGGCCCGAAGGAAGAAGGCATTGACCCGTCGATATGTTATGATGGGCCTGGCCACTGTGGGTGGTGGTTTAGTTATCGGTCTCTCGGCTGGACTTCTTGCTCCAGTCATCGGTGCTGGTCTGGCTACCGGTTTGACAGCTGTTGGAGTGACAGGCACCAGCGGTTTTCTCGGTGGTGTTGGAGGCGCAGCTATCATCACATCAAGTGCCGCAGCATCAGGAAGTCTTATCGGAGGCAGAGCTGCAGGTCGAAGAACTGGTGCAGTCAAGACATTCGAATACCGACCCCTTCACAACAATAAGCGAGTCAACCTTGTTGTCACCATCTCTGGATGGCTGACGGGTAAGGTCGATGACGTCCGATTGCCTTTCAGTACGGTCGATCCTGTCATGGGTGACATTTACTCAGTACTTTTCGAACCCGAGATGCTTCGAAGTATGGGTGACACCATCAATATCCTGGCTACTGAGGTGAGTTTTCCAGTTTGCGTTTAATATGATATATGGGACTAATCTTCTAAAGGCTCTTACTTCGAGTATTCAACAAATTCTTGGTACAACCATTCTAGCTACTCTTATGTCGGCTATTCAGTTGCCCATTATCCTGACCAAGCTCTCCTATCTTATTGATAACCCTTGGGCCGTTTCTCTGGACCGCGCTACCGCTGCCGGCAAGATTCTTGCAGATTCTCTCATCGAACGCAACCTGGGAACCCGACCAATCACGTTAGTTGGATTCTCAATTGGAGCACGAGTGGTCTTCTCTTGTCTCCAGGAGCTCGCTAAGAAGGGTGGTGTTGGCATTGTTCAGAACGTTTACATGTTTGGCTCGCCTATCGTGGTAAGTAAGGAGGAATACATCAAGGCCAAGACTGTTGTTTCTGGTCGGTTCCTCAATGCTTATAGCCGAAGTGACTGGATTCTTGGTTATCTGTTCCGACTCACAAGTGGAGGTATCCGCCGGGTAGCTGGTCTAGCTCCTGTTGAGGATTGCCCCTTTGTCGAGAATATGGACGTTACCGATCTTGTTAATGGCCACATGGACTATCGTCAAAAGATGCCCGTCTTGCTGATGAGGTGTGGGTGGTCTGTTGACAGCGAGGAGTTTGTTGAAATTGAGGACCCAGATCCGGACAACCATAATGAGCGACAACGAGAGCTAATCAACGAGATTGAAGAGGCTCGCAAGAACCTGGAAAAGGAGGGCAAGGCGAAGAAGTCTGGACGATTTAGCTTCTTTGGTCGACGAAAGAACGCCAAGCAGGATTGGGAGATTTACGAAGATCAAAAGAAGAATGGAGATATTAAAGACAAGTCAAAGGAGGGAGGGCAAGATGACAGCAATACTGGCGTCCTATTCGATATCGATGCGATCCGAGCAGAAATTGCCAAGGATGCTCGTGATCATTACGCTAGCCATGAAGATCTTCAGGTAAAGGAGATCAAGTCAACACTACCTCCCATGAAGTTGGACGTGTCGTCGCTTCCTGGTTCCCCATCGACCACGGCCAATGGCTCCCAAACCAACATTAATGCAGCACGAGACTCGCACGATATTAGAGGGTCCCAGGAGCGGTCTCACAGTTACACGCCCAGCTATACCAGACAGACGTCGCCACCTGCTTACAGCTCACCGTACGGCGCAGGGTTCGGGTCAGAACATGGTAATGCATATGGCTCTGGCCGACACGATGAGGACGACATCCAAATGACGTTTGATACGTCGTTCGATGATCACCCGCGGTCGACAACAACTACATCGGCTACCGAGACTACACCAACTCGACCACAGATCAAAGCGGCACAGACATTGCCGTCAATGACATTGCATGAGCCGTGGGGTGATTCAGACGATGATGATTTTGGCAAGGAGAAGGAGATTTCAATGACATTCGCTTGAGTTGGCCATACTAGGAGTTCTGTTTTTTGAGTTACTGGTGTTTTTACAGGTCGGCGGTTAGAAGAGCTCGGCCTCTCTGGGTCTTCGACATTTGACTGGCATTGAGTTTTACGGCGGCGCATGGCTTTGAAATTTTTTAAATGTTGTTGCATTCCTGAAGGAGTAATCAAAAGAACGGTTGGAGCATTAATACGCATAGTAGTTAGTACCTATCTAGAATACCTGACGTGGTAAGCATGAGCAATGACAAAGATGAGAAGGGAGAGGGAAGACGAGAATAAGTCCTAATTGAAACTTTGATGCATTTGGATTGTTGCGCCGAATAGATTATTGGTCTGTGTGTTGGTTCTGCACATGCTACCTACTCGATGTTGGCCCGGTCATACGTTCTATAAAAAGCACATGAGGAATGTGTGCGTGTGACTGACTGTCGGGCGATCTTTGTTAACGTAACCTCTCGCTCGCTAGACATTGGTACGCTGTACTACGATTATACGCCGTTCACAGAACTGGTCCGGTTGGTTCCATGGGCTGATTGTCCGAACATAGCGAGAGTTAAACTGCACCACTAGTCTGTACTACTGGCAAGATGTTGTGAACACTTTGAGTATTTCGGCTTTAGTCAAGGTAAGAATTGAGCGAGGTTAAGGCTGAGTGACAGTATTAAATCGAGACTTTGCTAGGAAGTAGCTGAGAGGTGAGGATGTCTCTAGTGTTACGTTGATTGGGCTTTAAAGTAAAAGATCGGAGGATCCGTTGTGTCAGCAGAATTCACTCACACACTGTCTAAGAACTATGCAGTTGATGGGCAGAGCCGGCTGCTCTTACATGTCTCATCACCGGAGCAAATTTGCGAAGATGGACGAGATCGTCGGGTTCTTGGTTTACGAGAGAGACTATTGGGGGCGAAGTTGGAAAATGAACAAACATCCTTTAAATTATGCGGATGGTACGATGGTGGTGTTAGAGCTTGAGTGATCAGTTCTCCCAGTACATAGCCCATGTTTGTCAAGGCCGACATAGATTAGATTCGATGCAATGCTTGCAAGGTATTTTGATGTCAGATATTTCCTCAAAAAGCAGAAAATGCCTATTCCATCATCTCCTTGATCTCATTCTGTTGCACATATTTGAGCGATGGTTGAAAGTGGTAACATTGGGGCTGACGGGGCTCAGCGCTAATGTCTAAGACGACAGACTGAAGGAGCATGCTAGTGCTGTGGAAAGTCGAGAGCTCGTACTTCACAGTGCCCATCTGTCAGCCGCAGTTGGCTTTTCCCATTGGAGAAAGGTTCAAAAACAATGGGTGCTTTAATGCCGACGTTTTATAGGGCAGAGTGTTGAAAGTAGTTGGCGAGGCTTGCACCGCCCTCTCCACAGTTGCATGTCGATGTTCGTGAGAATGTGGACTCAAGTATTGATCTCCCTCTTTGTAAAAATTGCAGTGAGTATTCGTAGTATTATGAGAGGTTCGATGTTCTGAAGGATTCATTAAGAATGTTCCGAGATTGAACATAAGGCGGTGCAGACTTTGATACTGTCAGCAACCCATAAAAAAAATATCCCTTCCTTCCATTGATGCTTCGTTATCTCCAACATCGATACCTTAGTGCTGACGGAAGGACTCCATCCCAACCCATCCCTTGTGCCCTCCAAAGGCGGGATTCAAGGGTCTCCGTCAACGACAGGAGGTTTCAGGGGTCCGGGCGCCACCCCAACTCGGCCCAAACTAGAACGGGCATAGAGCATTCCTTTTGTTCCCGTTCACCTCAGCTGAGAATGCGAGAGTTGGGCTGGTGGTCAAGCCAATAAAAAACAATGTATTTACATGGCCAACAGTGACTTTGCCGCCCAAGTTCGTTCGACTGCAACGTGACAGAAACCAACATGGAGAAAAGATGCATGTAAAAGAGGGCAACTGGCATATCGGCGTTTCAGAGCAAAGCCGTTTGCTGCAGCGATCCTCGTTCAGCGGCTCAGCCCAGCCAAGCAGAAACAAAACGCTAGGCCGGGGGGCACCTTCCAACCGTGCAGGAAGCAAGAGAGCGGAGTGGTCTAAGTCGTTGAGCTTGCCCCTTTAGGCAAGCACTGTGCTGTACCTGCCGTGTACACTTCACGAGTGAGTCCTACCCAGCCAGCTAGCTTACAGTAGTTGGCCAGACCCAGGCTGAGTACGCCCTGGGCTGCACTTGCAACCATCCAGGTCAAGCCAGGCCTTGCCGCAGCAGCAGAAAGAGGAGACTTGAAGTGATGTGACAAGGAAGGAATGGCCTAACCTAACCGTTGTCCGTTTTCTTTGTTCTCTCCCCTTCTGTTCGCTCACCTTTCTTTTCGTCTTACTTCTCGTATCCGAGATCAACCTCTACTAATAAACAACATCGTTTTTGTTTTTACTTGAACAGTCCTCAGGGACTTGTCCCCAAACAAAAGCTATCCGCTGGTGGTTGGAAGTAGACTTGAATTCGGCTATAGCTCAACGAACGAGTCTCACAAAAGCGAACAACCTGCGACGAAGGAACAGCCTCTGACTTACACATCGACCACAACGTACGAGCGACCCAGGATCCTTTAAATCAACCAATACACTAAATCGATATCAACTGGGCCTGAATTTCACTGCTACCAATGGACCGATTGGCGAATCAAGGTCAGAGCGAGGGCGCGGGCGCGGGCGTAGGAGATCTTGCAAAGGATATGCAAGATGCATCAGCATCACCATCGCCTGCAGCCACCAGTGCCCCTGGCGGTGGGAATACAGGAAAATCAGGCAACGGAGACATGGGCGACTCTAACTCAGGCGACTCCGACTCAGGTAGTGATGCCGTTCAGTTTGACGCGCAACTTTTCAAGGACAGTCCAGTATTTATAGTCGCCGACGATCAGCAGTCGAGACAGATCGGATTCGAAGCCGATCCCAAAGCTGACCTCGAAAAGGTGGCATGGCAGGTTGTCGTTGATACCCAAGTTGAGACGCTAGGTTCCAGTAACTTCAAATCTTCAAAGAGAGCTTACAATCAATTCCTTGATGGTAGGTTCTCCCCAGGCTCATAAATTATACTCCCTGTCCCACGTTTCTTACTAATGTGCCATAATCTAGTTACAAATAATATGGTATTGCTCAACTTCGTGGGTAACACTGCGAAGTTCTATAACAATACCATGTATGTTCAGATTGATTGGAGTAGGGACGGATCAAAGGGCTGGACCAAGACACAACTCTTTACTGTTACCAACAGCACCGGCGCATCTGCAATTAAAAAACTTACAAGTGATCTCAAAGAAGAACAGAGAGGACAAGGACCTGCGGAAGTAACCTCGTCATCAGATGCATTGTCGACCTCTGGGAGCACCAAAGCCACCGAAACTATTGAGCCTAGTGATAACGAAAGTTCTAATAGCAGTGGCGGTGGCGGACTCTCAACTGGCGCAACTGCTGGTATTGCAGTTGGTGCTGTCATTGGTGGTCTTCTTCTCATCGGTGCACTGGTATGGTTCCTCCTTCGTCGACGTCGCCGTAACAAGCAGCCCAACGAAGAGTACACCATACAGCAAACCTACGCTGTGGACAAGGAGATTAGCGGCCGTGCCAGTGATTCACCCAACTCGCCTTACTCAGATGAGAATCACATGCAGCCTATCGCCCTCGGAAACGTCGACCGTGATCGTGGTGCCGCCCCTACCCCCCCACCAGGCCGTTCATCTGTAGCGTCACACGACCGTGGAGCCAATAGTGGTGTTCAGACGCCTCAAGGCATGTCTTCCAATGTCGCTCATCTTGTTGAAGATGGCATGACGGCCGATGAGATCCGAAGACTAGAAGAGGAGGAACGACAATTGGACGACGAGATTGAACGTGCAGGGAGACGATAGTGCTGCCTCGCAATGCCAGAAGCTATCTCGGTCGAAAAGTCGAGGGATACTCTCGTTTCTTGCATCATGGGGTTTGGAGTTTTCGGGTAATGACATGTCTGATCCTCACGGTCGCTTTGAGCTGGCCACTCACTTATGTTGTGTAAAATGTGTGAGTGAGTACGTAGTGGGTGGTTGATTGATAACATCTATCGCGAAAATACCGGAGCCTTTTAGTTTCAGGCGGACTGAGGAAGGGACAAAAATCTATGATAATTTGCTTAATGTGCACTTCTTGAAGCGTATATAAACCATGAAGATCAGTTGTTAATACACGTTATTTAGGTAATGGGTCGCATTATTGTTCTCTGGTCACAAAGTGAATACCCGGCTACTGGCTAGCAGAAAAAATGGCCTCCTAAGTCTTAGGGTATAAAAATAAGTAGTATAAGAACTATGGCCTAAGGGGCATAAAGTGACCTACTAATTTCGTCTCTTATGCTCACAGCGGTCAATTTTTCTGATACCCTGAGGCCCGGCCGCGTTGTTAATTGACTGGCATGGGTCAATGGATGCATGATTTGGAGTTCAAGTCTGATATTCATACATTCCCTGCCCATAGACGCCTTGAAACAGCAAATGTTTATCGTAAACCCACACCCAACAATGAAGAACCTCGCTGACTTTAATCTACAACTTTCCGTGCTGACGCACCATTGAAGTCGGTCCTTACTTTTGTGGTATAAAACCAGACATGTGCGAGCAACTTCTCTTTTCACCCACAAAATTCTCGAGCACACTAGATGGTTCGGTGAACCACCTTGCGGAAGAAAACAGCTATCAATTGCGAGAGAACCAGTTGCTAACCATGTTGCTTGCAATGTTACCAGCCAGGTTACCTGTGCCAAAGGCGCTTCCAGCAATGCTGGAGGCGTTGCTGAACTTGTCGCACCGAGAGAAGGCCAGGGTGTTCATGATTGTAAGAACAAGGGCGATGACTTGACACGAACTGTTAGCTCTCTGTTTCTGTTTGCTACGCTGAGGATAAGAATTGTGGACTTACCAACGAGAGGCAGCCATAGGAACTGTAGTCGCACGAGAGCAAGAATAGCCATAAGAACCCACAGCATAGGCTGGATATACAGAGCGAGCCAGAAGAAGCGGCTGTCGGTAGGGTTGATGGTCTTGGTTCCAGGCTCACTGCTCTCAAACACCCACTGCGACTCGCCCGACTGGGCATCAACCTCGTTCCACCAACGCAGACCAACGAGACGACGACCAGCAATGTTCTTGATGTAGTAAAAGTCGGCGGCGAGGAGAAGAATGGTAATGATGAAAATCATGATCCTGGAAAGAAAAGAAGAAACGTCAATATTTCTCCCCTTTCGCTGCGAGAGGCTCGGAAGGGTGTTACGCACATGCTTTGTATGATCCACAGGCCGAGAAAGTAGATAAGGACACTTGCTGAGATCCAAGTTAGCCATTGCGCTTCGTTTGGTTGCTGGTCTGAGAGGTTCGATATAGACGTACATATTCTGAAGCCGAGGAAAGTGAGGAGCGTAATGGGATGCGCGCTGAGGCGCCAGCTAAGAGCGCCCGGCGCGGCGGGCTGTGGTTGCGTGGCATCCATGATAGATGGAATAAGTTGCAGATGTTCAGGAATTCGTCAGGGTATCTCGATTTCTCTCCGTTTCAAGGGAACCGTAGTCGTGGAGAAAAATTGCCAAACTAGAAAAGGAGCGTTGTTTCGATTCTCGTGGGAAGCTGACCGTAGGTATCTAAGAAGAAACGAAAAACGTAGGTGGTTTGTTGGAGTTGAGAGAGAGCTTCGAAGCTAACTGTGTAAGCTGGCCTTCCCATCAAGCCGCGCAAGGGAGCATGATCCGCGACAGCCAGAAACCCCTGGGTTGCTGGTTTGGGCAAGCGGTAAAAAGCGGCAGATCAGTCCAGACGTTTTGTCTGGGACCGTTTTAGACTCGGGACGTCATGAGAGAGCTTCCTGTGGGGGCGGGTACTGAATCTCGGCGTATAAGTCGCACTCACTCAAGTTGTTGTTTGCTACATACGTACCAAGCAATTGGTATTTTATATAAATAACAAAGTAATCGTTCAAGATGGCTGCGATATCTTCATCCATCATCCGGCGTTCATTGCTTTACGGCAAGTTCAACTCACGAATTGCTCGCTTCACAGCACTAACACCCCTCTTCAGTCCCCGGCTCATCGCAAAAGATGCTCACAAAGTCTCTCGGTCTCAGCTCAGACAACGTAACCTACGATCTTGAAGACTCTGTCATACCCTCTCTCAAAGATACAGCTCGAAATCAACTCCGTGAGCATATATTCGGCCTCAAAGCTCGCCCCTCTGGCATCTCTGAGCTTGCTGTTCGCATCAATGCTGTTTCTACTCCCTTTGCTCTTTCAGATCTGACCACACTGGCTCCTCTACGTCATGTCGATGCTGTGGTAGTTCCCAAAGTTAACTCGGCAGCTGATCTGACTTTTGTCACTGATGTTCTTCGACATGTTGCTCCAGAGCGACACGCAGCAGATGCAGAGAACCCGATCAAGATTATCGCTCTCATAGAGTCTGCACGTGCTGTCATGGATCTGACGCAAATTTGCAAGGCATCCCCTTACTTAAGTGGTTTCATCTTCGCCGCTGAGGATTTTGCTCTTGATTTGTCTCTGACAAGAACCCCGTCGTTGACGGAATTCCTGTACGCTAGATCAGCCATCGTCACCGCTGCCCGAGCTGCTGAACTACCGAGTGCCATTGATCTTGTTTGTACCTCATACAAGGGAGAACAGGGTCTCAAGACTCTTGAGGAAGAATGCGCTGGAGGTAAATCCATGGGCTTTAATGGAAAGCAATGCATTCACCCAAGCCAGGTCGATGTCGTACAACGCATGTTCGCACCCGATCAGAAAGAGGTCGAGTGGGCTGTAAGAATAGCTATTGCTGATGAGAAAGCTTCAGCTTCGGGACGAGGTGCCTGGACTCTTGATGGTAAAATGATCGATGCTCCCGTTGTCGGAAAGGCTAGTGCTGTAATCGCAAAGGCAGAGCAATGTGGTATCGACGTTCAAAGCCTGAGAAACACATGGAAGGACCAAGAACCAGAGTAATGAGCATTGACTAGGTCTAGATACATAAATCTCGATGGGCGATACACAAGCACGTAATCCTAAAAGTAGTTGGGCCTCCAGAAAGCTTTCATTTCCGAATCCTGCGCATGAGGGCTGTCTTCAGTCCTGCCTGTAATACAATCGACTTGATCGCCAGGGCTCTTCTGTTTCGCTAGTATGTACTGATTTATCTCCTGACGAGGGCTTGTATATATGTCATCTGAAAAGGGCTCCTGTTCTCGGCTACACCATGAGGTACCGCTTTGTAACTCGCCCAGGTCTTGCTGCATTTCTTGGAGTTCATGTTCGGTATATTCTTCAGTGTCGCCAATATAAGCATCGCATAGGGCTCGGTATCTCTCGTCCTATTTCAAGCTTACCTCGCCCTCGATACTTTCGAAGAATTCTCGAACTGTTTCATTGCCACAATTTCGGCGCTGTTGTTTGACTTGTGCATTGGTGTATCCCCTCTCGTCTTGTGTGGGGTACACCTCTGTCGATGGCATAGGGAACATCATTAGGTTAGGTCCCGGTATGCCAGCATCCCCATGAGTAAGGTGAAGAGAATGCTTGGCAGCCAACGACTGTTGCAGCAATTTGCTCTCTCCATAGCGTTGCCAGTCACCAAGCGTTGGCAGCTCCGTGCTCACAAGTTTGGGGCTCTGTATATCTGTTGGATGTACAAGGTAGCCAAAGTCTGCGAAGTCACTGTCAGGGTTTGTAAGTGTTGGTCTCCTTTGATCCGTATGATCAATGTATGGGGTGTATTGGTGTCGCCCTTCCAAAGCCTCATATATAGACTCCCGCCTACCATCGACAGCAGAATCACGTGCTAGTTTAAGGTCCGGGTTGGGGCTCTGAGTTATAGAAGCCTCATGCACGTCTCTCATATTGACTGGATTTGCTCGATCAGAATAACACACTTGCGCGGTGTCGCGGATGCAAAGCGGAGTTTTCTCGCCATGGCGTTCAAGACATGCTGTATCAGCTGATTTGTTCTGGTTATTCCCATAGTGTTTCTGGTAGAAGCTTGCTATATTCGATTGAGGCAGCGTTGTTAATGGCAGAGTCAAGCCCTTGTCGGGATCCGTCGTCGACACTCCATATTGACCTGCACGGCTTCCAACAGGCTGTAAGTTTTTAAGAATACCATTCTCACCATCTCGGATCGGGCCTTTCTGCAGATCCTTATCAGAAGTAAGCTTCAGAATGCCCGTGCCGTCAAAAATACCAGTCTCGATGAGTTTCTTGAACATCGTCCTTGGCGTTTCAGGGCTTAGTTCTAAGTTAGATCTATTCAACAAATTGCAGTCTTCTTGAGAAGTATGATCGGGCTCTCCCTTTCTCTCTGTATCTTTTTCAGTTACTGCTGTCTTTTGGCAGCCGGTGTGTTGCTGTGGAGGGGATTCGAGATTGTCGGGAGTCTCATCTTCATCGTGGTCTGTCTCTCCATTCGTGCTGGGTTGATGATCTTGGTGCTTCTTTTTCGGGTTTGTTTTTTGTTCCAAGAATTTTGTATCGTTAAACACAAGATCTGTAACTATAATCTGATGAGAAGTGCGAGGCATAGTCCTCCACAACGGTTTACCTGGTGCAGCGGCAGATGACCGGCCATTCAGAAAAAGCCCAGTGGTAAGATTCGGTTTCATCTACGTGGACTGATGTTAGAACTCTTTTACCCATCTGTTTCAATTTCCAGTTCATTCACTCGCCGTTACCCTCATGTTTGGGATGGCCCCGGAGGCAAAGTTGGTCATGATGTCTTGGCTTGGTCGAAGACGATGCTTCTGTGGGTGTGACTTTTTTCTTGATCTGTCTTTTTTAATCTTCGTTGGAGACTTTTTAGTTTCTCTATTCTTGGAAGAATAACGGTCCGGGCGTGTTTTTCTTCTTGGTCGTCGTTCGAATGAGTTTCTATCGGATTCATCATTGGGAGACCTTTTCTTATTCTCCTTGTCAGACCCAGCCTCAAGAGAAGGTTCGAAGTGCGAACTTGGGTAAGGGTCATCGAGAAAAGGTTCTTGGGACATCTCGTAAGCGCGTTCCTCATAAGTATGCCGATTTCTTTGGCTGTTATTCCTGTGATGGTTCGGAGATATGGACGCAATTGGAAGATTGTGAGGGCGCCAACTCGACGTGTGACTCCGATTGTTTTTCTGTGTAACATCTTCTATAGAATCGTGGAGTCCATCAGGAGCCGCCGGTGTTGCATCCAGCCAGAACTGTATTCTGTGGAAGCGGTCAGAAGAGACATCGCTGTATAACTGGTTAGGATCTCCCGTGGTCCTATGGTTGGCCTTCACGGGGCCACTCAAGCGATGGCGAGAGCGCCTTGACTTGTTCATTCAGATCAAGAAAATGAGAAGATGATATCTTGTCTGCAGACGAAGAGTGTCCCCGAAATGACAATAATCGGAGAGCCATTGCTCGAAATACCTCCTGCAAAGGAGAGTGTAGCAAGACACAATCGCACTTTCCGTGCAAGACTTGGACATAAAGAAACAAGATAGGTGCACTGGAATATAGTAGGTAGTGCAAGTGCGCCCCTCAAACATGAATCACGGAAGATGTATCGGTTGGAATGGAACAGCCCTTACTTACCATTTTTTGGCGGTTGCTTCCGCCTTCCGTTCTACTTGATCTTTCTCTCTAATAATAACGGGGACTCTTCTTCTTCCTCTCCCTCAACTGCCAAGAAAGGAACTACAATCAATATATGGATCTTTTTGAAAACACACTTCATAAGGGCTCGGTCAAGCCCCTGCCAATGTTGAATTGGTCGTAAGATCTTGTCACCAAAGTCTTGGTCCCTGATATCCGGGCCCATTGTGATTCTTGGCATTGGATGCTTTAATCTGCTAAGCCTCTCTACCAATGTGGCATTGCAGCAATGTTTAATCTGTTGTTTCACTCCAGAGTTTATAGCTGCATATTTCCGGAAGCAGTTGTTATCACTGCCGGGTTCAAGGCTTGGTGATGAACGACTTTCCTTCTCTCCTCACATCATTCAATATGAGAAGTTGGGGGAAACAGAATGCCTGCAAACGCATCTTACGGATTCATCTCTGCGGGTGAGACATTTCAACCGGAGAAATGTCCTTTGGCTTTGGCTTTGATCACTCATTCGTCTACTCGTTTCATACGTTACGAAGCGGGAAGAGCTTTGACACTCTGCACGTTTCACTGCATGATTTAGCTCTTGTCTTACATGCCTTAATCCTTACCCCTGGCGATTCCCTTTCGGGGAAATTACACAATCAGCGTCTACATCTCGTCTAAGTTCTAAGCTTGTAAGCTTTGAAGAGATCATAACCTTGGCTGTGAGACGAGAAAGGTGCTGCACATACGGTCTTGACAAATTCCCACCTATTATTCTTGAAAACAACAAGAGACATTAATAAGTTAACTATGAGCTTTTCTCTTCTTTGATACCTGCCCGCCCCTGAATTCGGTCCATTCAGGAGAGAAGGAGGGGTAGCACGTGTCTACGACAGGCTTCGGTTGAGGCGGGGCTCAGATAACACCCTGAAAAGGACAAGCAAATCGCCAAGAATATAGGGAATACGCTGTGTATCCCGACAGCGCAGGGCTATGGTAACACACGCCCGAGCCTTGCGCATAAGTTACAGCAAAGGCAAACATTATCAGTTCGCTGTGACAGAGAGAGAGAGAGAGAGACGGATCTTGAGTACCAACTCGCCTCTTTCTATGAACAGGTCCAGACTAATCACCTACCTTGGTTCCAAAGGCCCCTTCCCGGAGCACAGGGAGTAGTAGGACCGGGATATTGGGAGCAGGTGGGTTGAAGGAGGCTATGTCAGCGACGAATCGAAAACTGGCAGTATGAGGACAAGGGGGAAGATCTTCGGATAGCTATGCTTGACCAAGGGGCAGAGAGCGATTTGAGCTTAGCCGTGGTGCTTGGCTTTGAATGAATGTGGGGAGAGCCACGACTAGGGTGTGGAGGCCCGTCGTCATCACAGGACCCGCATGAGCTTGCATTCTCCTGCGTCGTCTGGAACTTCAGAATGGATGGTTGGCACCAAACCTAACATTCACGACCACGGTGAGTGTGGTGGGTTAGTGTTGGGTATCCAAAGCTTGTTTGGACAGAGCTCCCTGCATATGCCAAACAGGAGCACCGAAACGTCCTGACTGAACACCCTGGTCGACCTGTCGCGGTGACGGGTAGTCTAGGTAGTTACGGTGCAGTTCATCAGCACTGCCTCCATTGATGAGCCCATTAGGCCTGAGATCGACGCGAGGAGAGAGCTTGGCTTAGCTCGGGCTATGAGCTTGATGCAGTACATGTAAAAGATTAGAAGCATGATTCGCGAAACCATGGTGTCAACTAATCAAGCCTCATCAAACAAACGAGATATTTTAAACTTATAGCACTTCCAGCACGGCAGATACCCCTGACGAGCATCCATCGTCATTCCGCAACGCTGTCAAACGGGATTCAGGGTCAAAGAAACAACGTACCTGATTTCCTGCCTGCCCGCCGTGCCTCCAGTTCACTTATTACTGCGCTACGCTTCTCTGCATTGTGCTGCAGGGTGCATGCATAATCTCGACAGTCACGCTCCGCCCGCATTTCATTTAATTCATGCTCAAGACCCCTCTCACTTCACTTCATTTTCACTCTCATCCTTGGACTGCCACTGGACTGCGCTGTCTAGTGAATAGAAGCTAAGCTAGAGCTACACACGTTGCCTTGCCTTGATTTTACCTTAACCGCACTGCTTTCGCAACCTCCTACTGGGTTTAAGCTCCACCCTCATCTTTGTTCTTACACCTTTCACTTTATATCTCAACCTGTTCATTTATCAACCGGCTTAGATCTGTCTCGATAACAAGCACTAAGGCTCACTTTTGGATAACTAAGTCCAAGTACCCTGACGACATTCATACTTCAGCCAACAAAGGTGCGCTCTATCTCTTACAACACCTCTTTTTTTTATTTTTATCATTCTCTCTCGGTCAAACGTGCATGTAAGCGCGCGCTCTACCCAGCGACGCGCGGCATCCTGATGATAGGATTGCTGTGGCACTGGAATCGAAAAGGCTGTTCAGCAGTTCGGTTGCTCTAGATGTCCAAAGTCGACTCTATTCAAGCTTGTTTCTCTAAACCACATATACAATCCTAAACGCCAACGTTTATTCAGTACCCTGTCTCGAATAAAAGTTAACGATTAGATTTGAACAGATCTCACAATTCATCATGTCAAAGCTTTTCATCGGGTATGTTATATACATTTCATGCAACTGTTTCAGCTACTAATCCAGCCTCAGTGGCCTAGCATGGCACACAGAGGAGACCACTCTTCGCCAGAAGTTTGAGGAGTTTGGTCCTGTCGAAGAAGCTGTAGGTGCCTCCGTTCCTTCTCACCTTCAAGCAAGGCGCTTCTAGTCCTACATCTTGTGGCTCTAATGCGGGTGTTTGTTGGACGGCGAGACCGTTTCTAACAATGGATATGTAAAGGTGGTGGTCAAGGACCGTGATACTGGTCGCAGCCGCGGCTTCGGATTTGTGCGATACACCCAGGAGGGCGACGCTCAGAACGCCATCGCAGCCATGAACAATGTCGAGTACGAGTCACTTTAGTTCCTTATTACACGGCAACGGTGCTATTGCATTATCGTACGAGATCTAACTATGTATAGGTTTGACGGGCGAACTATCCGAGTTGACAAGGCATCCGACAACGGCCCTCGAGGTGGTTTCGGTAGAGGAGGAGGTGGTGGCGGCGGCTATGGACGAAACTTTGGTGGCCCAATGCCATACGGAATGGGCCCTCCTGGACCTGGCTACCAAATGCCTGCCCCTAACATGTACGCGCCCATGCCTTATGGTCGCGGATATCCTCCTCAGCAGGGCTACGGCGGCCCCCCTCAAGGTATGGCCACAACAGAGCTTGAAGTTTGTTTGCGGTAAAGTTGACATCTTGATAGGATACATGCATCCTCAGCAGCAGTACGGATACCATGATCCTTCTCAACAGCTCCCTCCCCAGCAGCAGCCTCACCAGGGTGGAAGAGGTTACTAGAGAGTACGAGTTTGACTAAAACCCGACATGGGGGTATTACTTCACCCCCACGAGTTTTCGACGGACACCGAAGAATGAACTTTCGATGGCCAGTGATATCGGCAGCTTCTCGCAATTGAGCTTACGGATCCTTTGGGTGGCTGGATGATGAGGCATTGGTGAGCATATTGGAACGCACAACTATACCCGGATACTTTGGTTGAAAGCATGGTTTGAGGGGCATGACCCTTTGGGTTGGAATGCAATTTTGACACGGCCGTTTTATGAAACCTAGTGCGAAAAGACAAAGGAGGGTTGTCTCGGTAGGCAGGCATGGAAGAAAATGTGAAATGGCGCTGTGTGCGGCCACTTTTCCTCGATTTTTGTTCTCGACTTTGATGTGATATTTCGTGACAAGTTGAGATGCAGTTTGTGCTGCTGGCCCACTACTGTTGCATGGGATTAAGACATAGTGTTGACAGTCGTGACGGATTTTGGTGGCCGGAAAGGACATTGGAAGCTGATCTAGGTTAATTCATAATATGTCGATGATTCTAACTGATCTCTAATATTTACTACTCAGGGCCATCTCTCTATGCGCAGTTATCCAAATAATGTGATTGAGATGCCAATTGTATTTAATGGTGTGGCTCCTCGATTTCCTCTGCCTCCTCGGTACTATGCTTCTGCATATGGGCGGATGGCGTTGAGTTGAGGACCTTCTCCTCGTCTGCGCAGTTCTTCTCGAGTTCTCTGACACGGCGGGCGAGGTCATGAATATGAACGTCACCACTATCAGGAGCAAGCTCACTGAGAGCCGTGTCGAGGCTCAAGAGGTAGTCCTTGTTCGGACCGCTGGGTCCTTGACTACGGAAGATGTGTTCGGCGAGCTTCTGGGGGTCCTGCGGGCCGACGAACTGCTCATTGTCTGGAGTTCCGATGTATACCAGAGTGCGGATGGGAGGTGAGCCATCAGCAGGTTTGAACGGAGCGTAGTGAATTGTATATCCGTTGATCTCACGGATATCAAGGTATTCCTTGACCTCAGCAACCTTTTCGGGAATGATGCGGTAAGCAACACCCCATACTCGCTCTGGGGCAGAGTCGTGATGGTCGGTCAGCTGTTCCCAGTACGATCTTTCAATGAGAGTGACAACACGACCTGGAGCTTCCGGGGTGCCTCGGTGATCCTCACTAGATGGTTGTTAGTTATGAATGCAATTGACTCCCAAGCCGTTGAGGCTGTACCTGGCCTATAATACGTCAGTTGAGAACTTTGAGTTTGATAGGAAGCGAACTGACCTGCCAGAAACGACGGACATAACCGTCAACCCACCCAGGGATTCTTTGATCTGAGAAATGAAAAACGTTAGTGGGAAGGCCGTTGCGTGAGAACCTGGGGTAATAAGTGCTTACCAAAGTGTGGCGGAGGCTTCCATATCAAGCTCCTACGCAACACGGAGATAATCGTTAACACATATATGTATTGATGAGAGATCTGATGTCAGGAAAGAAGCCGCATACCCGTATCCATATAGCCAGAACTCGGAAGGTTCTAATGAGTCTTGGTTGGTCATGTTGGTTAACTGAGAAGTATTAGTAATGTCCTTGAGTAGCAACGTTTTGAACAGTGGTGATTTACTGAGTAACTAGGATAGATTTAGACCTCAGTATGGTATGATGTAATTCAAAAATGAGATTTGAATATCTCTCCTATGAGGCTGAGTCCCCGGTTCGGTAGTTGCGAACTTGATGCGTGTTCAATGGAAACGCCGAGATGGAGATAGTGGGTAGTCGTAGATCGTGTTTTGTTAAGCAGATGAGGTGATGAGCCACTAACAAGAAAGCAACAGGGGTCAGAGAAGACTGTAGAACAGAAATGGAACAAATTTCCTTCTTTCCTCATGCTCGGACTTGTTTCTAGTGGCTGAGGTCAGGTCAGTGGCTAAGTCAGCCTCTGACTTTTCTTCTTCTCTGTCCGGGCGAGCTTCTTTGTTCGCGCCAACGTCACCAATTACTAGACACTTTAAGTGCAGGGGATAGAAGACCCCACCGTGGAACTCAAGGGTCTCTCTTGTCAGTTTTACGAAAGCGAAAATTAAGTCCCTATAGTGTTCGTTTAAACTGTTACAGTTGTAGACCGACAACTTCACCGGACTGGTACTCTGCCTATCGATTGGCATAGTGAGACTGGAATACGTGGAACGAATAAAGTTGACGTCTTGGCACGGAACAAAGGGCAAGGAGCCAAGTCGGACAGTCCTTTTTGACCCTGTCTAGGTCGTTGCAGATAAGGCCGCAGTGGAGGTTGAGAACCCAGTTTAATACCCGATAACGGGGAACTTGAATATTGAACATTTCATCATGTCACCTATTTCTTAATCCTTGGTTCAGGTACTTACTTGTTCTCTTTATTCTTGATATACAGCAACAACAACACTCACAAGGCCAATTCTCTTTCTTCAACTGACTCATCATAAAGAAAAGAACAAAAGTCCGAGGAGTTGTTGTCTCTCACAAGACCACTTACTGACTACTCACTAATTACTACCCATATATATCTCTCTCCATTGCAAATCCACTCAGCCACGCTCTATCTCCAATTACGCTCCACCAACCAAACGACACTGCCCCGCGCTGAACAACTCCCTGCTCCCGTCCCCTGAGCCTGAGCCAGAGCATGAGCCTGGGGTAGGACCGTAATACTTTAGTAGCTAAAAAGACCTTCCATCATACATAAGGCGGTGCTACTTCTTCTTCAGCCGCGCACCAATTTGATTCAGCTCAAAACCTCATCATCCCCAGCTCTGCCTTTCTCCCTTTAGAGCCTTTTTCATAGAAACCATCGCAAATCTAAACACCGATACTCAACATGGCTTACAACCGTCCCTACGACGAGGATGCCCTCCCTAGGTAAGTTTCTTCTTTGACTTCAACCAGCTTGCCCCTCCTTTTAGAGCATCGCCCATCGATCATTGCGGCTCTGCGATTACGTTTAACAAGCTACCGTTGAGGAAGGGCGTCACAGTGCAACACAAGGCTGACCATATCATCTGTTTAGATTCGCTGAGCCTGAGCAGGTACGTTACTCGCAAACATCGATATTACCGCATCCAAGAACCGCGAACTAACATTGCGCCCTTCAGAAGCCAGGACAGTCCAGGACTCCTGCCCCGCAGCCACACCACCCTCCTCCTCAGCAGCAGCAGTATCAGCATCATCCCCCTCCTCAGCAGTATCACCAGCAACAACCCCGATACGACAAGCCTCTACCAACCCAAAGAGATGCGCGATCTCATTCACTAGGCCAGGGTCCAGCTTCTCACGGTTATATGTCCCCACCTCCAAACACTGGCGGCGCGAGACCCCAGGCTCATAACCGTCCTGCTCCCAACTCACGACCTCCTCCTTCGCCTGCTCTCGATGGCAATGGCTCCGATCCCACGCTCCTACCTCTATTTCGGGCTGTAGACAAAGATGGTAAGTTTATAAAGATTGCAAAACGTACAGATTGGCAGTTGTATCAGCTACTGACCGCTCCCCATAGGGACTGGTCATCTTTCTGAGAGAGAACTATCCGCCGCGCTGGTCAACGGTGACTGGACCGCCTTTGATCCCCATACTGTTCGCATGATGATCCGAATGTTTGATTCTGATCGGAGTGGCACTATCGGTTTCGAGGAATTTTGCGGTCTATGGTCATTTTTGGCTTCGTGGAGAACTCTCTTCGACCGATTCGACGCCGACCGTAGCGGAAACATCTCACTTTCCGAATTCAACAACGCCCTCGTCGCTTTCCGATATCGACTAAGCCCCCAGTTTGTCGAGTTGATCTTCAACACATACGACAAGCGAAATGAAGGAGTTATGAGTTTCGACCTCTTTGTTCAGAGCTGTATTTCTCTCAAGCGTATGACCGACGTCTTCAAGAAGTACGACGACGACCGCGACGGCTATATCACATTGAGCTTTGAGGATTTCTTGACAGAGATTCTTAAGCAGCTCAAGTAAACAATGGAAAGGCGTCAGGACTGGATAGTTTAAAGATGAAAAGAGAGCACTTAGTGTCGGAGCAAGCACTGATACCTCGAAACGCCATATGGATTTATTTTTTGCATCCTGAGTAAGAGGACACGCATATAAGGTGGATTTTACGACAGATATAACCCAAGCCGGGCGCTTCTGAGGTGATGATATGGGATAGCATGTACCAAAGATACCCTAGGTCAAGTCTCCGGATCCTGGCTTAGAGACCGAAACTTACCTTGACATCAGACATGAATTATGTTATATAAACCGATGCGCCCAACTTTCTGTGACCGTGATCCGAGATGATGGTTTGTCAATGAGCCTGTATGAAACCGAATTGGTAAAGATGACTCATTGATGTATTATGTCTCGTCATAATCCTCGATGCATGTAATTGTGAGACTTTGACAAGAAGGTTCAACTGTCATGAGAAGCCGCTCGTCGTTTCATACAACCGCCTGGCGAAAACTCAAAACCTCAAGTGAGAAAGGTATGACGTAGAGATCCGGTGACGATTTCATTCGAGAGGACATTCGATAATTCATTTTCTCGATATGCTGTGTCGATTGGCATGCCAGTAGAGAAGCGAGATAATACGCGATAGACCACGGGATCTGTCCCCAACGGCAAACAAACAGCCTTGGTGTGGTAGAAATAACTGATCAAGAGAGCTTCCAAGCTATAATTAGTATCTCACTCTCCACAGCCGAGTGCTGCTTGATTAGTCGTAGATGTATATCCGGGGTATAGAGTACGAATCCTTCAAATGTCAATCAAGTGGTAAGAATGTGGCAGAATAAACAAGGCGAAGCCCATTCTAGATTCAGAGCAAGAAAACTGCATGTCCTGGAATCCAGATGTCTTGATATTTGTATGAACGACAAACCAATTCAAGCTAGTTCACTTACCAGAACTAGAAAAATACCATGGCTATCGCGGTAATCATGGCTGCCCAATACAATCCTCAACTGTCTTTTGATTCTGTTCTGTTCAACATGGTAGCATGACTTTCCAAGGTTTTATTTTTCGAGAGTCATGGGACCAGCTCCGAGTTGACCCAAGCTCCGCCCCATGAATTGCTACCTGACAAGGACATGTCTTGTTCTGACTCTTGGCCGCTACAACCCAGGTTTTGGAATGGGTCTTAGTGAAAGATGCTTACTTCTTTAGAGGCCCTGTTGTTAATGTATGCGGTGTGTTTGCGTGCCGGTTCCTGACCGTGTTGGATTGATACGTCCATGGAAGCCAATTGCTTTGGAGGCCAGCTACCCAGGCAGGTACATATGTAAAGCGATTGCAGCGGTCATGAGCTGGCCCACATCCGTATTCAGTGCGTGATCCCCACACACAGTAGCATTCTCTGTTGGCTATACTCACACCTTCTCCCATTACCCAGGAGCTGGAGCTGGAGCTGGAGCTGCATCCTCAAGCTCTCGATCTATCGCATGCGGGAAATTTCGCCCAGAGAAAGCCATTGTAAGTCGAACACCAAAGTCACTACCACAATCAGCGTCCGCCATGCAGGCTAAACTCAACAACCCCGTTTAATATGGCGACATATGCGCATGTATCTCCGAGGTCCGTCAAAGATTGCCCCTGGGGTAACTTTCGAGGCGGCCAGGTCGTTATGATGGCGCGGGGTCACCGCCTTCACAGGGTCTGAGAATAAAGCCGGACTTATCGACCTCGGTTCTACCACCGTGGTTGGCTGTCATGTTATCATCTCGAGTCTCGCGATGTTGTCTCGCTTTGTTTAGGCGTTCTCCCCAAGCCTGTTCATGCGTCTTTAGTTAATCCTGCAGGCCGATGCCTTGTTGTTCCAAGGGGGCATGTTGACATGGTACCGGAGCTTCCTCCTCTGTGTCGTCCCAGCCAGTGCGTGCTGGAAAGCTTTGGCGTTTTGGTATTGTATTCACCGCCTTCCTAGGATGTGCCACTGAGTCGAACAATCGAAGCGAGTTAGAAAGAAGACCCTTCAATAGACTTGACTCTACGCACACCCCAGTCTCCCTTGGTTGCTGGCCGGTGATGTCACCGTTTGAAAGACCCAGGAGTGTGGTGACAGGGCTTGTTCCAGGCGTTTATTTCACAGCGCCTCTACGTAGGAGCAAACCTGTCTGTGGAAACCAGCTGTTGTTCAATGATGTCCATTCAGATACCATCACGAACTCGGGTTTTTTCTAGTTGCCTCTGTCAACTAGTAAACGACTTGTACTGGAAAGCAGTTGTCTTGTCAGGACCCAAACAAGTCCATGCTCTTGCACCAAGGCGTATCTGAAATTTCCGGTTACAAGGACCCAGACGCTGACTCTGTTGACGTCCACACTTGCGCATCGCTGAATTTTAAACGCCACAGAGAACGCGACCGTCGGCTCGAGCTCCAGCTTGCAGTGACGAACGTTCTGTGTACATAGCTAAGCTATGCCAATGGTCCCGTGAACCAGTCTATGGTGAGAGTCATGCAGAGGTACCTTCCATGTACATGTGATAACCACTTCCGGAGTTGGCTTAGGAACGGTATTCATGAGTGGCAGTTGACCTTGGGTGTCGGCCCCGCCGACCCTGGCTGTCGCCAAATATGGCCAACCCTTGAGACGCCGGGCCTTTTTTTGAGACATCCATCTGGGCCTGTCACAGACGAATCTTCCGTTGAGGCTGGGCTGGCGCAGAAGCTTTGAGATTGGCATGATATTTGCAATCTTTTTCTCATGACGGATGAGTGTAAAGTACACACCTTCATGTGTGGGACATCTCTTGCATGGCTCGTTATCAGTTGTAGCAGCAAAAAGAAAGGATCTTCAACAGACCCGAGCAAGGGACCAGCTCCACCATTGGAGCTTCCCCTGCTTCTTCCAGGGAGCTTCTTGAGCCCAAAGCACCTGTGAGAGGTTCATTCTTGGGCGTAAGGACATGCTCTTAACCTCCATCCGTCCACGAGAACTCCATTGACAGACACACCCCTCTTCGGCCACTGCCATCACCCCTGTAGCCCCTCCCGAGTCATTGCAATGGTAGCCAGTTGATTTGCTCGCACAGCGCTTGGGCCATACCCATTTTGAGCTGCTGATGCTTCTTTACTTGGATGCTGTGCTTCGCTACTGGATGCTGTAGAGGACTCGAGAGTTTTTTTCTTTGTGATCAAGGTGAGCTGCTGCGGCAGAGTTTTGAAGGCTGCAAGATTGAAGCTCCGACAGAATGGCCCAGGGTGTTTCGACCCCTAAACCATGTTGCAGCCAAGCACAGTTCGGGAAAAGATGGAATGGCAGCTAAAGAGGTTTTTTTTTGTGCTGCTTCTTTAATGGGCCTAGAAAACTGCTAGGTATTGATTGTACTGTATGGCCAAAAGAGCTTCTGTGCCCGCACCCCCGGAGCTGCACGTCAATGCTATTGGCCCCGGGCGATAAGTCTTTCGAGGCAGCTGAGATCTCAAGCAGTGGAGGCGAAGCACAAGGCATGGCATGGCAATCGATGTCAGTTAGACGCATGGAGCCTGGAGCTCAGGTGGTCCCTTGTCGAGTGAGAGCAATGGCTAGGTATGGGTAGACGTTGAACCAGAGTCTCGTTTGTGCGGAATCTTTCGCTACTGGCCTTGATTTCCAATGCCCACACGCCCTCCGCAAGAGTTTTTTTTTCTCTCACTTAACTATTATGTATTTGGATTTTGCTGACCCTCTCTCATTTTTTGCTCATCTCTTTTTTGTGAACATTCACTTTCACATTTCGGAATTTGATTGAGGACTTGCTCAGCTGTGTGAAAGTGTTTGGTCTGGTTGCTTGTTGGTGTACAAACAGAGTTGATAAGTCAACAGAAGCTCTCATTCAGTACCTACATTGAAGCTCAGCTTCCCTCGGCAGCACCGCACACCACACACTCGTCGACTCACACCCTCCTCTTGCCTCTCTGGCTGTTGCTCTTCTTCGCTATTGCGTTGTTGCTCTTATTACTCACCATCCTACCTCTGTCTACTTACGCTCACACTTTCCCCAAAAGGCATCTTTGCCTCCCACCTTTCTCTGTCTCTTCTTTTATTCCACACCTGAGCTCTTGCCGAACTTACCTAAACTCAACTTACTTACCTGCCTCCATACCTTCTTCTTTCCCACCCACTCGCCTTCCTTCTTTCATATCTCCTTCCTTGCAACCCACCTTGACTCTTGAAAGAAGCGACCTTTTCGATTGAATATCTTTATTCGCTTTGCTCAACTTACATCTTACAACACTCGATCATCGATATTCTTGCAGTCTTTGAAGTGAAAGTCAACCACAACTCCAATCGACGTCGCAATCGCAATCGCATACGCAGCCACCGTCGCATAACTGGTCCAATTTCGAAACGGTTCCTGTAGCAAAGCTTGTCAATGTTTAAGGGTAGCTCATCTCATGTTTAATGAGCTACACTTGGACTGCTACAGTTTTTGTAAAGCTTCATCGTCACCAATTGATCTAGTCCTTTCAATCATATCTTAAATCGCTACTATCTCTTATCTCGCCTCTTATACTCTTATCGCTACAACATCCCCCGCCAGCAAGCCATCACACATGGTGGGGTCAAGATGCCGCCTCGATCTTCTTTAACGTCGTCTTTCTCTATCACAGACTCCAACAATGAGGTAGTCTGTCCTCTTCGCAATCAAGATGGCTCAAGCTGTCGCAAGAGATGCATTGGTGTAAGTCTTTAGATGGATTGCTTTTGCTAGCCACTCTGCTTTATCCTACCCTGCATCTGTTCTTGAACTACCAATGCTGCGCCTACCCGCCATGTATCGTCATGTCTCACCACTCACATCGCATATTCCCTAAGTTGGCAAGCATATTCCCGTAGCACCATGCAACGGTACCGATTTGATTCTAAATGCCCAATTGCAGGAAAAGAGGTATCGCTCCATGCAGGAGCATATCCGTCGCGCGCATCCCGAGCATTACATTTCCAAGCTACCAGCTACCGAAGAGAGCTTCTTGTTGATGATTAATACTCCTCCTTCGGAGCGCCGCCCTCTTGATCAGACCTCAGCTCCAAATGCTCAGGGTTTGTCCCACTCTCAGTCAAGCCTACCCCCGCCCATTGACCACCTTCAAGGTTTTCATGAGAGACATAACTACCACCGCGACGAGTCGAGCAATCCAGGCACGCCGCGCCTTATAGAGGACTACACTAACGGTGGGCCGGTGTCTGGTCCAATGCTTGGTACTGCCAGCGCAGCAGCAGCACTAGCTGAACTTCACGGCGTTAAAAGCGAGCGTGACATGGATATGGATGGTGTAAGTGGTATAATTGATCAGACAACCAATGCATACTAACTATACATAGGAATATTATTCAGATATGGATGTTCGACGTAGACCACGAACCTCCATTGAACTACCACCACTCAATCTTCCAAACCACGACATCACCAGCGACCCTTATTCCTCTGCCAAGGCTAATAGACAGCGCGATTTTCTCCCTTCCATTCTTGCAAACTCACCTCCTGGAAGATCATCTACTCTCCCGCCTCTTCAACGCCCCATTGGCCCCAACCGTCCCCGCAAGCAATCTGTAACGAAGAGAGGAAGAGAGACTCACCATAAGAAGAAGACCTCAAAGGGAACGGCAACTGATTGGCTACGTCGGATACAAAATGAAGAGCGTTACAGGCCAGGTAGTGATAGGAAAGCTCTTTCGGCTGAACCGTCGGCAGACTTTGGGAAGCGATGGGAAGATCTCATTGATGCAGCTGACCAAGCGGCCTCTGCTGCTGGTGACATTGATGAAGACCGTACTCCTGTAGGTCATTCCCTATTGTATTTATCTCAAGTTTTATGCATGGACTAACATACGATGACTAGGTCCCTCAATCTCCGGTTTCAATGCATAGGTCATCATTGCCGCCCTTTTCTCACCAGCCGCAATTTCAACCAGCCAGCTATCAGGCCTCACCACTCCAACAGGCACTTACGCCTCCGTCCTACGGCCAGGACACTATAGAACCATTTCCTTCAGTTGAAAGTGGCGAGAACTTCCATATGGGGACCCGGGGGCTTTCTGACTCGTCACCGTCATACTCGGCTCAAAATATTCAGATATATTGCGCTGCATGTCAAGGATTTTCTCTACTTAAGGATTCGTATGCATGCACCGAATGCATCTGTGGTCTCTGCCCGACTTGTGTCGAGGTCCTCATGACAGAGCACGGAGCAAGAAGGAAGTGTCCCCGCTGTGCCACAATCGGCGGACGATTCAAGCCTTTCCAGCTCGACATTAGGTAAAGGACTTCTCGGGAGTCACTTTTTCATTCTATCAAGATTCACGCATAAGGGATACCCTACAACGGTTAACATCACATTGGTACGGCGTTATGGCATATGACAGAAGTCAAACAATCTTGTTTACGAGCAAGATGGCGAATTATGATATGGGACTGATCTCAACTGTGCCAAGCGACGGTTCGTTCATTTATTACACTTTGGGAAAATTGCTACATGGGAACTTGGGTAAAGGAGTTTTTGTTTTTTCTTTCCTTTTCTTTTCTTTCCCCCTTTTTCTTAGGATCGGCATGACACCGAGATCATGGATGTCAGATTTGATTTTGTCTTGGGTTGGTGTTGGTTAAGGATTGACAGACCTGTACAGCACAATCAACGATCGTTACAGATTGAGCGCGGGGTGGATCAATATCCCGAAATATATACAAGATGACATTTTTTAGAATAACTATTTTCACAGTTGCATTGGCTAACATGGTTAGTGATATATGTAAATTCTAAAAAAGAGTAACATGAGTAATAACCATCTGACGCCACAATCGCCAAAGAAAACTCCACCGGATCGCAACTATTTCTTTCCTTCCTTCTCCCTTTTCAGCAGGAGGTCTCTCATCTGAGCTCTACTGTTACGGCTACCGCCAAGTTTGGGTCCTTTGAGGACCTCCTCGGTGCCAGGGCGAGCAGGCTGGTTCGTTGCTTTCTTTTTCCTGAGTTGTCGCTCGGCAACATCCTCGAGGAACCGCTGTCGGAACTCTTCAGCAAGTCGTTCATCTGCTGCACCGTCCTGGTCGGCACCAGCGGCGTTGCCGCTTTGTTCTGCGGTGGGTTCGTATAGGTCAACTAAAGGGTTCATGTTAGCATATGTCTTGGAAAAAGAAGGGGCTCTAAATACATACGCTTTGCTTCTCGAAGAATCTCGTCGACGAGTTGGTCGCGCTTGACAGCATCACTATCTCGGCGTTTTCGCGGACGCCAGGGTTTGCCATCTCTTCTGAGCCGAGGCTTCTTGGCTCGCCGTTCGTCACCATCTCCTTGACCTGCGCCCGCGTTACGAGCAGCGCTACTGTCTTGCGCATGGTCGCCGAGATCAATTTCCATCAGTTGGCCCTGCATTACGGCCCGTCCAGTCTCGTGCTTTGTCGCCATCGTGGAAGATTGTCGAGTAGGGTCCGATGCAGATGCGGATGAGGTAGGTTTTGAGCTATCTCTGGCCGCACGATTAGATAGTCGGGATTCTATGTAGTCCATCCTTGAATGATTAGTTATTGTACAGTGAGAAGCGCAGACTGCGAAAGAAGAGGGGCTTCAACGTACATGTGTCTATCGTTCAGGTCGGCAACTTTTCCAGTTTGATGTGTAAACCGGTCTGTAACGCCCTTGATTACGGACTCATTATTCGAAGTTTCATCAGCATTGTGAGGAACGAGCGCGCGCTCGGTATTCGTGTCGTCTTCTGGGCGGTTTGAATTTCGAAATGCGACACCTCCAAGACGGCTCCTTCGCGCATTGCGCAACCTCAGCGCGGCAGCAACAGAGCCTTCTCCATGCTCTTCCTCATCTGGCGTGCTTCTTTGAGTCGACTTATCGTTTGATTCCGCTGCTGATGCGGTAGGAGGCGGTTGTACTGTTTCTGTAACAGCGTCGTCATCTTCTTGGACACGCTGGCGGTATGCTTTTCTTTTCTTGCCGGCGCGGAATCGAATAGGCTCTGAAGCCGCTCCGGATGAAGTGGCGTCCATAAATAAGCCGATGTGTGTGTATTTGCAGGTTTGCAGTATTGTTTTTCGCGTCGCAAGTTGAAGGGATTGCAGATATTAGATTGGTAGGGATGGTTGTTTGGGTGCCACTAGATAGTATGTGACATCAGTTCTAGAGCTTATCTTATCGGTATCCCTGCCTGCCTTATAAGCTGAGACATCCACCTACAATCGACCGTTGACCAAAGGTTGTTTATCGTCCCGGATCATATACTCAGTAAGTATAATACCATGAAACCGCATGAGCTTGTTTACTGACTTGCGTTTCAAGTTTAGCTTTCATCACTGGTAGTACCTCTTACATTAGCTTCGATATCCTCGAACTTTGACTCCGTAACAACCTACTTACTATCCATTACATCTTACATAGCCTCACCAAGATGTCAAAACGAGTATGCTACCTCTTATCTGAACCAATATTAATGCTAAGTCTCGCAAGGTCTATTTCTCTGTTGAAGGGCGTGTCCAAGGTATGTTCATCTTCCGTTCACTGAAGCTTCTCTGTAACTGACGTCATGTAGGTGTTGGCTTCCGGTATGATATAACTCATTGACTACGTTCAGAAGCATTGAATCTGATTTGTGGAAAGGTACTTTACTCAAAAGAGAGCTCAGGAGTATGGGGTGACTGGTTGGTGTCGAAACACAAAGGATGAGAAAGTAAGTCGACACAAGCACTCTAATCTGGCCTGGCACTAACAGTGTTTGAGGTTGAGGGAGAGGCCCAAGCCAGCGAAGAGGTTCTTTCCAAGTTCTTAAAGGATGTGGACGATGGTCCGAGATCAGCTCGGGTCACAAAGGTTTCACAAGAAGAGAGGCAGATTATCGAGGGAGAGAGTGATTTCACAGTCACGCGTTGAAAAGGGGATATGAGCAGAACAGTAACAGAAGGGTAAGAAACACAGATCGTTGCTGTCTTTATCCAACAGACTGAGAGTATGGCTTTTGATCGCGGCTGACGAGGATGAAAACCGCCGTTCCTTTTTTCGGAGCAAAAGCATCAAATTGTCAACAACGGTGCACGGCGGGACGACTTGATAAATAAGACACGCAGTCTCTGGTCTGAATAGTCATTATCAATGGCAAACTAAAGGAAACATTAGTGCTCTTAGACTATCAATTCACTGAATCTTCTGACATATCAGTATTACACGCCTTGGGCGACTTTATTCTGTTTGATATGGAAGTCACTGGTTACTAGAGAATTCGGCCTCCCAAGTCTTAGGTTAGTTATGCCACTTAGGCCATGCTTCTTAGACGACTTATTTTTATAGCCTAAGACTTATGCCAAGGGTCACGAGAGAAGGAGTTCAAAGATGCAATGTAGATAATTATTGGATTAATTTAGTGAGTTTATAGTCTAAGAGCCTAAAACGGTCTGTTACGGCGCTTCATCACCGGCTTCCTGACTGCGCCTTGTGTTATATACTTCTTGCCGTCTGCTCCAATCTTCTTGCTCGTCGGCTTCTTTTGGCTTCTTTCCTCCTCCGCCTGCTTCCTTTCTTCATCCTTACGTTTATCATCAGCCATCTGGGCCTCGATTTCCATCTTTCGGTTGAATTCTGTTTCTATGATACGCTTATCACGGGCCGAATAGCCCTTTTCCTTAAGCGAATAGAATACACCGCCGAGATCAGCGAGCCAGTGGGGGTCAACAGCTGTCACTGTTGACACATATACTTTCGATGTGAGGATCAATTCGTGGTAGACGATATAGTCGGGCGGGTGCCCGGCGTACAATGCACTTGTCGGATGCAATTGCACACCTAGGTTGGTACGAAGGTTGATGTACTCGCCTGAGCCTTTGTATTTGGCTGCTTGGTGGTAGTAGCCCGAGCAGATGCACTTGCGAACAATATCCCAGTCGATTCCACAGCTTGTTAGCGTCATCTTTTGCATGCGAATGATATCCAGCAACTGCTCGCGAATCTCCTTGGCTCGCCTCAAAGACTTAGGGTGCAGGAAGTGCTTCACACACCAGCCATCGGAATAACCGTTTGCCTTCCAGTTAGTATAGACTTGAAGGTACGTCAAATGATCCGACTCGTGCACCCAAAACTTCTCACGCGCAGCATCGGCTTCTTCCTGTCGCTCCTTTGGGCGGTAGAAAACATTGGGCACAGACAGCATGGAGACGATAGTGATCATCTCCTCACTACAACCATAGTCCTCTGCGGTAATGAGCAGTTTAGATAGGGAAGGATCCATTGGGAAAGCACTCATCTTCTTTCCCAACTCGGTGAGCTCGCCCAGATTGTCCAAAGCTCCAAGGGCCCACAGGTCAAACATCGAGGTTGTAATAGTGTCCTGCGGAGGGGGATCCATGAAATCGAAATCCAGTAAATCTTTAACGCCAAGAGATTTCAGCATGAGAACAGTGTTGGCAAGATTTGTGCGCTGAATTTCCGGGATCGTCTGCAAGTATAAGTCTTCCTTAAACTCCTTCTCAGAGTATAGTCGGAATGCCTTTCCTGGACCTGTTCGACCGGCTCGACCTGAGCGTTGCGAAGCGTTGGCTTGAGAGATGGGCGTGATTTGGAGGGTATCCATGCCAATCTTGGGGTTGTATACCTTCATCTTGGAGTAACCCGCATCCACGACGTACTTGATACCATCAACTGTCAAACTAGTCTCGGCAATGTTGGTCGCAACAATGCATTTTCGAACACCAGGGGCTGCCTTGTCGAAAATCTTGGCTTGTAGATCTGCAGGCATCTGACTGTAAATAGGCAGGATGCTTAACTTGGGAGGGTCGTTGAGAGCGTCGAGTCGTTTTTGTACCAGCTCGCATGTGATTTCGATATCTTCTTGGCCAGTCATGAACACCAAGATATCTCCAGGGCCCATTGAGACGTGGATTGACAACACTTGATGCACAGCCTGATCGACGTAGTCCTCAACAGGCGATCGATGGAACATGACGTCGACTGGGAAAGTTCGTCCAGGAATGATGAACTCAGGAGCGCCGCCAAAGAAATCGGAGAAGCGTTTCGAGTTCATTGTGGCCGATGTTACGATGAGTTTCAAATCGCGTCGCCTTTGCAGAATCTTTTTGAATAAACCCATGAGGATATCTGTGTTCAGAGCACGTTCGTGTGCTTCATCCATGATGACACAGGAGTAGCGGTCCAAATCTGGTTCGTTCAACGACTCTCGTAATAGAACACCGTCGGTCATATATTTGATGACCGTCTCCTTGCTGGTGCAGTCTTCAAATCGGATAGCATAACCAACTGTGCTTCCTAGCTTCACTTCCATCTCCTCGGCCACACGCTTGGCCACACTCATTGCTGCAACTCGTCGCGGCTGTGTGCACCCGATCATGCCAGTTTTTCCGTATCCGTCTTCTTGGAGGAACTGCGTTAACTGTGTTGTTTTACCAGAACCTGTCTCGCCAACGCAAATGACAACTTGATTTTCTCTGATCACATGAAGAAGGTCCTCACGAACTGCGAACGCTGGTAGGTATTCGCGCTGCTCTCTTAGGGTTTTGCTCTGGCTGAAGTTACTGGCACCGTCCGCCTTTTTCAAATGTTCGCTAAATTTGTTGCCCTTTCGCTCCGTGGGTTGAGCATCTTCCTCGGCAGGTACTGGTAGCGCGGAGTCGCCGTCCTCCTCTTTTGCGCCCATGATGTTTCCAAGCGTCGTTCCGGTCATGCTCGTAGCTTCTTTGGCTTGCCTTTGTCGCTCTCGCTGTTGTCGTGCTTCTTTGACCACTTTGCTACCCTTTCGGCTGAAAACCGCCATGTGACTTTGGGGGTCTTTTACAGCGGGCACTGGCTCTAGTTGTTTCGTGAAAATAGTCCGTCCTTTCAAGAAAGGGGGTCGGAGGTCGTGGACCAAAAGATGAACTCGGGTTGAATCGTCGTCATCAATAAAGTCGGAGGCCATATCTCGTCGCTGGGCCACTCCAGATTGCAGCATTCGATTTGTTTCCCAGGCGTCATTTTCTCGGTTCCTTTGCTCGCGCCGTGCATCGAATCGGCTGCTCATCTTTTCGTGCCGGGCTGTTTCCTGTTGCTGGCCTTCCCAAGCACCGTATGATGCGAAGGGATTGTGAGTATCGTCTCCGAAGCTATGCCCCCCGAATTCGTCGCCGCCGTACCAATCGCGGTCCAAAGCCGTGTCTTCCTCGGTCGCTCCTGCCTCACGCACTTCTGCCTCACGAGGGGGCGTGGCCGCGTAGCGTGACGACTGCGCTCGGGGGGTAGAAGCGCGTGAGGAATCGTTGTGATGTGCCCGTTGATAGGGGCGCGCAGAATCGATCCGACGTCTCTTTGGATCTGGCGACATCTTGGCGGTTGCTGATGCTGAATGAAGTAAGGAAGTAAGGAAGTAAGGAAAGGAAGGAATGTGATGCGGATGCAGGATAGCAGGGTATAGGCGCCTAAGCTTTGGGGTATGAAAATAAATAAATGACCTAATTCAGCGGCCTCAGGAGGAAAATGGCTACTGGGAGCATTAGAGACGAAATTATTAGGCCAACTTATGCCATTTAGATCGGGCTTTTTAGGCTATTTATTTTTGTCCCTAAAGCCGAAAGGTCGGACTTCCCATGATGCGACCAATCAGAGCGAATTGTATGTATATGTTGAAGAAAGAATTGGAAGCCAGCTGCTGAGCAGATATTCCTTTTATATGTTTGAGAAACGTTGCTGCATGAACTATATCACATTTTGACTGTCAGCTATTTGGTGGTTGTTCACGATTTTCAAAGTCTAATGCTGACTTCCCTCGCTCTGTACTGAGTCATGATAGGTAAAGTTCAAAGACGCAAACTTATTCTCACACATACAAAGCGCAGCGAGACCTGCTCAACAACTACTGAGCTATCATTTCCTTCCTTCAGTACAACCTAAGAGATATTTGAACTAAATGCTAAGGTTGACCATCAACTATAGAGTGAGGGACGAAACGCGACCAAAGAGTCACAATATCCAGGCAATCAACCTTGAGTAGGTTCTTAGTTTATTTATTGTGGCAACCTAAAGCTTAGAGGATAACTTTACGTCTCTTATGATCTTTAGGCTTAGGCCGAGTCTTCTCACCTTCCCAATATCTTCAACTACATTGATAAAGTCAAGTTGTACTGAGGGTTGTCTTTGTGTTTTGTATAGAGAATATTCGCGGGATGCGTTAAGTCGAGCCTCTTGTTTATGAAGAAGGAAGTAGACTGTCATAATAAACTACTAATTGTCAATTTTCTAGCACCCGATATGAGATGCGCAAATCGGGAGCTTTCACAAATGCTGTCACAACAAGAAGGCAAAGGACATGCCTATGTCTAACTCAAGTGACGAAAAGCTCTAACATTGGAATACTGAGTCTGGCAGAGCGATTGTCTTGTCTTGTGCTAAATTAGGTAGATATGAACGTCACTGGTCCCTGGGCGAGTTGAATTCTTATCGATAAACCCCACTAGAAATTTTGGGAGAAATTTATCTGGGCGCCCACCTTTAGACACAAAGTGGACTTGAACAACAGCATTTTTTTTTTCTTAAGATACCCAGACATTCACCATGTCTTCGATGATTACAGCTGCACAATGGGTCCCTAGGGGCTTCGCTGCGCCTTTCCCTCAGAAATACACCCTCGATGAGGCCGAGTTTGAGCGGATAGCTGAGCTCGCCAAGCTCCAACTCGACGACGCCCAAGAGGATCTTGAGGAAGCCGAGGAGGCAGCCAAGGCTGGCGCAAAGGCAGACAAGACTGAAGACAAGGAGGACGACTCTGAGATGAAGATTGACGAAGACGACAAGCCTGCTGACAAGAATGAGTATGCGACTTCCGGGCAGTTCTTCGTAAACCTTGTCCAAAAAAAAAACTAACAAGATCGCACAGGATTAATCTTGACGACGACGACCTGAAGGAGTATGACTTGAAAAACTATGACAACGACGACGACGAGGACGCCCCTGGACAGGGAGAAGGTATGGGCATGTTTGGAAACATCAAGTCGCTGGCGTACTACGAGTCAAACAAGGACGACCCTTACATCACAGTCGATGCGGACAAAGAACAGGAGGACGAAGATCGCGAAGAGCTCCAAGTTCTTGCGACAGACAACCTGATTTTGTCTGCAAAGGTTGAGGATGAGATGGCGCACCTCGAGATTTACGTTTACGAAGATTCGGCCGACAATCTTTACGTGCACCACGATATCATGCTGCCCGCCATTCCTCTCTGCGTTGAGTGGATCGACATGCCCGTTAACAAGGCCGGTGTAGAGAAGGATGCGGCAGGCAACTTTGTCGCTGTCGGCACGCTGGATCCCGATATCGAGGTTTGGGACTTGGATACCATCGACTGCATGTACCCCAACGCGATCCTCGGTCAAGGAGGTAACGAGGAGGAGAAGAAGATGAAAAAGAAGAAGAAGAAGTCAAAGAAGTCCAACGACGAGTACCACGTCGACGCTGTTCTGTCGTTGGCTGCGAACCGCAAGCATCGCAACCTTCTGGCCTCTGCCTCGGCTGACAAGACTGTCAAGCTGTGGGATCTCAACACAACAAAGTGCGCCAAGTCGTACACTTACCATACCGACAAGGTGTGCTCTCTGGCGTGGCACGCGAACGAGCCTACCGTCCTCTTGAGTGGTTCCTACGACCGAACTGTGGTGGCGGCCGATATGCGTGCGCCTGACGCAAAGGCTCCCCGATGGGGAGTTGAGAGCGACGTCGAGAATGTGCGGTGGGATCCTCATGACCCCAACTTCTTCTTCGTCTCAACAGAGAACGGTATCATCCACTACCACGACGTGCGCAATGCGCCGTCCGACCCCACAGGCACCAAGGCCGTCTGGACGCTACAGGCTCACGACGAGTCTGTGTCTTCGTTCGACATCAACACTGTGGTTCCTGGTTACATGGTGACCGGCTCGACCGACAAGACGGTCAAGTTGTGGAACATTCAGCCCACAGGACCCTCAGTAGTGGTTTCGCGCAACCTCGACGTCGGAAAGGTCTTCTCAACCACGTTTGCGCCCGACCCGGAGGTCGCCTTCCGTCTAGCTGTGGCCGGAAGCAAGGGAACTATGCACGTGTGGGACACCAGCACCAACGCGTCGGTGCGCAAGGCCTTTGCGCAGCGGGTTCCTGAGCAGAGCGGAAAGGGCGAGGACCGTCTCGTTGGCGTCAACAATGACGAATCCAGCGATGAGGATGATGATGAGGAGGATGACAACGAGGACGATGACTCCATGGATGAAGACTAAATCATCCGTTGTTGATGGGATGGCAATACATTCGAGACGAGAATCGGACAAACCAACCCGAGAAAGCCTGTTTGAGGCTGAATGAGACATGGGTCCCGTTAGACAATAGCGCGGCGATCCCCAGTGAGCATTGGCAATGGTGGACAAGGGCGAAAACAACCAGTGTCTTGCCCGCCTTGAAGGACGGTTCTAAAAAGCAGACTGCTGCATGAATGAAAGCATACTGGCGCACGAAAAACTGTTCCACAACGAAACAGTTGGTGAGGAGATACTAAGTCATGTTTGAGTATATTAGCTATTAGATAGACGATGTTTTTTATGAAAGAAAAGCTGGATTTGGTTCTTCTACGACGCTCATTATTTCTCTTACTGGTGAATAAATGATGAGCAGATGAACGATATAGCCACCTATATCAAGGCTGATATTAAGGGTCCATTTGGATGGTCTGAGATGCCTCACGGACAAAGCACTAAGGGAGTCAGCTTTTGGTCTGGGAACAGATCTGCAGTAGGCACGTCACTGTTACTCGAAATAGGGCGGTGGCACTAGGATATGTATGTACAAGTATCTGTCTCAGACTGCCATAGCGAAAAGCGAGTTTGGACAATTAATTTGCTGTATAAATGAGACTTCTGTGCGCAGGCTCCCCAAGGCTCCATCCCATCAGCGAGAAAAAGCTGTGACCATGTCCCTTCGTTAATCGAAAGCGGAGGATCGACCGGTCCACACGACGTAATGCAACAGTGAACAGGCCAGGGTAGTTCTTTGAGCAGCAGCATCACCCCTGGAAGCCTGGGTCGGACCTGAATTTGACAAGCGACGAGTGAGAACCGAGAACGCTGCCGTCCATGGATCACATTCGCAGTCGAGGGCCCGCTTGCGCAGGCATTAGGAACCTGAAACAGGGGGAGAACGGCAATGGCGTTGAAGCCAATTATGAAGGGTTCTCTCTATTATGTACAGAGAGGCTTGTAAGTTTAATGAGAGAACGCCAACTACAAATACTAACTGAACTGTTGAATCGCTTAATATGGTTGTGCCTGATGTTTCTGAGGGGCGCTTTGTTAATGCTTTGTACGAGTCAACCACTTTTTTTGTTTTTGGCTTAATCAAGATGGTCTAATTACCAGTACTACTAACCCAACGTAGTAACAGCTAATAACCGGTCGCTTTTGAGTGTCCAAGATGCTATAACGGTAGTGGTGAGAGCAGCTCAGTTGTGCGTTGGTCATGCACAACAACTCATCTTATCGTTAACCTTTGACTTACGGATGCGTCTTCTGCATCCGGTCAGCTGAGGCCAAAGTTCGTGTCAATTTGTCAAAGAATAGTAATTGAGTGCTTGCATGCATCCATGTCCTGACCTTTCTCGTCTCTTCTAGTGATCGGTGTAACCCGATGAATAGAAATTTTCAAGGTCCGTTCGTCACCCAGTTCATCAAGCCAGTGCCAATGAACAGTGTTAGTGACAGTGGGGGGTTTTTTTTTTTTTCACTCATAGCATGTAGCGCGCGGGTCAATAAAAGGTTGATAAATGTGTGAGTGGATGTCTATAATGGAGGGTAATGATGGAAGGTGAATGGTCGAGCAGACGGAGGGAAGCTCCATTTGGATTCGGGTGTTGGTTAGCATGTGCTCGGAAACAAAGGCCTCAACAGAATGAGAGTCGTCACATTGGATTGGGTCCAAGCAAAAGCAAGGAAGAAGACGAAGGAAGAAACAAAGCAATCGTCACATTAGTGTGTGCCCACAATACGTATGTAAGTAGTCAAGCTGTAACAAGCTGAAATAGCAAAAGAAAGAAAGTGTATCGTGTGTAGCCATGAACGTGTCATGCGGTTGTATATCGTTTTTGACTGTGAATCTGGTGTTGATCAAGACATATGCAATGCGATACCAGAGACGGCACTCAGTCGACAGGAGCCACGAATCTTACCATTCTTAATAACTATCAATATCAATCAGCTGGTTCCTTTGGCGCTCAACGCGGACTTTTCTTCTCTGCATGGACAAAAGAGGAAGAAAAACCTTGGCTAGTTTATAATACAAGGGGCATGGCGAGCGAGCATATTCACGCGATTGGTTACCCACATAGACACGACGCCAGGATCTTTGCTTCAGAGCCTTTTTAGCCAGGGGCGTCGGCCAATCAATAGTCACTGACAAGGACAGGGACTGTTGCTAAACAGCCACCAAAGATGTGATGGGTGGCCGGGCCGTTGTAACTCGGCCTGAAAGTTTAGTGGCCTCCAGTACCTAAACTACCACCTAAAATTTGCTAGGGCGAGCTACAGTGCACTGCACTGCAGGGGAGTCGGGCCATCAGGCAGTTGGTCCCGCCCGCCGTATCTAGAAGCAGGCGCTGGGGGGTCCCATATTTGTTTCCTGCCCCCCATCTTCATCCCCACGGTGCTCTCCTTCAAGATTCGTCCATATCTCTTGCTTTCTCTCCTTTGACCTTTACACGTCGAAAAAAACCAAGGCCTGTATCTTCAATTCTTCGAAAGTTTCACGATTGCCACTCTCTTGGTCGTGTCTACTTCGCTTCGTCAGTGTGCATTGATTCTGCATCTGATAACTATTTATCTCACATTTTCATACATTCATTCACTACTTTGTTCTGGTATCCCACCCTGTCGCAGGATCGATCCATAACCCAAAGAAAACTATACGGATATCAAGCGATACAGCTATTTTCAACGTTGACCGTTCCTTTACAATCATCCACTCGTTCACTGCAAATTCGGTCAACGTAAATCACACTCTCTTTCTCGAAGAATCGACAGATCAAATCACGCCAGACGTACAATTTCTGCTCTAGAAGCCGGATCTTGGAAGCAAAAGAAAGGACTGGATTCCTTTGTCTCAGTACAGTACAACACACAAATTTAGAAACTATTATAGTGTTTCTTTTCCTCGCTCGCAAGCTTAGCTTTCGACTGGCCAAGCTCTCAGCAAAGTCTTGCATCAAAAAGTAGATCAGTGTTGAGTCAGTGGCACAACACTTTTTTGCCGTCTTATCACAAGGCATCTCAGTTGCAGCAGCTCCTCATCACTGCTCACCCAAGTTTACTTATAAAACCACCAAGCCACCAAACAAACCTAGCCAAACAAGTGTTATATAAAATTTACAAAAATGTCACTCTCACGCGCTTTTACCACCAGAAAGGCCAAAGTCGCCGAGATGGGAGACTCGCCACCACCGCATCGCAGCAACTCGACCCGCGATAGACACCATGGTCCTATCCTTCGACATAAGATTTCCGGTCCTATTCAGCTTGTTCATACAACCAACATGCTGTCCTATAACGCTCCCGATATCCCGTCGCCGCACGCTTCTCTCCGCACCAAGTCTTCGCTTCGATCTGTTGGTGAGGACTCCGAGGCTCCTTCAACTACCGAGTCAACTCCACCTACGAGCCCGGAAGTTTCTCCCATGGAAGACGGCCCAGGACCTGTGCCGAATCATTTATCAACTTACTTCTCGGTTTCAACCAAGCCGCACGTCATGCCACCTACTGTGCCAAAGGTCAATGAGGCTCCTGCGATTCCCCAGCGATCACCTTCCCACACCAAGCAGAACTCGTATGACAACATCGCTCGCCAACGATCCGTCTCGCAAAGGTCCAGAGACTCAGAGAACTCCGTCTCCACAAAGGCCAGCTACACTTTCTCCCGGTCATCGTCTACTTCTACTAGAGCGTCATCGGCCTCGTACGTCTCTGCCGGTCACAACCAGAAGGCTCCTCCTGTGCCTACCCCTGCAGTCCCAGCCGCCGCCCCAGCTCCTCCGCCATCCTTCCAGCAGCGAGCCCTCAAGGACTCTCATCCCTTTGGCCATGAACTAGCACAAGTCACCGAGCTCGCCGAGGAATACAGCGCCAGGCCGCTAAGCAAGGAGGAGGAGGAGGACCAACAATACATCAAGTCCAAGGGTCTCAACAAGTTCAGCGCCGATGACTATCTCAGCGATGTTCAGAACCTGCTCTTCAGCTTCTTTCCCGAGGTGTCACCCGCCAAACTAACCACACCTCAATGGATTTAAATGCGCACCCAATGCCGAGACATCGGCTTCTTTATTCAACAGTACATAATTGATAGACATTTTACGACCATGAACGGGAGTCCGCGGTAGGACAATGGCGGGCATGATTAAAAGGCACATACACATTCGTTGCTCTTTGAAGCAGCATTTATTCTCTCTTTGAGAAATCTCATTTTTAACACTCACGTCTGTCTTGGTTTGGATTGGTTTATTGGAGGAGAAAGGGATACATACATGTCCAACGTTTAGGTAACCATGTATTTGGTTCGGATATTGGCGACTTGGCGTTTAACAGGGCCATGAAGGAAACAGGACTGGATCTGACATTGATGGATGTGCAGAGGATACCATTTTCTCCTTGATGGATGATTGATCGATTCTATTTTACGATTGTTGTATCTAGACTTACCATACTAGATCACATACACCAGCCTCTCACGGCATATTTTCTTGATTACAGCTTTCATCCCTTACATTTACCAGCATGATGATGGGGGTTATTTTTAAGTCGAGATGAAACTGTTGATCATGGATTGACATATTACTGCACCAATATGCATCTCCAAGCATGCGGTACAATGAAACGCTATGAAACTGCCCATCATTTCCAGCCCCATCCTGTCTAGCCTGTATTTTTCATGCTTTGCATTTATGAATTATTCCTGCCTTTGGACCCCTGGCGATTTAACCAGGACCGCTGCCGGATCGGAAACGCGCCACAATATAGATCAAACATTAACGAGCAGGACAGCAGGGATGAAAGATAGCAAGGCTTGATACTTCAAGTTTTAGGTTACGATTTGACGTATGGATTGTCTTTTTCATTTTTCTTATTTTTTAAACTCTGCCGCATCTGTTGAGACTTTTTTGAGTTTCTAACGGTTGAGAGTGGCGTTTGGGTTTTTCCGTGACGCGTCCGGCTTCAAACTTTACATCTTGATCAAGGAGGTGGAAATTAAACTGCCGATGATTTCTACCGATGTTGTGCATTTCCAATCGCGTGATTGAGATAAAGTAGGGTGGGTAATGTAAACTTAATTATGAGGTCGGCACACAAACCTATGTGGTATCGTGAGTGCTGAATTGATGGTTAAAGGGACAGAATAATAACAAACAACAACTAAAAACATGTCAAAGTCCAAGCCAAGTTTCTACAACTATTTCTCCTAGAATTATTCTCGAACTTGGCAACGTTTCAGCCATACTTTAAATTTCGGTAGCAACTCGGCGTGCTATCCTGCTATGGTAATATCTGGAATGCTTGGCTTAACCTAGACCACTTTAATAAAACATTATTCCAGCCCTATACACCACCTATCTATCTCAATCCTGAACTATCACGCCCAGGATATGACTAAAACACGCTTTAATTCTATCTTTATGAAACAATCGCCTCTCAGTCAAAGTGCGATTCTCAATGCTCTTCGCGGTCAGACACTGCGAGTTCCAAATCTCTACAATATATTCCGCTCATGGCCTGAACAACACCCCAAACTAAACCGCCATCATGAGTATGTCAAACCACTTGTCGATCAAGCGGTCGATTACATGGCACTAAAATACCCGCTCATCATGCGTCGTAAGAAAGATGACATTGCCAAGTTTGCCTGCTTATGGTATCCCCAGGCCCGTAAGCGGGAGATGGAGGCACTGGCGCTCTACACGACGTGGCTGGTGTGCTGGGATGATGCTGTCGATGCTAACGAGGGCGATCTGGCGGGTGATTTTGCCCATGCGGAATGTTGGAGACGGCAGACTTTGAGAGTGGTTCGCGAGGCTTTGGCCGTTGACGGAATGTATGAACGTGGATCAGACGGTGATCCGATTAACGATGTTTTTCGGAATTTCGGCTCGCGAATCTGCGAGACAGCGTCGAGGGATCAGCGGCGGATCTTACATGATGAGATACAGCTATTTACTGTTAGCTGCGCAGCTGAGCAGGAACTGCGCCTGGCTGGTCATGTACCGGACTATGAGTCGTATATGAAGCTCAGGATCGGCACCGTCGGTGGCAGGATGCTTTGCAGTCTTGTCCCATATGCTACGCAGGAGAGACTACCGCAAGCAGTTCTTTCGAGCCCAGAGATACATCAGCTATGGAAACAAGTATGTGTTCTACTGAGTTTGTTGAATGATTTGTTATCGTTGAAGAAGGAGTTGCAAACAGATTGTGTCATCAATGCTGTTTCTGCCATTATGAAGCCAAACATGACATTGGATATGGTGGTTGCTGAGTTGGAGGTAAGAATGAGAACGGCAGTCAGGAAGTTTGACGATGCTGCAAGCAAATTGATCAACGGTATGGAAGCAGAAGGAGAAGTGCGGCCTCTTGTTGAGAGATACGTCGAAGGATGTCGCTCCATCGTCACTGGTACTCTCGAGTTTACGTTTGTATACCTTGGAAGATTTATATCAGGCGCCTACTGACTTTCAACAGGCTAACGTCACCAAGATACAACATATGGAAGCTCGTACAAGAAGACGGCTCATTAATAATTACTCTCTGATTCTATTTGGTAGACAATATTTGCCAATTCTAGGACAATATCCAACCGACCTTAGGGAGTTCAACATCAACGCACAGGGGACAAGGTATGATAAAAGTCCAGCCTCACGAGTCTCACGAGGGATTATTGCTCCTGGGTTTGTGTTATCACAGCTTTGATAAGATCTGTGATGGTAACAATCCTATATCCCTGCCGCTTGAGTTCAGGAAGAACTTTACGCAACATTGGCGCAGTCCATGATCTTCTGTCGTGACAGATGATGATGGCACCTGGATGAGCCATGCCCAAGATATGCTTTGCGTTGGTATCGGGATATGGTATCTGAGGGTCGTGAGGGTAAACGCTTCCCAGAGTGATACGGAAGCCCTGGTTTCCCAGTACATTGCGCATCCGCGTATTAAATATCCCGGATCCTGGACGGAAGTAGTTGTTGGGTAGGATCAAATTGTTGGCAGCGTACGCCTCGGTCAACATATCTTTGACGAGGTGAACTTCTTCGAGAAGTTTCTCATTGCTGAGTGACTCGGACGGCTCATCATGCATAGCGTGGTTGCCTAGCTCATGGCCTTTCTCGACCAATTTGACAAGTGTACCCTTGCGCCCCTCAACCTGAGACCCAATGACAAAGAATGTAGCATGGGCTTCATTCTCCTCCAATATCTGCATGATCTCATCGGTGTGGGCGGACGGTGCATCGTCAATGGACAGGGCAATAATCTTTTGGTCGGTCGGAATCTCGAAGAGCACGTCGGGGTACTTCCTCCGAAGCCAGTTGATGAGGTATGTCGGAGGCTTGTAGATACAGTAGGCCGAGTAGAAAGGAAGGACCAAGAGGCCTACGAGGGCAACGAGGGCAATAAGTGTCGCCATTCGATTGCGCCTAACCCTACGCCGCAATTTGGTGGGCAGGCGGAAAAGGGAGAGTCGGACCATTGGGGGAGGGCATCTACTGCTAGGTAGTGCTCAGCTGCGGCCGCAAGTCCGATAAACGAGACTCTGAAGCCTGTGCATGCTCCCTCTGGAGTCAAGGTGAAAAGAGAAGGTTGGCGATGATGGCGATGGTGTTGTTGAGGATCGGATGAAGCAAGGGTAAGGGTAGGTACGAAAAGGGGATCATAGGTGGCGCCTCATGCTCGGTTGGGACCCATAAAGACAGGCGCGCTTCTACTGCGTCTATCGCGACCACTCACAGAAGAACGGGATCTCGAGATCCCTGCTGTTGGCGCGGCTCAGAGAAACGCTACAAGGGTAGTGGATCCACCGTTAAGGCTCTAAAGGTGGACCCAGGGCTGAGAAGCAACACTGCCCAGTGGCACAGTCCGACCTAAAGCGCAGCAGACCAAATAATAGCATCGCATGACATTTTAAGCAGCACATTCAAGATTGGCGAGACCTTACAAGCGCTCAACCTTGTATTTGGTCCTAATTTGAGTAGTTAGACAAGCGCGGTCCACAAGGCTAGACATAGACGTCTAGACTTTGTGGCACTTGAGCCGCATCGGCATTGAGTCCCTAAGCGACTCTCGGTTTCCGGTCTCCGTTCTAAACTATGATGCTCAGTGGTTGTATAGGTTTTATATGGCTGAACTAGTTGACCGGATGTTTCATTCCCGTCGGGAGGCGTCTTTCTCACACAAACTACGTATGTGTTTTGAAACATCAGTGGGTGCGACTTATATGATGACTGAACTTTGTCGGCTTGTGAACCTCAAACAGTCATGATGCGTGCGATGCGGTCATAGACAATGAGTAAATTATGGCAGTAGGAGTTCTATCTTGTTGCGAGTAGACTATGACACGAGTTGCCAAGAGTGCTACTTGTTCAATGCTATGTTCTCAATTGGAGTTCCATCACGAGTCTGCCTCACTGGCGAGACCGAACGCTTGAAACATCCATCAAAGATGATACCAAAACAAGACAAGAACCTGGGATAAGGTGCGAGAACTGACGTATTTTCCTGTCCCCTGTAGAGCCCTATGACTCTAGGCTGTTTGTAGGTAAGCTTGCTGACATCTCCAGGGGTTCTTTATGTTTTTGCATGGCCACCATCGCCTACAGGGTCTGGTTCCCGAAGCGCGCTTACTCTTGATTGGTTCACAACTGCGGCCTCCCGGCGTGCCCGCGAATAGGAACCTTCAGCCACAACCGCAACTCCTGGATTTGGTAGAGGCATCCCATGATAGAGCAGTTGATAGTAGCCGTCATAAAAGATTAAATATATAAACAAGTATGTATGAATAGATCTCTGAGGTATCAATCCATCGACCCAGTGTATTGTATTTTACTTTGCGTTAGATTCATCGTCATCATCATCATCGCTACAGCACTTCTTATTACCACTTACACGCAAACAGCCAACCACAAAACGCCATCTCAACCAACAACCATGAGTCGCCGACAGGACCACGACCAGAGGCAATACAGCCAGAGATACTACTCGGACAGCTCTAGGAACTGGAGTGAGGAAGCTGTTCGAGGCAGCTGGGACTCCAACTACCAAAGAACAACATCGGCCAACACATCTCCCAGAGACCAGTCCCAAGCTTGGAGTAGACCAAGTCCTCAAGCCTATGATAGAAGCCAGAACATGGTTAACCAATGGCTCGGTCAACAGTATCAGAACCAGTACACCAATGATCCATCCATGGCCGCTGATACTGTATCCAATTTCACTACTCCTACTACTTCACCTGCCTTTAGCGACTCTCCTACCTTTCCTTCTCGGACTCAGTACACACCGGCATATCAAACCCAAGCTGCAGGCAATGATTATCTGGCACCACCTTCAAGGACTTCTCTTCCGCATCGCCAGTATGACAACCACTACCACGGTGGCGCCGCTTCTTCCTCTCGAGGATCTACATCATACAACCAATCAGTCGATTATCGACGTACAGAATCTAGGTCTACCGATCAAGACCTCAGAGGTGTTGGATCATTTGCTGACAACGATCGATCTCGGTGCGCTTAACAACATACATTACCAAATACTTGTTGCAACTAACATATCTTTGCAGTCGAGAAGTCAAGTATAAACCACTTGGAAACTGGTTCGGTCTCTGGCTACCTCCCACCGAGTGAAGCTAGCCATAACGAAACGCAAGATTCCACGATACTACTTCGATTCTACTCCAAGCAACAATTTTACACGAGTTTCTCTTGACGAAAACACCACCAACAGCGAACATTGTGCATCTACTCTTCAACCAAAAGGCAACAAACCATTTTTTTTTTCTTGTCTCTTTTCCTTTTCTTCCTCTGTTTCATTCTTCATTGCTTCCCCTTTCCCCTTACGGATAGACGTTTCTGAGACGGGCGGGTATGAGTTTCGAGTTCTTCTTATGTTATCTCCTCAACTACACATCCACACTCCCTTGACACTGAGCTATTTCTGAGTTCTCACAACAACCCTTCACATTCTCACCACCATCATGTATACTTAGAGTCACGGCATTTTACATTCGCTGTTTCTTTGGCTTGTGGAAGTTTCATCACTTTTTTCTTTTCATCTGGTGATTTCTTTATTTTCTTCTATGATTTTGTCTTGATTCATCTTCGTTTCTTTTTATCGCGATGAATGATTGTGTCGTCTAATATTCTCCTTTTTCGTTTCATTTTTAGATGTCTTATTTCTCTCTCAGTGCTTCCAGACCTTGAAGAAGATCTTGCTTCAAATCCTCGAGACCCTCGACACCAATGCTAACCCGTAGTAGTTTCTTATCGATCTTAGGATCCGTCATAGCACGCCACTCAATAAGACTCTCCACGCCTCCTAGACTGGTAGCATGGTGGAACAGCTCCAGCTTCGAGGGCAATCGCCTAGAGTGCTCTCCATCATGGAGATAAATCGAGAAGACTGGTCCGTAGCCGTTTGGCATTTGCTTTTGTAGCCAGCTGCCCTCAACAGACGCCTCAGGCTGCAGACTGGCATGCTGAATCCGCTCGACAAGGGCACTGACTACAGATGAGGGATCACGCTGTTGCTCGACTAGCCAGGCTACGAGGGCAGTAGCATTGGCGCTCTGACGTTGAACACGGAGTTCCAGAGTTCGCAGCGAACGAATACCTAACCAGCCTTCCAGACTACCCATGACAGAACCGATGAGCATACGGTCGTTAAGAAGAGCAGCCTCCCAATTAGTATGCTTGCGGTTAACAGAAAGTGTACCGCAGAGCATATCAGAGTGGCCACCAAAGTATTTTGTGCCGCTGTGCATAACCACATCAACATCATACTGAAAAGGATCCTGCAGGGGAGGCGGTGCAAATGTCGCATCGACGGTCAAGTAAGCCCCAGCTTTCTTTGCCTTCTCTGCATAAGCAGCCAGATCGCGGGCCTCGCCTGTTGGGTTGAGCGGTGTCTCGACGTGGACGATGTCGCCAGGCTCGAGGTCCTCGACGGCACAGTCAAGGGGGAGGACCTTGAGGCCTGTTAAACGAGACATGATGCTGATGACGCCGTGGCAACCGTGGTAGCCATCTCCGATGGCAATGCGCCTGGGGTTCAAGTGAACCAGCATGGCGTGAAAGGCGGATAGACCAGACGAGTAAGTTACGGTTGGAGCACCAATGATGGATGTCAAGACAGCTTCGAGGCGGGTAGTGTTTGGACCAGTTGCTCTGGAGTAGACATGAGAGTCGAGAGGGTTTTGAGGCTATATTAGTTAGTATAGAAGTCTATATGTCTTTGTAGATAGGCTATTCAGGTGCAGTGCCATGATATGTTAGAAGACTGAACTCATGATGGTTCCGAGGGTTTATGACAGGTCGCAAGTCAAGCAGGATATATCATGACGGTTTAAGAAGAGATCAGCACTCACATCAGTGTTATCCCAGGACCTCAGCGCATCAGGGTCGTCGCTGTACCTGAAAGTCGTGCTGACATGCATAGCCGGTGCAACTGCCCTGTGTGACTGGATACCATTATCGGCATGAACTGCGCGAGAAGACAGCGAAAGCCCGGCAAGTTTATCGTCGAGTCCGGCTTGAGCCCCGGCAGTACCGTCAGGGACAGAGGAGATGTCCTTGAGGGTAGTCGGAACTTCGTCAGATGCCATGATGTGAGATGTTTAAGTGGTGATGTTGAGTTGATAGACAGAGGTGAGGGGGCAATTTTGAATGCCGGATGAGCTAGTTGATATCTAGGTAACCAAATTAATATCAACTGCGAGACAACCAAACACAAACTTGTCAATATGTTTATGAAGAACAGGCTGAGATAAAAATTAAAAAAAAGTCAAGCTGAGTTTCGTCTGATTAATGAAATCACCATTGATACTTATTCTACGCCCTACCAAGAACAGAGCGGGGCCTCCATTCCCATTTGGCAATGGCATCACGCAATTTACGAGTGGATGATTTGTTCGACGTGACTCTTTAGTCCGTCATCGGCCTGTCTTAAAACACTTTATCGTTATCAAAATAGCAATGATCAATGAATTCCGTTTTACCATTCCGCCTCTGCTTGCTTATAAGCACACGCAACCAGGCTCAAGGTGTGTTTGACCGATCATGCTGTGTTTTTGAGATAGAAATATTCGATCAAGCAGACATTTAACGACTCACAAGAAACGTCAACAGACCCAAGAGATAATTTCATGGAAACACATGTCTTCTCATTACTATTATGTAGTCAACATCTTGTCTTCTTTCGACAGACATGACTCTAGCACATGTTGATTCATTTCAAGCGTCTCAGCTCATTACCCAGTCCATAACCAGGCCTTCTCTGCATAACCCATCCAATACAGAGCCGATTCTACGGCCAAGTTGTACCTAGCATGTTAGTGTCGTAGCGAATGCGTTTCTAGCATTATCTTGGCCCCTGTAACCGATAACGCCGGTAATATAAAACGAAAACTCCAGGTATCTTTAATACAACGTAGAAGGGTAAAAACTAAATCTTTCATGCATTTCAATGCATCTCTTGACCTTCAGGTGAAACAGTGACCTTGGGCGGTACATTGTCCATAGGTGTAAGTTCTGACCCTTGGCCGCTCTGAGCTCTTTTGCGGCCATGCATGAGGAATCGGGAAACAGAGGGGTTGCTTGAGGGGTCCTTGTCGCGAGAGTCGGAAAATTTGGAGAAGAAGCCTCGCTTCTGGGGCTGTGCCTGTTGTGCCGGCTGTTGTTGATATTGGTACTTGTGGTCATCCAGTCCAACATCTTCAAAACGTTCCTCAGCTGTTGGGGGCTGCTCAAACGATCGCTCGACCGCAGATCTGGGCATACGGGGAAGGCGAGCAGAATCAAGACTTTGACGCGTAGGGAAGTCGTTGTTGTTGGCAATGGGAGATCGTGCAGTGATGTCCTGGTTACTGTGTTAGTCGCATGTTGGTCGAAAGCCAAGTAATTGCGGATGCAGCGGCCAAGGAGAGAAATGACATACGAATGAGCGGCGGTAAGAGTCAAAAGATTCTCGTGAGATGGAGAAGTGTTCAATATCGCCAACACTGCTCCTTGTATCTGTAGAGTTACGAGTTGACAGGTACTTTCGTGGCCACTGGCCTTTCTCTTCAGTGGGGGATGGCTTTGCGACCGTTAGTTGTGGACTTTGACGCTTTACCAGTTGGCTAAAAATGAACGTACAGGAAGATAGACGCCACTGTCATTGACAACTGTTGGACAAAGATAAGAATTAGCCAAATTCTAGAGGTCTTGTGACAAAATGCCGGATGCGCCGCTTCACGGATGGTTCCCCGCCATGAAAGCGGGAGGGAAGACCACGAGGGACGGCAAGCGACAAGGGTTCTAAGACATACCACTCATTTTGTATTCGCCATTATCGCGACCTTGACTTCGAATACTTAAGACAGGTTTGGACTTTGAGCCAACAGTGTCGACTTTCTCGAAACCCGGGGCGGTATCAGGGCGTTGATTCTCATCTTGGACAACGACGCTACCGGGACGACGGGTGAAAGGGTTGCGAATAGGCATGATGATAGATAGACAAGAGGTGGACGTTGCTTAGTGGTTATTGTAAGAGAAGATGATATCGTCGAAAAAAAATGGTTTCGGTATGGGAGACAGAGTGAAAGATGCAGAAACTGTATTGCTTGTATTTATCAGGTGGGGATACCTTGAAAGTATTTAAGGAAGGTAAAATCTGAGATCGAAGAAGGGAAGGAAGGAACCAGATTTCGGGGGGCAGGCGCGACGTTTAAGTTAATTGAGTTTTGGAGCCCGGGGAAGGCGGGAATGTTTGGAACCCAAGATGGTATGTCTAGGATTGGGTGAGATTGAGCAAGAGAATTGGGACGTGACTTTTCTGGTGGATCGATGGGGACAGGCACAGGAGAGTGAGAGACTTGGCGATTAACTCAGTATAGTAAGTAATTCGAGTGAGAATTAGTTGCAGAACATGTGCAGTACAGGAGGATGTGATGTGGATAGACAAACCGAATACGTGTGTGCGTGGCACCACCGAGTCGGGTCAAATCCTTTACTGTTGAGATGGTGTGAAACAAGCATTTCGAGTAAAGAAGACCGATATCTTTTTCATATCCCTCACCGTAATTGAGGGTATTTTCACATTGACGAGAAACACTGTAATCATAGGAGACTAAAAAAAAAAACAAGCATCAACAAGTCTCTACACTAACATGGCTAAGCATTGCTTCGTTGTTCGCGTAACAAAAACTATACACAGCCATCTTTTCAAATGCATGTCAGCCGAGCATCGCCAGTTGTAGATCAGCACAACACAGCACAGCACAGCGCTAGAGTCAGGTCCCAAGCCCAAGGTAGGGTTCAGGGACTTGCTTGATTGACACCAGGTCTTGCCAAGGCTAGAAGGGTCAACGCTTACCGTCATCGGTCGAGCAATGGCTTTATTGGCGTCTAACGCACCCACCAACTTCAAAGTCGGCGCATATAACCACTCCTGATGCAACTGTAACTGTCGTGACAACCAAGATCCGGGGAGTGCCTTGCTTCCGCGGCCCTGATCGTCTCCAGTTTCACACGCAGCACTTGGATAGATATGTCGCTTTTCGGTAGACAGTATAGATTGATCGGACGGCACGGCATCTTATCCTAGCCCAGGTATCCTCAACTGATCGACATGTCATCAACCAAGGCAGACTCCTGGAGATGTCCCAGATTTGGGAGATACTAAGTTTGGATCTTGTTCCGTTCTGTTCAAGGGTAGATTTGTACCATAGTGCAACGTCTCTGATCAATCTAACCCTGGTTTTTTTCGTTTGTGGTGGTGAGGTTAAATTCAGCCGATCGCTACACATACAACCGTAGACAAGGTACGTACTTCCTATGACGATTTATTGATCATTCCCTGATTCAGAGCCAACCCAATCCAATCCCCCATCAAGATTTGGTTTCAAGCGTTCATTGATTCCAAGTTGGGGGTCGCTAAGGTTGTGTCTTGATGTCAAGACTCTTTTTTGGCTATTTCTCCAATTGGTTGTCCTATAGAGACAGGGCGGTAAAGAAGAATGGTTCAACCAGAGACATACCACAATCCGGGATATCCGAACAAGGTGGATCGATTCTCAAAAGTCGTCCCAGAAAGGGTCCAACCCGCCGATCCGGTCTTTATCGGGGTCCTGCAAGCAGCCACCGGCCGATTTCTATACACAAGCCCCGGCTTTCCAAAAATGCCGACGCCGATAGATCAGTCCAGCAGAACAGCTAGCATGATTCAGAAAACTGCCATTGGCTGGTTAAGCAAATTTCTATCAAGCTTTTTCTCTTCTATCCGTACTCTGGGACATAGTCATTTAGTAAACATATTTAGTAGAAGAGGGACGTTTTCATGACTCAAGAAAGACATCACAACGGCTCGTCTCGTTACACTAATCTAATTCTCTGTGCACACGCACATCTACCAATTAGGGATATGTCGCTACCCGAAACATGTTTCGACATGTCAAATACTGTGCATTTGAGAATGACAGGGACCACAGCCACCGACAAAGAGTCTGATAGATGTAGTTAAATGCTGTGTGATTTGACATGCCTATGTTTGGTTCAAATCTCTACAGCTCTGTATTTGATTGGCTGGAACCAACACCCTATACAAACGTCAAGTGACAACGCAACTCGGCCAGGACTGTTATATACATTTGTTAATTAACCATCAAACACTTGATAAAGCATGGTGCAGACTCCTGTGTCAACGCCTGAAGTGGCTTATTGCCAAGTGTTGGTGCTACTATCAGATTCAGCCCGCAGAAGACAAACAATACTGACGACTACTGTTCACTTCATTGGATAGGTAGTCTTAATCTTGTGTAATCAACTTGGATCTAATTCAAGTTTCCGATGACTGTTGAAGGAACGCTTCCGCACCTTATGCAGGTTCGCGTCTTGGTCTTGTATCAGTTTACATTTTCCCCTTACAGCCATGTTACTACTAATCTATACCTACTAAGGGATGTAAGTGTGCATATCTCATTTGCAAAATGAATGAATACCTAAGAGCTAAAGAAGGAGCTATCATATCAACCTGTCAATATGATTCCCCAAGTGACACTGCCCATCACCGACAGCGCACTTGCCGACAAACAGGACGCCACAGTGAATTGGAGAAGGAGAAACTCCCAACACATTCACCGTACCTGCGTTTTCAAAACCAGAGAATAATACCACTCAATATGCGGAAGACGTTATAATGTGGCTGTTTGTAGGTCTTGTTTCTGATTTCCCTACGTTTACTCTTGTCTCAACACTCGCTCTTTTTTGGAACCTGGATTGCCATGCTACGATTTTGGTGCCTCAAACATCGAATTCAACCGAATGTTTTTGAAAAGCTAAACTATCGTCTTTCTCTTTTCTTTCTTCCTCTTTAACAAAGAGCCTTACGAGTATCGTCGTTCATTCGTACCATTCAGCCCACGATGGGTACCTTCTTTACAAGCTGGGAGCTTTGGCAAGAGATGACCTTTGTACGTGTGCACTATTGACTCAGTATCTGCATAATAATGTAGATCTACTAGTATATATTGCCTACGCTTTTCACTGACTTCTACACCCAAGGTTCTCGGCTGTTGTATCATTCTTGTCTTTGTCGCTGGACTTATCAAGCTATGGTGGTCCAACCGCGTAATGCGCCGTCACGAAATCATCGACGAGGAGAAGCGGGCAAGACTATCGCTAATGTCATACTGTGGTATCCAAAACATGCGATCCCCCGGTATCCCCTTCGGTATTCGTGCGATCCAGAGTGGCATTGAGGTGGAAGGTATCTGGATCTCACGATCTAAATCGCCCGAGTCCTGCCAAGTCACACCCTCAGCTACATTAGTCGGGCGCTGTATCAGACTATCAAAAGGAAAAGGAAAGATGATTGACCTTGTGTCATCAGAATATCTACCGTCGACACTCAACTTGGAGACCACGCCTCATCGCCAAGCAGCCTTGGACGTTTTACAACAAGATGACATCACTCCAATAAACGGATATGCCAGACCAGAACCGCCCACCAAGCCAAGACGTCTAAATGCCAACAAAGATCAGAACCTCGACTCGAATTAACACAACACGGTCACATACAGCTGTCGGGTTTCCGTCGTAAATCCGTCGGATTGTTCCCGATTTGGAGTATTTCCCCAAGTCGGTAGCCAGATCTAAGCGCCATTCGTTGATACAAACATTGGAGAAGCAACACCACAAACGGGTCTCCCGCGGGAAGGCAAATGGCTGTTCATGTATAAAAGCATAGATGTCTCTTTTAACATAGTCTTTTTTTCGTTTCTATTTCCTGCGCGCGTTTGGTTGTCAGCCAGTTCAAACACATTAGGAAATTTGACCAATACCAGCTGGAACTCCACAGTTACCTTGTAGGATCGCTGCTGCTGCAATGGCTTCTTCCCACGTTATAAATGACATCGCAACCAGAGGGTTCGATGATGCGAAGTCTTATGACACGCATCGACCCTCTTACCCTCCTACCGCTGTCACCAATATTCTTGGACGTCTTGGTCTCGAGGGCCAATCAGGCGCCAAGATCATAGACCTCGCAGCTGGCACCGGCAAGTTTACCGAACTTCTGGCTGCTAGGCCAGAGGGATACGAGATCGTTGCTGTAGAGCCATTAGATTCGATGAGGAACAATCTCGCAGAAAAGAAGCTCCACAAAGTGAACGTTCGACCTGGCACGGCAACTGATATGAAGCATGTGAGCGATGGGTGGGCAGACGGTTGTATTATAGCACAGGTAAGATATTCGCATGCCCCTTGATTGAAGCGGTTAGCAGGGACTAAAACTGACTTCGACAAGGCATTTCACTGGTAAGTCACCCGCTCTGGAAAGTAAGAGCATGCCCTAACGAATCTCAAGGTTTGCCAAAGAAGAATCTCTCCAGGAAATCCATAGAGTTCTGAAGCCTGGTACCAAACTTGGACTGATCTGGAACGTTGACTCGTGTAAGTGCTTTCTAGATAAGGCCTCCTCCCAGTTGACGTTCTTCAAGACTAACCATAATTTTAGACAACCAACCCGAGAGTTGGCCTTCGCCTACAGGCTGGGAAAAAGAGTTACTGGACCTCAACTTTAACGAAAAGGCGGATAGTGAGCCTCGTTTCCGGCACCAGGTCTGGAAGCAGGTCTTTGAACGCCAGGCCAAGGCTGACAAGCCATTCTTCTCCACGCCCATAGAGACTGACAAGGTTCCATGGTCGGTTTGGTTGACACCCGAGGCCTTGTGGGACAGATTCAACACCCTCAGCTGGAACGCGCTCCGAGAAGGCGAGGAGCGCCGGGTCTTTAGAGAGAAGTACGACAAGATTATGAAAGAGGGTGGCGGTGAGTTTAACGACAAGGACGAGATTGAGCTTCATGGATGCACCTTTATTGTCTGGATATCACGATTGGATGGTCCTTAGATGAGATAGCTTGAAATAGTGAATTTTGACATGAGTTTAGTCGTGAAGTGTGCTAGGTTTTCATTATGCACCAAGCTCTCATGGGTCTGCTGAAATGTACATGACTGTGTTATTCGTTAGTATAGATATCGAATGAGGGAAATGTGTCGCTTTGTTACTTACCGTTGTTTCCTCTCACAAAGGCGTCACCGTATTCCCTGCGCTTCTGACCGTTGACATACTCTGCTGTCTTTTCCAACGCAATGTTCATGTAGCCGTCCACCGACTGAAGCTCGCCTGAGTATACCAGTTAGTTTATTTCCAAGTAGGCGTGTCATAATGCCCATCATATGCCAGGTCGTGGTTATGGCATCGATGGGTAAAGGGCACCATAAACTCACCCTTGTAGACGACACCAGAGTTGAGTTTGACAGTGACAGGGTTGCCGATGATGTTGCCGAGGAAGCTTGAAGGGTCCTTGCCCTCTCCTTGAGAAATAGCGCCGTTCTCCATTGTGGCAGCGGTCGGGTTGATTCCGTGAGGTTGGGGTGGTGGGAGAGGTTGATGATATCGAGCCTTGGTGGGGGGACTGTTTGGTCAAAGAAAGATTGATGCCTCGTTGTGCTGTTAAGGTTGGTCCGCAACGCGCCGGCTCGCACTGTGACTGGCCCGAACGCTGTGAGCGCTCCTAACATCTCGTTACAGCGGTACGTGGTGGGGGTATTTTAGGCTGCTCAGGTCCCTATTTCCTCCACATAAATCTTCCCACCTGCATAAAGTGGGCGCGTTAAGTGCTGCCATCGCATTGTGCCTGCGACCTCGATCCTTTGTTCTACATATTCTTACAGTTAATCACAAACACAACTACATACATACCTTGTGGCGCGCTTTATAAAACATAAAGCACAAGCTCCAAACTTGCTACCATTCTTATTCAGTGCAGGCTAACAAGCAACTCTGCGTCAACATGAAGAAACTGCCTTTCAAGCCCACTGCGATGCGCAAGGCTGCTCCCAAGCCAACTCAGCCAGAAGAAGCAAACGATAGTGACGATGATGGACTGGCTCTGTTTAGCCGCCGAAAGGAGATGGTGTCTGTCATGCAAGCCGACATCGACCGGCGCTCAAAGAAACGTCGCGCATCTGACTCTGAGGAAGAGCGTCGACAACTCGAGGCTACTGAAGAGAAGCCAGCGCGCGACAAGCCCGAAGATGTTCAGGACTCTGGGGTTTTTAGTCAGTATGATCACAACGATGTCCAGGAAGACCTTCCATCCGTTCAACCAAGCGAAGAGACTCCTGCTGCAGAGGAGGCTTCGGCACAAGACGAAGCTGACGGAGCTAGGTTTGACTTTCCACCCTTCAACTTTGAACTGTCCGTTGACTCTTTTTAGTGAACTTGTCACACCTCCTCCCTCCAAGCGATCAAAACTCGATTCAAATTCAACTCAAAAACCACTACTGAGCATGCAAACTGAGGATGAGGACGAAGATGAAGAACCATTTCCCGATGCATCGCCGACACCACGAGTACGCCCACAACCTGATTCTCCAAGCCCAGTCAGAAGTCGAAAGCCAGAGGTCACGCCACCACAGCCCAAGCAAGCTACGCAGGCCATTAGAATTGATTCGGACTCGGAAGATGAGGTGAGGCCAAGTCGAACGGCGAATCGACGAAGCAGTAGTATTGAGATCAACGACTTCACCTCGACAAAGCCTTCCAAGGAGCCCACACCACCACCGGTAACAACAGCGGAGGACGACGAGTTTGCGGAGTACATTCGCAGGGCTGAGGAGAACCGGGCTCGCCAGCAAGCCCTGCAGCAGTCGGCCAGCACGAACGACTCGCCAAAGAAGGACGTGATCAGTGTTATGATCACGAGCACCATACCTGGTTCTGGCATCTTGGTGGCCAAGTTTCTCTTTGACAAGCAGCTCCGTATTGCACGCGATGCATGGGTGAAGCACCAGCGCAAGAAGGGTCTGGACCTCAACCCTGATGACATCGTTCTCACATGGCGAAGAAGCAAACTATACAACACTTCAACCCTTACCGGCCTAGGTATTCGACCAGCTGCCAACGGAAAGGTAGAAGCTGATGGTCTTGGCTCCGCTGGGTTCAGAGAAAACCGGTCCGTGGTACATATCGAGGCATGGACCCCTGAACTCTTCCAGGAGATGGAGCAGGAGGAGCAGTTGCAACGAAGGCGGGACGCAGGGGAAGTCCCTGACGAGGAGGAACCTCGGCAGGATGAGCGGGAGAGATTCATAATCATGCTCAAGGGTCGCGATATCGAGCCGCTTGAATGCAAGGTCATGCCAGAAACGACTGTTGAAACTCTGATCGCCGTCTTCCGCAAGCAGCGCCAGATCAGTACTGACAGGGAGGTGTCTCTTTGGTGGGACGGTGAGCGTCTTGAAGAGCACGTCGAAATGGAAACGGCCGAGATCGAAGAGCATGATACAATTGAAGTACACGTGCAGTAAGGTAGGCATTTTCGAGCGAAATTTGGGAAGCATTGTGTTTGGCAAATGGACGGACAATGAATGGGTGGCTGGCGCTCTAAGGATATGATACCCAGGAATACAAACTTGAGTTACTTAAATAATTTCAAAGGACAGCCCTGTCACGAAATGGCATGGAAGTTTGGCTCTAAGCGTATCTATTATCGCCTCTCTCTCTATATATATGTGATTGTGACCGACCCCAGCCATCTACCTGGCTATAGGGTCTCTTCCTAAACGCCTGTATCCCGCAGGCCGATCCGGGCACCTTTTGCCTCGGCCTCTTGGTATAACGGAACTTGTACCTAAATGAACAAAAGTAACCCTCCCGATAATATACATCACTGCTGTTCGTGTTGCCGCTTCCTGCAACGACAGCTCGATTCATATAACTTGATATAAACAACCCCATACGCCATGAATGCCAAAAGGAACAGATAATAAGAGATTAGCCATCTGATGTTGTCCTATAATTTATAATTCGTTCCCGGCTAAGCTGTTTTCGATTTCTAATCGATGAGATTCTGCATGCCTGATGGTTTGGACTTTGGTGAGATAGTGTCTGATTTGTTGTTCGTGACTGGAGAAGAAGTATTATCGGCGTTTGAATTGCGTGTGAGGTCTGAAACCGTCGCTTTTCGTTTTGCGGCGACCCTTGGTGCAGGTTTCTTCGCCTTGTCCTGACTCTGACTAGCAATATTTTTGGTTGCCTTGAATCCAATTGATGGTGGGTTGGGTTTGGGTTTAGGTTGAGCAGGCTTTCTGCGTTTGCGTGACTTGGGTGCCGACGTAGCGGCTATTGTTATTGGCTGCTGTCCGCTGAAAGGAAGCGTGCTTTGTTTCTTCCCTGGCTTCTTGGCTGCTGAGATTTTAGGGCTTGCGTTGGGTGTTGGGATTCCTCGGGTCTGCTCGACTTGTTTTGGTTTTGCAGTGGGCTTCTCATCCACCTCTGGGTCGAACGAGGGCGAACTCGCCGGAATGTTGACCTCAAACGTTGTCTTACCCCTAGACAGGCGATCTTCTAGATCCTGTTCTTCTTCTTTGGTAAGCTCGTAACCCTCACCAATGTCGAAATCCCAGTGAGGGAGGTTAGTGAGACGAGCAACGTTGTCGCATTTTGATCGCACCACAATATCCCAACAGTTCTTCAAATCAACACCTTTGGGCTCGTCGTCCAAGTTAATCCAGATGGCAACGCCGTTCTTTCGTCCTCGTGTGACTTGACACATTTCTCTAACAAGTCTGCGGGTTCCGGGAACCTTGAGAGTGGTACCGACGACCACAACGGCGTCAGGACGTGCCTTGAGATCCGCGCTTGAAACATTTCCAATGGCCTCTTCGTCTGGGTTATACTCATTATAAAGCACAAGTCGCGGCCGCAGTCTCCCAATACCGTGGCTCCGTTTTCCTGCATGAGCTGTTCGAACTTCGTCAAGATCTTTGCATGTTGGGCAGAGCGGAGGCTTTGGGCCGGTGAAAATTTCGCCTTTGAACTCTTGGAGGCTGCTGCATTTAGTGCAAACCATTTTTTGGAGGCCACCGTGCAGCTGAATGGTGGTGGGCCATGGACCTTTGGGGTCGAGAGGGACTTGAGTGGCCAGAGGCTCCATTGATGTATCTATGCAATCAATATTTTGCGAGTAGAGGCGTAATAAGCGGCCCTCCTTGGCCAGAGATGCTAGTAGGTGGTGAAACTGTGTAGGTTTGGCACTTTTGGTCTTGGCAGCCATTTCTCTGACCATGGCGTGAAATGATTCGGTGCTTTCGTCGTGTTTATAAACCGAGGCATCGAATAAGTGTTTACCGGAGCCTTTAAGGTTATGTTGGTTTTTCACAGATGCGAATAGGCCAGTGGGTGATCGAAAGTCCGGAATCCCAGCCTCAACAGAAATGCCAGCGCCCGCGATGACAACAATCTTCTTCTTCTTGCGTAGTGTATCGAGAAGCCTGTTAAGTTGGCGAGTATCTTCTTCTGTCTGTTCCTCGTCACCTTTCATAAGATCCAAGTACTCGGTTGTGCGTTCTTTAGGAGGCGTAATTCGACGCTTTTTGGCAGGTGGAGGGCCAGAAGCATCAGGTTTAACGGTAATCTCGTCTTCGGACGGAAGATCGGACATCTTGGCAGGAGAATGGGGGCCAGAGGCGGTCGTCGAAGGCGAGGGATAGCGCTTCGTAGGGTCGAGCTTTGTATGGTCTAGCATAGTGGGCGACGAAGGCGCAGACGGTGTTTTAGAAAGGGTCGAAAGCGGCGAAGAGAGAGTTGAGTTTTCTCCTCCATCAGGGATGCAAGATAAAGGACTCGAAGGAGACATTGTGACCAGGTAGAGTTTGCTCCTCGTCGGAAACGTAGGTAAGAGCGGGAGAACCTAGGAAGAGTCTAAAAAGGAGGGAGGTCGGAAGTGCCTGCTCTAATTGCACATGTTTGCAATCAAAAGAGAAGTTGTAGCCGTAGAATGGTTTGTTTGTAGATGACAATTAGAAAGAGGAAGGAAGGAAGGGGCACTCTAGCTAGCACTGCAGAAAATGCGGATGAACGAGCCGACGGGTATTAGTGGGTTTGAAGTTAATGAAAAGAATTGAGAGTGTTTTCGATCGTAACAAAGAAGTGAACAATGTCGAAGCGAAAGTGCATAGGCTATGAGTTGAAAGAGGCAAAACAAGGCAAGGCGAAGCATGCGAGCGAGGGTCATCCAAAATCAGACCGGGGGTGAGAATGACGAAGAGTTGCAGTCCCAGAAAGCGGGTATCGTTTCGGGGGGGCAGGAGAAGACCTATGTTAGCGTGTAGCAGCGTTTGCAAATGCTCCGTGTCTTGCAGCACAAACTGCCAACGAGCCAGGGCTCAGCTGGGTCTTTTGCTCTTTTCCGAGGCCTAGATTAATAGCGTTTAAGCCACAACCAACGCAGAAAAGAGAGACGCAGATCATATGGTACCAGAAATATTGGTCTCTGTTAGCCTAATGAACTAAATTAGTAGGTCACTTTATGCTATTTAGACCATATTTCTTAGATTATTTATTTTTGTAACCTAAGACTCGATAGACCAACTTTTCTGCTGCTAGAGAAAAAAACGCACTTGCTCGTTGGAACACCGCTTAGTTTGATGATCGCGGCAGAGCGCCCTTGTTAAGGTGGGGATGCTAGTTCAGGGACGTAGGTGGGCCAATCTACCGGGTTCGTGGCTGATGTGTTCAAGGTTGGTTTGTTGATGTTTACAAGCAGGTCTCAAGAACAGTCATAGAAGAGTACAGCAAGTCGGTGACATCAGTTCAAAGGCTGTGAGCCTATACTATGCTTTGCGCAGCCATTTTGCTGTCATGTCATCCAGGCTGACCCTGAAAAGAGACTGGCGTCTAGTGACATTAATAGGCTAGGCTATGCTGCAGGCACAACTTGCATGAGGTCAGTGACAAGGATATATAGCCGACAACATTGAACTTGAGAAGTTTGTGTGATTTAGCTAATGCTAACAACAGTATCCTTAACTCAAAAGATGCGGTGAATTATTCGATATCCATTGCTATACACCGAACTTTTGACTTTTGGGCGCCCGAACCACCCCTTATGTTCTGTTTTACCCTTACCGAGTGGCTGGTATGATTCACTTTAGTCTGCATGCAGTGTGTGGCAGCCCAACTCTGCGACTTGCACCCCAGTTATTGGTCCATCTCTTCACCTCCTTCTTTGCTTTTTCATCTGAAAAGTAGTTTCACGGCAATGACCTAAATATTTATTACGCACTGGTTGGCACTGGGAATCAAATTTGTTAATTGCTTCACTGCTTATCTCTTTCAACCTGCATAAATGTCACAATGCCTATACTTCCTAAAACGGCTACTGCACTTTAACAATATGCAAGCAATTTCCGCCACATGCTGCCACTTCACAGTCATTAAACAGGTGACTAAATGTCCAAATATGAGCTCGCTGACTGTGGAGTGATTTCATTAAGTTTATAGAATGCTTTATCAAGCCACGCACAGATGCACAAGCATGCACAACTGACCGACTGATCAACCCATGTGAACGTAGTATGCATCTAGCTCTGCCAGGTGTACCATACACCCCGGTAAAAGAACAACAGCACAAACCACACCTACTAAGCCATTCAAGGCTATCGATGAGTAAAAGCAAACGCTTTCAACTGAAACGGAAGAGACGGAAAGAGATTCAATTCACGTCGTGACATCACAAGCGATATTCCTCAATCCATCGGTTGCCTGAGAGACGCTACACTCTACTGTTGGGCCCTGAACTCCACCCACCTCCACAAGGATGCTGTCATCCATGCTTTCGTGCAGATGCCTTGACGCGATTAGCGCGTAACCCCATATTTCAATTTACCGCACCTAAGTCTTAGGGTACAAAAATAAACAGCCTAAGACGTCTGGTCTAAGTATCATAAACTGACCTGCTAATTTCGTCTCTTATGCTTCCAGAGTTAATTTTTGAGATGTCTTGAGGTTAAGGTATATAATAAGCAGCCGCGGCTCTTCAAAAGTAGTAGATTGGTTTAATAGTACATATAAATCTAGGCTAGGTCAAACATTTGTATCATATAGTAGTACATTTATCAGTATATAACTTTAGCCCCTCAGTTAGGTCGCGGAGTTGAATGTCTAGGTTGAACCACTGGACGTCCGATAGGGATTATCTTCCTAGACCGGTCCCCCCGCTTACGGTTGATGAGTTCCATCCCCAGAACTCCTGTCGCGATACCAAACAAGTGCGACGCAATATCGATCTGCAATTTGACCGTCTTGCCAAAGGCGGCAAGCTGCGGCACGCACACAAGCGCTAGGAAGATAATACCTGGCACACCATCCTGGGGCAGACCAAAGAACTTGAATCCATCAAGACGGTGATCCCAGAAGAACGCGGCGCAGACACCGAGCGTTGCTGCAGAGGCGCCCAGAGTAGTAACTCCCAGCATGCCTCGCATAGCATAGGTAGCAACACTGCCTACGAAACCAACCGCACCACAGGCCGTGAAGAGAGTAAGGAAGTTGGCACGTCCAATGTCCTCGTGCAGAGCAGAACCAACAACGAAGCAAGGGATCATGTTGAGTGCCAAGTGACGCATGCCCTGATGAGAGTAAGGCGCAGTGAACATGGTAACAGGCTTCACAGCACCAATGGCTATGATCATGTAGCGGTTCAATAGCTTCCACAGAGGAGGAGCCCTCCATGCCGCCCAGACAAGCACATTGACTCCGACAATAGCTCCAAGCGTTGCATGCGCAGTTGAGATATCAGGGAAAACACGGTACCGAGGGGCAGGTTCTTCATAGACGGTAGTAACAGCAGCAAGGAATCCAACAACAAGAGCTACAAGAGTGGCAGAGGGAAGAATACGCTCCCAACTCCTGACTTCAACAGGAGCTTCCAGGTCAGACTGGGCGTTCTTGTAGTACTCGGCGATCTTGGGGTTGGCAATCTGACGCTCTGCCTTGTGGTCAAGGTTGGCCAGAGTGCCAGAGCTCACTTCTCCTTTTGCCTCAGCTGCCTTGCGCGCCTCTTCCTCAAGAGCTTCCTGGGCCTTGCGCTTAGCCACGTTCCGTGCTCGGATTTCGTCGAGCTTGCTGTGGCCGTATACAGGATCTGGCTTATAAACTGGGGCAACTGGCTCTTCGACTCCTTTGTCGCCCTTGTTCTTCTTAGAAGCTGGCTTTGCCTTCTTCTTTTCCGCTGCCTCTTTTTCCGCCTCAAGTTGTGCTAGCTCATCCTCAGCCCGGAGTCCTGCGTTCATGACTTCGTCAACGGACACTGTCTTTCGTAGGTATTCGAGTCCCTTTGCGATTTGACCTTTGGTGAAAGATGCTGTATGAACGGCAAACGCTGGATCGTCGAGAGTACCGGCAACTCGACGACCATGGAGAATACGTAGCAATTGGTTCGCCCTCTTTGCGTTGATACCCTTTCCAAAAACTTTCACTACCTCGGCTTCCGTCAAATCTTTGCTTCTGAATTGAAGACCGGCTTGGTCCCTGTAATCCTTCGGCAGTTCCTCATAATTTCGAATCGTCTTGTCGAAGAATATCGTTCGTCGGGTCTCGTACGATGTGTGGTTGTTGCCGAAAGGGCTGCTTCGGCAATTGATAGTCGATAAGAGACCGTTTCGGTTATTAGACGAACGTCCAGAGATCCATCGAGCTGGTGTAAACGGTTGTTGGGTCGCAGACGATGACGATGCCCTCGAGACTGCTCTTTGAAGAGCAGACCTCAGCAGCACCCGCGATGAATTGGGGCACGCGAATAGACTCATTGTGGGCGGATGAATGCGCAGAATGCGCTCTAGAGAGCCACTGGCTCGATAATAAGTAAAAAAACCAAAGTGAGGGGAACAATGGTGGTGTGATGGGGAGTTCTCAGTGCATGAATTAATTTTGGACGCATGAGGTCAACAATTTTGGTTGCAACAGTTTGAGATCGACGGACTCAAAAAGTACGTACCGCACGCATTACGCAGGAAGAAGCCTACACCCCCACCATTACTGCCCCGCGGTCTTCGTTGGAGCTACCTACTTCGAACATCTATCCTGCTTCAACCCATATCTTCTTTTACGTTGGATCACAATTTGTGAACACTTCTAAAGAATATCCCGATACTTACACCACTACAAACATGTCGTCTACGACTACATCCGCCGACACACGGCCCATCGCCCCCGCGCGCTTCGCCGCCGCTCTCAAAGACCTATCCATCGGAATGCTACATCTCAAAGTCCTCGAGATCCGTAACTCAATCGCCCACCTCCAATACTCCAACGACCAGCTTAAGCCCTTCGCAGAGGGTACAGAAACCACCCCCTCCGGCGAAGCTTCAGCGCCTGACCAAGACTGCATCGACGCCATCCGCGAGAACGAAGGTGTCATTGACCGTATGGCCGAACGAATCGCTCTTATCCGCGTAGAGGTGGAGGAGCGTGGTCTTAACTGGACAGAGTTTCAGCACCGCGATGAGTCTGAGAGCAAGAACGACGAAGATGCTGCTGCTGCTGCTGTTGTAAACGGAAACGCACAGACGGACGCCGCAGCCTCAAACACAGAGAGTCGACACGATGCGTGGAGCGACGGCACATTTCAGACGGGGACAATTCGAAACGGCGAGGTTCACCTAGATCGTGAGGCCGGAAGACCAGAAGGTGGAGGCTTGAATGATGAGCAGCTTCGAAGAGCGCTAGAGGAACGAATGCGAGATTTGGGTACAGATGATGACGAAGGGGGCATGCATCTCTAGGCACATTAAAAGGGACGTGCAACACTCGAAACATAATGCATGATTGGCGTTTGGTAAATGGACAGACATCATGGTGGGATACCCAAAAGTAGGCCGTTTTGTCCAGACGCTTGGGGCAGGCCACGGTTATCTAGTCACAGAGGCTACAAGCGATGAGATTTCAAATCCAGTTTTGCTATTTTTTATATTTCTCAGCTTTTGATCAGCTGAGAATGCATGTTCTGGTTGCTACCACAAGTAGCGAAAGCGTTGACTTGTCGCCTTTTGGCGATTGAAAGGCACGTGTCGCCGCACTTTTAGTGTGGACGAGACAAAAGAAAAGTAAACATATAAACCACCTGCTCCAGCGCCGAAGTGCTATGCGACCCAATGCTAGAACAAAAAAAGACAAGACCAATCCAATCCCGTATAAATGCTTATAGACGAGAAAAAGCCAAACTGAAACATGTACTGAGAAACCCGAAAGGGTGATGTTCAAGGAGACAAACACATGAGAAAATACATGTGAGACGAGGGTTGAGGGAGTAACAAGACTGTTAGCGTGGGATGAGAAACGGTCTTGCATCAAGATAATGCGAGCGTGGGGGCTCATATCTTCAATAATGTGGCTTGAGATTTTGTTTCACCCAGTTTTGAGTTAATCAGTGTCGTCGCCAACAGGGGAGGCGGCGCCTGAAAGCCTCTTTGATCGAGTGGATCTTTGTCGCTTGGATCGCTTCGAGGACATCCTTGTGGCCGACCTCGTGCTCTGGATAGTCTCGAGCTTAGGACGTTGAGCGGCAGAGTGCTTTCGGCGAGGGCTCGAGTGCATGGCGCTTTGTGAGAAAGGAGCGGGCACGTCAGAATCGGAATCATCATCTGAAGAATCGTATCCTGGTGGTGCGGCAACTGGTCGAAGTCTTGACTTTCGCTTCGCAAAGCCACTGTCAAGTGAGTCGTCGGAAGTGTCGAAAGACAGGCTTCGAGTGCGATGGATAGAGAGAGATTGGTTCGTTCGGTTCGAGAAAAGAGATTCGATGAGTTCGGTTTCTGTAGGGTTACCGTACTCCTTTCTCAACTTCTCCATAACAAGCTTCTCGTGAACAAGACGGCTGAGCTGAGTGTCATCTCCAACTAGTGTCCTAGCACTCGACTTGCTTCCCGAACTTGCAGCTCGGCTAACAGGCACCTTGCCTTCCATGACCTTGGCTGACGGCGGGGGTTGCAGCATCCATTGGTGGGCGTTTCGTGAAGGGGCCTTGCTACTGACGACAGGAGGGTGGTATTCGTTGACTGGCGGGTTCTTGGGGAAGTAGAAGTCGTGTCGTTGTTGTTCGGTTACCTCCTTCTCAAGACCGAGAGTAGACTCGATTAATCGTCCAGCCGAATCTCGTGCTTTCGATATGGCGTCCATGAACTTTTGACCACCCCATTGTCCCCATAGTTCCTCGTCCTCGCGCTGATATCCGTGCCGTTTGTTCCAATCATCCGAGAGGCTATCGTCTTCGGCAATGGCGGAGTTGCTAGCGCCAAAGTTCATGCGGCTTCCACCGTTCGTCTGTTCAGATACACTGAACGCACTGCTCCCGGCGCCCTGGCTGGCAAAACCACGCTGGCTGGAATTTTTGCTTGCTGATTTCTTCGGTAATGTTGGTCCCATGCTAATCTCTTCTTGCCAATAAGGGTTTGTGTTGAAAGGTGATGGATGTTGGTAAGCGGTTGTTGGCTGCTCGCCCGTTATTTTCGCCTTCTCCTCACGCTCCCTCTTATGTTGCTCGCGAGCTTTTTGTCGATGTCGGACCTGAGCGCATGGTGTGCAGGCAAGAACGTAAAAGACGACAGACTGAAGTGCGACAGGGAGAGACATGTTGGCGATCGTCGCTTTGTATATAGTATACCTGGCATAAGAGTCGCTTGGCTTGACTGGCTCACAATGGGAATGATACTCGCGAGGAAACAAGGACAATTATCAGGAAAACAGCTGGGGGGGGATAAATAGCAACAGAAGAGGCGTTACACCAAAAGGCACAGTAGCATAGAGTAAGGGAGCAGCTTGAAAGGGGTCCAGCCCAAGAATGAGCAGACTAATAGTCGGCAGATAGTCAAGTCGAGGTATAGTTGAAGGGATAATACGTCGGTAGTCCGAGAATAGAAATGAAACCGGTAAAAAGAAAGAAAGAGAAAAGAAACAAATAAACGAGACGGCAAAGACGAAACGAGGGTTGCGGTGTAATTGAGACGAGTGACGGTTTTTGAGCAAAAGAGGCGTGAGACCTTTACAGATTAGACCAGCGCCAGCAGTGGCCAGAATGGTCCGCAAAGAGGAACAGCGCAGCTCAGCTTAGCACAGAATAGCGTAGGAGGCGACGGTCGCAGCAGTAGCGTACAGTAGGTAGGTGGTAAAGTAGGAGTTAGAGCGACGCAATGGTAAAAATAAATAAAAATAAAAAAGTGCTGTAGAGCTGAAACCGAAGGGGCCGGTCGTTGGAAGTTAATATTGGAAGGAAGAGTTGTCGTCGTTCCTGAACAGCCAACGTCTCAGCCGTTTGGGGCTTATAATAGTAGTGAAGTAGGTTGGTGGTTGCTCGGGGGTTCTGATCTGCGAGAAGTCGAGGTATTCAATTCCTTCTTAGCCGTTTACACCTTGGCAAGTCGTCTAGGGCCCTTTTGGCCCAAAGATTGACGCTTGACAGGAATGTGAAGTGGTGAAAGAAAGAGATTGTCCAAGACAATTCTTCCACTGTATCCGGTCCTTCCAGTAGTAATCTCAATTCTTGGCTCGCTTGTTTCCTTTGTTGAGCAGTGATCAACCAGAGGGGCTGTGTAAAGGTGGTAAAGGGGGCGCGAGCGAGACGTTTCACAGAGAGGTGCGGCGTGATAGTTAAAACGGGGACAACGAGCAGTCTCTCTGTCTCCCAGAAAGAGTTAAGGGTCGCACAGGGCACTTGATGAGCAGAGCAAACAAGAAATTGAGAGGGAAAACGGAATGGTCAAATCGTATAATAAGATATGAGCAGAGAGTAAGATACGGTGCAGCAAGGAAGGAAGATTCCCAATCTCATGTAAATGTGGGTAACGCAGGGTTTATGACGACTGCTGCTTTCGCGTCTTTCTCTCTCTAACTCTCTTCGCTCGCCCGCCCGCTCGCTCGGATGGGTTTTAGAAAGGTAATAAGTACTTAGTAAAAAAAGGTTGCCGAGAGAACAAGGATGCCCCTCAATTTCTCAATCTGGGTGGCGGTGATGAGGATGAATGAGAAAGCACCATCGGCATCTAAAAATGAAATGGCGCAGGTTTTGGCGTATGCGGATGAATCAATAAGGTAAAGTAGGCAGCCAACATAATTATTAGCTTTGGGGGAATGGACACTTTGCTGCAGGCAGTAGAACCACCTGCGGGACAGCCAAGGGTTCCTGTCGGTGATGAGCCCAGACGGGGGAGGTTGGCTAGCGATTGGAGTAATTAAATATACAGGGGAATCTCAACAGAGTCGTAACGGATCATCGTGTAACTAACCCATCTACGTAGCATTACTATGCAACTCATCTTATTATTATGTGTATTGACAAGGAAACAATGTCGTACAGATGAATATCAATCAATGCATTGATTGATTGAGACTTGACGAAACAAACAATCCCACTGCAACAGTAGTTTACGTAGAACAGCTATTCTTCAGATACCACATGGATCAATGCACTACGCTCCTCTCTGACAAGAATCACCGAGACATCACAGGGGGGGCTGGACACCAGGGGACTTCCAACCATTCCACTATTCCACCAATAGTCCAGGTACCAAGCTGGTCCCAGTCCAAGTCCTGTCGTGCGTCCTGATCACCCACCCCCCGCTTGGTCGGAGCTGGGTGGGTGTGGAGAGTGTGAGCGGGTGCAGCGGCCCAGACCTTCTGAGACTTCTTCAGGGCAGGGATGTAACCATTTGATCTGAATTGAGAGAGTAGGAAAAGAGTGAGAGTTGTTATAGCTTGGTCTCGGACAAGACCTATTTGTCTTCAGGACCGAATACTACTAAAGGTCGATAGCACCATATCACCTTGGCTACCGTCATCTTCCATCATTTATAGTAGCAAACATCTACCGTTAAAACAAACAGAGGCTCGTAACATTTGTTTTAGCCAACGCTTCTTACTGCATTAGCCAAAGTCTTAGGTACGAAAACTCTCAACCGCCAAGTCGCCGTACATACGCAGCAAGACAAACCATATCAAAGTAAGCTCTGATCTAGCAGTAGTCCCACGTAACGTAGCAAGTAAGGCGATTCAACCAGAGATGATGCTATTGGTGACGTCCTTTGCCCTTCACCGCGCATTCGCATCATGCCAGATATCAGTGTTGATCGGAATTCTATAGCCGGTTCATGCGATGTCGTTACTGTTTATAACCCCAGGCTTGTTCACCTTTAACTTGATAAGACCGAATTGATATACAGCCAGCTATCAGTAATCCTCTCGCTTGTTTGCTCACCGCAGAAATCACCTACTGCATGCAGCATCATCAACCTCCACTCACCAAAATCACTCAAAGCTTCTCAAATGTGCCGGTTTATTCCAATGATTTCTCTTGTCTTTCGTCATGGATTCATCCGTTGATTGGGTCTCTCCGTGTCCCCCGCATCCGCCTCCCCGATGTGTTGCGCCGGGCCCCCTCTTTCTTCGGTCCAACTCAATGCGTTTTTTCCCTTTCCACCCGGCTTGGCATCTCCGAACACGAATGAGACATGTTCATCACACGCTGTGTCTCTCACCACTGAACCACACAAAGCATAAACCACAAACATGCTCGCTTAGTAGCTTTCTACTATCGACACAAGATGCAATGGCCCGGTTTCCAACGCAGATACGCAACTTAGTAGTCCTCGTGCACATCTACCTTGGCAGGTAATCAAGTAGTCGTGAGTCTATCGAAATCCATGTCTGGTGAGGTCCAACTGCAGACTGCATCATGGTTATGGAACATGGGCATCATGCACACATTCTCTCGCATATAGCCATAAAGCGGTGAATACATCAGCATCATGATAGCTTAGAACCAAAACTGTACTCAACAGAAGAGGCTACCATCCCCAATATGCTGCCGAAGCTGTTGCTATATCCAATAACTAGACTAACTGCATGCACTCATCCCTCTTCTCTTCCCCTACTTTGATCCCTTCTTTGGTTCAAGTGCCTTGCATTCTGCATTCCTCACGCCATAAACACATCTTGAACCCCTTCATTCAATATGTGCTCTTTCTGCGTTCCCTTATGAACTCCTTAACCCTGCTTCCACTTCAACTTCCACTCACTCCCTTGCCCCAGCGTCTGGCCTTTGGAAGGACACATCACTACACGACGATAGACACGCAGCATCACCCGTTTCCAATCACATCCAAAGTTCAGTCGTAACAAATTATTCGTCATTTGGCTTCTCATTTTGGGGGGATCGACTGTTGCAAACAAAACAGCTATCAATACACAGCCCAGCTTTCTCCCAAAAACATTGACTGTCGATCAATGATCTAGGCGTTAAATCGAAGGCCCTTCTCCTTAATTCCACGGCTAGCATACATCTCTTGCTTTTCGTCCATAATGTGAATATCCCGTCATGTTTTTTTCTGCCGATAGCTACCGTTCGATTGAAGTGCCTCGCTTGGTCTGAAAACTGACCACAAAACCTGAACTCCCAACCACGAACGCTTGTGCTGTCGCACAACACTGCCAATGCCCTGTCAAATATTGGGATAGCAAACAGCGTGTTCGAATCCAAATCGTTGCGATTAAATCCGTTATGAAAAAGAAATGTCAAGTTACAAACAGGTTAAAGGGAAATATGTGGTTGTGTGCCTTTTAGACACACTATGCATCAATCTTGAGGTTAATGTTGCTTAAACATCCCACTCTTCCTCTTCCTCCTCCTCATCAGCACCATCATCCTTAGTGGTCAGTGCTGTGAAAGAACCAAAGGACTGAGAAGGCTGGGCGACCTTGTTAGGGCCGGTAGGCTGCTTGGGTTGGGCAGCGGGGCGGGCCGCAGCCTCGTCGCCAGAGCCAGCTGAAGGGGCGCTCTTAGCAGCCTTCTTAGACTTGGTCTTAACAGTGCTCCATTCGTCATCATTCTGGAGCTGCTGAAGCTGCTCCTCTTCAGAAGGAAGAGACTCAATCCATTTGTTGTCGGCCTTGGGGGCAGCAGCGGAGGTGGAGGGAGCCTTCTCGAAAGTATCGAGAGGCTGGTGAAAGCCATTGGTCTGGGCGGCGGGGGCATCGTTGGCAGCCTTGGGAGCTCCCTCCTTCCAGGCAGACGACTTGGCCTGGGCAGCAGTGAACTGCGAACCATCCTTGGCAGCACGTCCCTCAGCAATACGAGCGGCACGGCGTTGCTGCTCCTCGAGAGCCTTGCGTTCCTTCTCGTTCTCTTCACGGGCAGCCTTGGCAGCCTCAGCCTTCTTGCGGTTCTGGCGCTGCTTCTTGGTCTCAACAGGAGCCTCGGCCTTGGGTGCCTTCTTGTTCTGCTTCTTGGGTTCGGTATCGGTCACACGAAGGACGGTTTGGCGAGCGGGGGCGGCCTCGAGCATATCGGAGACATCGCCAGCGACAGCGACAGCGGGTGTTACATCAGGGGTGGTGGCAGGAGACTGGTCATCGTCGGCGTCGGCACCAGTGGTAGATGACTGGGCTGACTCCTTCTCTTCGGTAGCACTGGCAACCTTGTTGGCGCGAGATTGCTTCACAGACTTTTCTCGCTGTTTGCCAGCATCAGACTTGGTAGCGAACTTGGTTCCCTCCTTGGCCTTTGCGAGCTGCCTGGCGAACTCGCGGTTGTCGATGTTTTCATCTTTCTCCTTGACACTACTCGACCAAGCACTAGTGTCTGGCTCAGCCTTGGGCTTCTTAGAGGATCCTTGGGCCTCTGTTGCGAAGGCCTCCTGGCGCTGCTTCTTCTTTCGATCTTCTTTACGTGTCTCTGGCTGTACGGTCTTGGCAGGTTTGATTTGACCTTTGGCCTGAGCCCGAGCCTTTTGGGTGGACACATGATAAATGACATAGCCGACGCCAATCAGGGTGGCATAGGCCGTAAAGGTATAGAAAATGCTGTCCGGCATGATGTAGGAAGAACGTGGACGGGCTCTGCAATAATGATTGTAGATTTGCTTCAAGCTTCGTACGAGCTTCAAGGCGCAGCTCGGGGTTCGGGATTTAGTAGAATACGCGTGCGATGTTGAGCACAGCGGCTGGTCGGTGGAACGGTTACTCTTCGTCTTCCTCAATCAACCAAGCAAATCGAGGCAATTGCTATGTGTATTTGGGAGAAGGTGGACTGAGAGTGGGTGGGAGATCAAGCCAAGTAGGGGTTGTCGCAATTATAAGGCCAGATTGTCCTAAGCGAGCAATCAACCAATCGCCGCACGAGGGGAATGCCAGCAGTAAAGGATCAGGTTGGGATGAATGAAGAGTATCAGAAGAAAAACTGACGATGGGAAAAGAAAATTGAAGGATAGGGGTAGATGAAGGAAGTCAGTTGGAAAGAATTGATGAGTTTGGCGCAAATCAAACAGAGAAAACACCAGGTGGCTTGAAGTCAGTCAGCCAGTCGTTTTTGAGCTACCTGAGGCGAGGAAGGGTCGCGGGATAGACGAATTGGTTCCGACTGCAGGGGAGGTGATGGGAATCCGCTGAGCACCCGACGCCAAGGTAGTGGACAGTGTGCAAATAGCTAAGCCGGGGGAGCTCGAAGTTTCAAGTGGGGGAGATGAAGTAGCTCTAGGGCTATGGATTTGAGGTGAGGTACTTCAGGGTGAGGACTTATTTATTGATGGGCTTTTTAGAGAAGACATCAATTTCCCATAATGTTTTGAAAAGGAGAAAAGTTGTGCGTTATGGGAAAGAGATGAAGGAAGAGACTCTGGTAGAAGGTGAAAACAATAAGTTCATATTACCTAAGTACAGTATCCAATTGACGGGTGGTTGAGTTGAGCTTTCAGTATCATGACAAGCTCCTTCCACTGCAAGGTACACCACCTAAATTGGGTTGGGGACGACAGAGGTTGAGGCGAAGAAGCCAGAAATCAAATGGCAATGAGTGGGGTGAATTTGGCTTTCAATTGGAAGGCAATTGGAAGTGTATGTAGGGACACGACAGCACTCCTGCCTATTAAATTGTCTGGAATTCCAGCAATCAATACAATGTTCAAAGAGAAGCAATATCTAGAGAGCGGGAGTGGGGCAAATATCTGGTAGTTCCTGCCGTAGACAGCAATCAAATTTGGTGAAGCCACGGAGCGGAGGCTTACTATAAGCCGAGTACGTTGTATTCCGAGGGATGTCTTCTTTCATGGATCATGGAATTTGAGTGCATTAATAGCCACGGATTATCAATTGGTACACCTCTTGTCTCCTTGTAAAGTGCATCAGAGAACGTAATTAAAGGTTCGACCTCGAATATGTACACAATTCCAAAACGTGCCCAAGTATCATTAGAAATCTAACAACAGAGACGGGAACAAGACGATGGTAATCAGTAGTCATACAAAAGGGTTCACGGATACTATGAATGAGACAGAGATCTACTACAATAACTGCCTCTTATCTGATACTGTATCGGCCAAGGCTGATGAGTTTGCCCAATATCTCATACCCTGAGAAGTGAGGACTGCCAAGTAGAAATAACACAATACCAAGTATTCTCTATGTAACAGTTGGTCTCAGGCGCAATGCCAATTTTTACCCAACAAGATCGCAATGGAAACTCACCAGGTTCGATCGAATAATACATAAGCTGCGCTTACGTCCTTGTATAACCAACCCCCACAACAACTTTGAATGTTTACCGGAGTTTTTTGATTGGATACCAGAGCTGGTTCAAGGTTGCACAATACCTCATGACAGCTGCATGGAACCTAACCTGGAGCTTAAAAACACGCAAACTCAGCATTCTTGTGTTGCTACTCTATTCTGAGTGTCGTACAGCAAATGGTAGCCAAACTAATGAAAGCTGATAACCATTCATGTCTCTATTAGCTGAACACCAACCAACCTTCCTGAGATAGGCAGCTCAGGTTCAACCTCAAGCTTATCTCAGCAGACTAACACCCCACCTGCCCAAAACTGAAGAGGGGAAATGCGTTGGAGCGTGTGTGAACAAGAACTTTGGTTCTGTTTCTCCATCTTGACTCATAATTTTGAGCTCATATATAGAGTTTGATTCTCGATCTGATTCTCCTATCAGCTCAAGAAAAGGGTTCTTTAAAAACTCATACTTACTCCATATCGTTTACCGGTATGATTACCATTGTCTACCTGGGTCGCTACTGAAGTTAACATTTCCGTTCCAAGTTTGAAGATGGCCCCAAAACAGAAGATTATTATCGATACCGATCCTGGTATGTCCTCATCGAAGCATCAACTCTGGTATTATAAACTAATGTTTGCAAGGTGTCGATGATATCCTAGCTTTGCTTCTCGCTCTCAGTGCCAAGCCCGAGGAGCTCGAGGTTCTTCTGGTATCTGTCACATACGGAAACGTTCCTCTGCAGAGGTGAGCATACACATACTTATGCTATTATACCGTTGCTAACAACTTGGCCAGCTGCCTTCGTAACGTGGTATCTGCCTTTCACGTAATTGAGAAGGAGCTCGAATGGAGGAAGTCTACAGGCAAGCCTGAAGGCTTTGGTGCCATGAAGGCAAACAAGCCCATCGTGGCTGTTGGCCCTGAGCATCCTCTCTGCGACGAGGAGTTGATGGCCGACTACTTCCGTAAGTTTTCACGCTTCCTTGGGCTTCTTTCTCACAAACTGATGCGGTAAATCCATAGATGGAATTGATGGCTTGCATAACGTTCATGAGGCTCATCCAGATTTGTCTCCAGCCGATACCTGGAAAGGCGTATTCGGTGATGGTGCCGCGGGGGGTGAACACTCCTCTCTCTTTACACCTTCCAAGGCTCCATCTCACCAGGAGATTCTTCGAATTCTAAAGGAGAACCCCGCCGATACTGTTTCCATCCTGGCAGTCGGCCCTCTCACAAATGTTGCCCTGGCAGCTGCAGAAGACCCCGAGACTTTCCTCCGTGTGAAGGAACTCGTCGTCATGGGCGGAGCTGTCAATGTGGAGGGCAACTGCACTCCTGTTGCAGAGTTCAACTGCTACGCCGATGCTGTGGCCGCTGCGCGAGTCTATGCACTGACTTCTTTGAAGCCAAGCTCCACGATGCCTATTATTCCCAAGGAGCTCTCAACACTAAAGGCATACCCCGAGAAACTTTCCCGCCAACTTAAGCTCACCCTTTGCCCTCTCGATATCACAACGCCCCACCTGATTGGCAAGAATTACTTCAAGGAAAACATTCAGGCTCACGTTGAGGCTGGCAGCCCTCTTGCCAGGTGGGTATCACACTTTGTCACAGGCTCGTTCAAGAAGATCGAGGAGATGGAGGGAGATGAAAACGAGCCCGGCCTGTCTCTTCACGATCCTATAACGGTCTGGTATATGTTGACTCGAGATGATCTCAAGTGGAAGACTCCTGAGAAACTCGAGGATATCCGTGTAGAGACGAGTGGTCAATGGACACACGGAATGCACGTAACTGATCGTAGGTTCAGGAAGAAGCCCGCCGAGGCTGCGGTTGCTCTCTCGGCTAACCCCAGTGAGGACCCTCAAATCCTGACTCTGGATGAGGTGCCTGGCGATGACCACGCCTGGTTGAGTGTGCTCAAGGGCAACCGCCTTAACCGGCTTATTGACTCTCCTGGTCACGATATCTTCAAGGAAGTGCTCATGCAGCGAATCTTCGGATAGAATCCGAGAATCTCGACCTTATGTCAGTTCAACTACTCAAATAAATTCATTGTACCCGAAAAAAGCCTCTGCCGTGGTGAATGAAGGCCAAGATAAATTGTCTAAAACTCCCTGTACTCAAACGCCTTGTGACCCCATCAGTGCCACGGGACAGGAGACTCCCAGTTCTCCAGCCGTGGATGCTGTACCCCAAGCAAACAAACATACGTGAAATAGAAAAAGGTTGAGAATGTGTAGCAAAATCTGCTTTCCGCTGTGTCGAATGTAGTCTATACATGTTTTATACCGCCAATCGCTGAACCCTTGACTTCTGTCCAGTTGATGCTATCATCGAGCGCCTCATCTACGAGGCCGATCGAGCATACGTTATCACCGCGCACGAGGTAAAGACCAAGGGGTACTTGAGCTGAGGGCTCGTCGTCGTCGGGGGTTCGGATAATTCGTTCCACGGCGTTGTTCAGAACCTATTCACATGCGGTGAGCTTTTGCTTTCTTGGAGGAGATAAATACAGGGCTCATACCAGGTTGGTTGTTTGGTCACATGCTGCCATTGTGCCGACTAGAATACGAGAGTCGGCTGTGACGATCAAGACCTTCTCTTGGTGGGTGTTAGCAAGCTGATGAGGTCGGTAGAGCTCAAGGAGGGGTGTCTCACTGTTAAGATATCCGCCCAGGGTAGCCATGATGTCTGTCAAGCGTGTTCACGGCACAGCGAAGCGTAGTAGGAAAGGTTTCGAGTATGAAATCGGAAGAGTACGGAACTCTCGAGGGCGCCGTAGGTTATTGTTGGGCTCGTTTAGCGGAAATCGGTTGAAGCTATTATGCTTGTTGCAGGTGCCTGAGTTGGACTTTTTGGAGGAGCTTCTGTATATTGGCGCTAATCCTGATTGGGTTTGCTTGGACGACAGCACACGACAAGCTAGATATTCGTTGGCAGGTATATGGCAATAGAGATAAAAGCAATAACTGGTACGTAAGGTTCTTTGTTGGAGGCAGACTCTTCACGTATTTGTTTTATCCAGTGATTTCGGTATTTACGATTCTAGAAATTCTTACCCGCTGTGTGCCTGTGCTGAATCATTCACGCAAAGGGCAAGATCAAACCTTCAGGGACGCTCCGGAAAACTTAACGCAAAACTACTACTCTCCTATGATTAAATTTCAAGAACGATGTGTTGGGCTGTATCAAGAAGCCAGTGTAGAGTAAACATGCTACAGCAAGTACGCGGATCTTATACTGACCCTGTCTGGCGTCCGCTCAAACTTCATGATATCACGACTCACTATCACAGAAAGTTATATTGCGTGAAAAAGACGAGCAACTGCAAGCACCATATCCAAGCAGCAAACAAGCAAACCATGCGTAGGTGCCTATAACCTGTGTACAGGTAAATGGAACATCCCGCACATTCAACAAACGTACAGCTCCCACGGGCGCAGTATCAATATCACAAGAGTATAGGAACAGAAGCACGGCACAAAACTTTACATTCAGGAATTCTTCGTCACTAACCGTCTTCTTCACTACCCAGGCAAGCCTGAGCAAGCAATGAAAACTTGAGCACATGTAGTTCGCGTCACCTGGAGGCAGTGTAATACCAGGGACACAGTGGGCGAGATCGTGTGCAAGCACAGAGGAAACCGCCCTCTGACCAAAAATAGGAATAATCAATGTTGATGTCCTTAGACATCTTTCAGAGATTAAACTGAAAAGAACAGATACTACACTTGATCTAAGCCAAAAGGCAAAGAGAGCTAAGGAGAAAAGGAAAAGAAAAAAGCGAAGCTTGAGGCGACGCGGGCGGAAATTTATAGAGCTGCCTAAAGGCGGTGAGTGTGAGTGATCGGCAGAATCTCTTTGGCGAAAGCCTCAGGCTCTCAACATTGCTGCAACTTGGGTTGGGGACGAGAAATTAATGAGGTAGGAGCTCTCGGTTATGAGCCTTAGGCGAGAGGAAGGACCAGCCACATTCATGGCAACAAGAAACCGAGAGTGCGTGGATAGAAGAATGCAAGTATTAGACAAGTATGGGGTAGCTTGATGCCAACATAAAAAAACCATTACCACCAACCAAAAGTTCCCGTCTTATTGAGCAAATAATAGTATGGGAAAAAGCTGCGGTCAGTCTTAGGATGTATCGAGTTGAATACCATCATTTAATAATTAAATGTCAGCTAGTTTTGACGAAGTGTGATATTGTGGACAAGCCATTATTCCGTTATGGGAATGCACATGTATCGACCTCCATCGTGTACCAACCAGCAAGAACTCTAAAGGGTTGTTATTTCACGACAACTTCTTAATTACTGGAAGGGAATAAGATGCGCAGGGATATTGAAATTTGCATGAGTAATTCACGGGGTGAACATCAGAGGTAGAGAGGTGCTTAGAGGTATAGTTAAAGACCTGATTTTGCATCGACAGACTTCGAGCTCAGGAATTATTTATTTATTTGTATTTGCGACACCAGATGTCACCTTCTAACAATTTCATCTTGGTAGATTCCTAGGTCATGAGCTAAATCAGAGTACAATGGCTGAGGACATCTACAGCCTGCATCCGAACGCCGTATTTCGGGAGCGCTCTCTCTTATAGCTTGCTCGACCAAAGCCAGCCTTTGCCATACACAAGACACCCACCCCTTTCCCTAGGTGGTCGGGTGCCATGAACCCAAGGAAACCCGTAACGCCTCTTTATCCCGTACTCTACAATAACTGTATGGTAGATATATCATGGCTTAATCTTCGACAAGCTCACCTTCTTCGTCCTCCGAGAGCTTAGCTCGTTTCTCTGCCCTATCACTCTTTGTGTCGCCGTCGTCTGGCTCTCTTCGCTTAAGCGGTGATTTGGATGCGACTTCGTTCTCGTCGAGTTTAGACTGGGATCCCAAATGTCGCCCCTCACTATCCTTGCTGGCACCGTTCACTCTGGAGCTCACTCCAGGACTCCGACTCGCACGTTCGGCTTCCAGTGGGGTACCGGTGGTTGACGATAATGTGTCTGGCTGGCTTAGCAAGGTGTCGCCTCGTCTTCTAGTGTTCTCAAGGTGAAAAGCTGGTGATGGCAGCGACGGATTCTGCTTTCTAAGCGGATTCTCCGTGTAAAACTGTCGCATCACTTCGATAGCCTGAGAACAAAGGACCTCGTCGCCCTTTAAGTGCTTCCACCACGGCTCGCCGCCAATGTCGTCGATTTGTTGATTTGTGTGGACGCTTGCGAAGAAGATGGCACTGATGGCAACATCCCGGGCTTCTATCAGCAGAGGGATAGACGTGAGGCAGGCGTCGTTACAGAAAGCCCAAGCGGCTTGTCGCAAGTGCTTGTTGTGCACTATATCCAGCTTTCCGAGTAGCTCAAACAAATGGCGATAGGGGTTGTCGACCATCAGGTCGAATGTGAGTTGCTCAAGCATGACCTCTTCGTATGTAAGGATGCTGTCTCGCCATCGCCAGTACTCCTTGCTTTGCTCGTCAATGATAAGTTTGGTATTCTTTTGCGCAACCTTGGCCACCGCTATGATGATGTCTTTTGTCTTGCGGCAGTTCTCCTCCACCTTGTTGGCTAAGAACAGGGCTGTTGCTGCTATGTTCTGAACTACAGTGTTAGTTGCAGTTCGAAAAAACTTTCGGGCTACTCAGTCAAGAGCAGGGCTTTGGAATTGTAGTAACGTAGTCAGGAAAACTCACATAATGATGAATTCCGCCCTTTTCTTGCACCATGTGACAGCGCATGTAGAAGCGATGGAAGAAAGCACCAGCTACCCATAGCGTAATTTGAGGAAGATCCAGCATGACGCCAGCTTGGTATATGAAATTGACACCTTTTGCCCTGCGCATCCGCTCATCGGCCGGTGTGATGCCCTCGACGATACTAGGTGTACTACGCACCTCGTCCGACGTGAAGGCCCATTGATTATAGCCGGTTACTGGTGTTTGTGCGCCGGATCGCGCTGGCGACTGGGGTTGGCGCGCCTGGGGGCGAGGAGGAGATGTTCGTGTAGAATGTTGTGGAGGGGTTGGGACGGCGGGGGGGACAGCATCGCGTCGTCTGGGAGACCTTGATCTTGAATCGCGCTCAGGTCGGTTGCCGGTAGGCATTGCTGGAGGTTGATATCCTTCCCTAGGAGGTCGGTAGCGATCGATGCTCGCCATGGCGGGCGATTCAGGTTGGATTGGCGGTATTAATTGAACAAAAGGGGGAATAGTTCATGGGAGAAATTCGACAGTTGTAGAGAGGTGGTGATGATGATTAATGACCGTTGAGGCGTAAAAGTTGAAAGTGATGCGAAGTCTGAGTTAGAGCCTGGTTAGTTTGAAAGGAACCTGATCTTGAACGGTTTGGCAAGCAGGGGGACATACTAGACAAGGCCTTGGCGTTATCTAATCACTACAGTGGCTAGAGTGGATACATGATCCAGTGAGCGTTTGTGTCACTCTATTCAAGCGGATGAAACAATAGTCTAGTGATCCACTTGGAATGATTGTCTGCTGACGCCAATTTTGAGTACCCAAGTACAATAATAATTCTTGTTGTTTGTTATTAGCACTTTTGGGGGTATCTTGTAGTTGTACTGTAGTCTGTCTAAGCCAGACCTATTATCTAGATTCCCTCGCCATCATTTCGCCCCCAGAGTTTGACTGTGCGATCGTGGCCTCCACTGACAATCCATTTGCCGTCCCTGCTGTAGTCTACACTGGCAACTGGACCTGTGTGGCCACTGAGTGTTTGCACCAGTGTCCAGTCATCGGCTGAGAACACCTTGACGTTTCTGTCAAAGCCACTCGAGATGAAGAACGTGCCAGACTTCTTGGGTAGCTGCGCGCCCTTCTCGTCAACACCGGGCGGAACACCAGTAAGGGGGTCATCAAGACCCTTGTACCATCGCATATCAGAGACGGCGCTGGTGTGCGCACCAACACCACCTGTTCTTTGAACCTTTCGAACATCCCAGCACTTGATCCAACCGTCAGCCGATCCGGATAGCACTCTATGCCCATCGGAGCTCCAGTCTAGCGCATGAATAGGCTTGATGTGTCCGTCGCGGTGTCCGTCCAGAATCATGACTGTGCGCCCAGATCTCAGATCCCAAATTCTGCCAATACTGTCAAGACCTGCGCTGGCGAGTAGGGACCCATCAGTATTGAAACTGACAGCATAGACACCTCTTGAGTGACCTTCTTGGAGGAGAACTTCTGTGGTTGTTTCAACATCCCAGAGGCGCCATGAAGTATCCTCAGATGCAGAGGCTAGATGTCGACCGGAAGGGTGAAACTCGATACGACACACTCGCTGCGAGTGTCCTTCGAGGGTTGCCAAGGGAGTATCTTGGTTCAGAGACCACATGTGGATAGATCCCTCGGCACCGCCTGATGCCAGGTTAACGGAATCGGGCGACACATTATTCTCCTGAAGAGTAGCACCGGGAAACCAAGACAAACCGCTGATCTTGTTGGTATGACCACGGAAGTTCATCTTTTGGTTCAAGCTTGGTATTTCGACCAGCTTGACTTGGCCGCCCCAGTTGCCGACGGCCACCAGCTCACCGTTGGGCGATATACGTGTCATACTGACATGGCGCTCACCAACAGTCTGACTGCCTTGAAGTTCGAATGCTTGTAATCTCTCCTTGACCTGTTTGCGAAACTTGACATGGGTGCGTAATGGAATCGTGGACTCGGCCTTTTGGAATTGTGTCCTCTGCTTCGCTCGTGGTAGAGAGTACTCGGCAATTTTCAATCGCGCTTCTTGAAGTTCAGGGCCGCCTCGTGAGTAGAATTCCTCCTCTTGGTCTTCTTCTTGATCGTCGTCGGCGTCTCCCATATCGATATCGCCATTTTCTATCCCTGTAATCTCGGCCTGGATCGTGAGAAGTTCGCGCAAACGATCTCGTCGGTCGACAAGCGCCTCTCCAAATAGTGTAACAGGCTCGCCCATCTCCCGGAGCTTCGCGCGAACTCGTGTATCATCTGTAGGAACTGCTATTGTTGCCGCCAAGCGTTTGCGATTGAACTGGTTAAGGATCGCGGAAGCCTTCTCGGATGGAACACCAGTTCCTCCCATAGCGATATCATAGTCGTGGTCATCGGGAATATCTTCAAGGGCGATGCCTTGAGGTTCAGCATCCTCGACATACGCCTGCCGCGATGGGTGCATCATCTTGGCTAGCGAGCTTCAAGTTGTTTAGATGATAAACTTGCAATTAGGAGTGCGATGTCTGATTAATGCGGTTGATTTTGTTGTCAGGTCACAGTTGAGAAGTTGGCGATATCAAGGTTTGTCTGTCAAAATGTCGTTGATGATAGGCTACAGCCTTGTCGTTCTGCGCGCGGGCTTGGATTGGTAGACGTGAAATTTCCAGACGCGAGCTGGGAGCTTGCACAAGAGACGGGAGTTTATTTCGCCGATGGCCGACGATAAACTGGGGTTTGAATGGGTACCTGAAGAATCACAAGCTAAAAACTTGACATGACATGACCAACCAATGGCTTACTTCTACATGATCGATCATCGCATGCGCCAGGGCTGCCAGGCTATTGGTGATGTCAGTGGGCTGGAGACTTCATGCCTTGTGACGCTGACACGAGGAACAAAGGTCCCAAATGCACAGGAACATGAGACGTCCAGGAGATTTGCTTGTTGCATTTCTTATTGACACTAACAATAACATGATTCAAGGGAGCAGCAGAAGTCCATGCTCTGCAGCCACAAAATTCAAGAATAAAGGGGCATGGCGAGGCCATGATTAATGCGACAAACTTTGTCTCCCTTGACACCTGAGTCTCAGTCTCTCACGGTCCATAGTATCGGCTTGTGCCTGGGCTTGGGCACTAATTAATCAACGAATGAGTGAAATTCCAGGTTCCAGTAGCCAGGTTTGGTAGGTATTGAGGCAATGATGTGTTGTCCATATTCCCCTGGCTGGCTTATTATGATGACTTGTAATAGTCTCAGGGGCTATTTTTACGTACAATATCGATACTTTAGTGGTTGTCTGTATCACCCGCTTACTAGGGGCCCCCGAGCCTTTAATTCCTCCCCGCGTTCCAAGTGGACGCTCGGGCAATCAGCAGGGGTATGAATAGACGAAGAGGAAAAAGTCGATTGATTTACGGCCCAGCCGAGCGCCCGGCGCACAGGACCAGGCCACCTCTAATACGGGCTGCATTACAGGCGCAGCGCAGGTCATGTTCTGCAGCCAATGCACGCAGGGCCCGCCTAAAAAAGCCTGAAAGTTACAGCTGGAATTATAGCGTCCGGGACACTGCAATAGGCAGGCAAGGCACCAAACGGGCAGGCCACTAAAAAAATCCTATTTTTTTGTTAGTGGAGGTAAATACTAATACCCATCCGTTTGTCTTGCGGCCCTTTCTTTCTCTTTTTTCCTCCTCACACCATCCTGGTGAACAACAGTTTAACGTATACCCACGATATCTCGCCGTTGCCAAATGCATATAGCAAAGCCTGCCGTCCTTCGTACTTCTTTCTTCCGATACCAGATGCGTGTCGTGAACTTCTACGGTACCGAGCCTCACTTCGAATCACAGCCCCGCGCAGATCCGGAGCGCCGACGAGGATTTCCTTGAATATTACGATTCTCTGCACTTGTCCACAGCTTGATTTGGACGAGTGCTGCGTGGTGTAGCTGCCAGAGTATAACCGTGCCGTTCTTTACCCTCGAACCCATAGACTCCCACTTATACCGGCCGCCATGATAAGCCACGCACCTGCCGCGGTCAACACCGTCCGCGGCTTTCAGACTACACCTGCTACCTCGGGCGACGAGGACTCAGACCCTGGACACAGCGAGGTCCCTACCCCCCGACGAAAGACTGCCGGACGAACCGTCATCAACGATGTTGTAAGCGCCAACTGCAGCCCTATTATTCGAGCATCTTCTCCCGCTGTTTCGGGCATCGCAAAGCTGCGCATGCAGATGGAACCTCTTAGTCTGGACGGAGGATCCCCCTTATCCATGAGCCGTTCTGGAAGTCAGCAAGGCATCGCCCTGGATTTTCGAAAACATATGATCAGCCGCACACAGAGCCGAGAGGATGTTCGTAGTGAGGCTGGAAGCGAGATTTCAGACAGCTCTATTAGTTACGAAGTAAACCTCGAGCACGATTTCGCTAGTGAGAGTGTTCGGGAGCGCAATGGATATCTTGGAACCCTTGAAGGTGGCCTTGCGCCGAACCGTAAGATGGCGTCGGAGGACTTTGAACAGCTGCGATGCCTCGGCAAGGGTACATACGGTACCGTACTTCTAGTCAAGCAGCGTGCGACCGGAAGGCTCTATGCTCAAAAGCAGTTCAAGAAAGCATCCTTGGTGGTCCATAAGAAGCTCATTGAGCAGACCAAGACTGAGCGACAAATTCTCGAATCCGTCAACAGACACCCATTCGTTGTCAAGCTGTTCTACGCTTTCCAGGACCACGAGCAGCTGTACCTTATCCTCGAGTACGGACAGGGCGGCGAGCTCTTCACCCACCTTGACACCGAGAAGATGTTCTCCGAGACTGTAGCTGCTTTCTACATGGCGGAAATGCTCCTGGCCATTTCGCACTTGCACAACGATCTCGGTGTGGTATACCGCGACCTCAAGCCGGAGAACTGCCTCCTGGATGCCGAAGGCCATCTTCTCCTGACCGACTTCGGTCTCTCCAAGGTCTCTAGTGACCAGACCGAGGGCTGTAACTCGATGCTGGGAACCGTCGAGTACATGGCACCTGAAGTTGTGCTTGGGAAGAAATACGGAAAAGCGGTCGACTGGTGGTCCTTTGGAGCTCTTGGGTACGACCTGATGACTGGAAACCCGCCCTTCCGTGGCCAGAACCACGCCAAGATCCAGGACAACATTGTCAAGCAGAAGCTGGTGCTCCCTTACTTCTTGAGCGCTGATGCCAAAGATCTCCTCACCAGACTTCTTCGCAAGGATCCCAAGAAGCGCCTCGGAGCAGTGATGCCCAATGACCTCACGACCATGAAGAAGCACCGGTTCTTCCGCAAGATTGACTGGAAGAAGCTCGCGGACCGGGAGCTCGAGCCACCGATCCAGCCTATGATCACGGATCCTGAGCTGGCCGAGAACTTCGCCCCCGAGTTTACCGAGCTTGCCATCAGCCCGGTACTGCCCAACAAGGATGCATGGCCCCGAAGTCTCCCTAAGGATGAGCTCTTTGGTGGATTCAGCTTTGTGGCGTCTTCAAGCCTGTTGAACGAAGATCGGTTTGCGGCATATGCGCAGACATGATGATGACGGTTGAGAGCGAAGATGAGGAGTCGGATGAATGCGGTTGATTTTCAAGATTGCTGCGTACTGTTTTCGGGTTGTTTTTGCCTTTGAGTCATCACTACAAGAAGATCAAGCCATCCGTGACCATTAGACTTAGATGATATTGGTAGTGAACTTGTTGTATCGAATCCCATAAGGTTCATATCTCTTGATACCCGATTCCGAGTTCCGAGTGACCTTGCTCATACAGTAATACTTCTTCAGCCTGCCAAAAACGTGCAAAAGGCCGGACAAGCGACAACTAACGGGCTGGATAGACCAACGTCAGTCGGGGGCTTTGCGTTGCGATTGGCACCTGCATGTGCGTTTCGAGCTATAACGCGACTAGTGGTGTTGATGTTCGGAGTTGTAAAGCAGAAATAGAAGGTGTAGTAGAGGCGGTAAAATAGACACTCACATCAGCGGCAGGAATCACGGCATGCGGCACAATTGAGACACGTATTAGGGCTTTGATCAAATTGATGACTGGCCAGTCAACGGTGTTGAAGAATTGTTGAACGAATAACACAATCAGTTTGACTGCGAGCACAGTATCAAAGTTAATGTGAAAGATTATCATGAGATTGACCCAGTGACTTGGTTGCTCTCGCTTACTACATAGGACTAGCTTCATGGCGTAAACTATTTGATTGACTGTTGCATAACCTCAAACTCGAAAAGGAGGGCCGCGCAAGCATCCTATACCAAGCGTCAATATTTGCATGCCGATGAAGCCTTGGGAAGTAGCAGGAGAATGGAGATCAAGGTTAAATGTCTTGGCATCATTGATGTCTCTGCTTTGTGATGATTGAATAATCAAGCTAAAGCTCTTAGCTATCGGGATATTCTTAAATTTTTAAGGTTGATAAAACTACCGTGGTTCCATTGGCATGTTTTGAAGAATAAAAGGTGACGTACTCATTGAGGCTAATGAGGTATTCAGAGTTCCAGACCCCTGATGGTGTTGCAAACGAGAACAATGTTATTGGGCGGCCATAGGAAGAGTCGGTTAATGCAAAATTCAATCTAATCAAACACGATACGGTGAAGCCTATAGAGAAGGCTGTGGTTTCGGTGGTCTATGTGGGATAGCAGTGCTTTAAAGACAATACGGATACTCGTCTGTATCTTTAGTGGGATAATGCCCCAGTTCGGGTCGACAATTGCTCCGGACGAAGAAGCATAAATCGATCATTTACCCCATCGGGCAGTTACAGCCATGAATAAGAATCCCGACGTGGAGGCACCAAATCTACAGATGCTACCTAATAAACTGTCCTGCGGGGAGATCCTTGTAGTGGGCGGCCGCCTATTAACTCACTGTATCACATTCGTCCCTACTGTTAAAGAGTGAGCGCGTATTTGAACAAGATATTACTGAAACAGACGCCGTTTTTCGCCCACCTGCTCGGATACCGGCTGGGCTCGAGGCACACAATACATCTTGTTAACGGCTACAGTTTCAAAGTCATGATGCCTCGACTTGTCAAAGATGCTCTTCATCCAATCACTGTAGCGCCATGACTGTGCCCTGAAGCTCTCAAACGACCTCGTTACAAGCCTTCTCGGCACTGCGACCCGCTGTCCGTGGAATAGCAATATGTATGTAGATTTCTGCCGTGATCTAGACTGAGGCAGTGCGGGTGAAACCTTAAAATGCTTGTCTAATCTTGGCCCTTTGACATATCAAGGGCGGATCCGAGCACAAGCGAGCTTGATTGAGCTGACGACAGCGTCAAACAAGGCCTCTAATGACGGCACCTGAATTGTCATCTGCCGAGAGACCCTTGGTATGTAGAAAGAAAGGTAAACGTTAGTGGTACAACGCAAGCGTGGCTTTTGCTACGTGTAGCGAAAAAGCCAAGCATTTATTTACCCTATTTCAGTGAACCAGTGGAAAGCTCAGCCCGCAGAATGGAGCGTTTCGAAGCGGAAAGGAACGCCCCCCTGGTCACCATCTAGATCTGTGCTGCTTACTTTTCTATATGAGCTACCCATTGCCCCCTCCTGTAAGCATGCCAATCTCGACAGAAAATTTCCTCATTCGCAAATAAAGTCAAAGACTAGTCTAATAGCTTGACTTGTTTTATTCACATCAGAAAAAGAAACAATGAAGTGGTCAACTAGCTCACTGCTAGCGGCGCTGTGTAAGTCGACCTCTACCATATCAAGCATATTTATTTCTACTTTGAACTAACACAACCCTTTCAGGTGCTCCTAGCGCACTCGCCATAACATCTGAATTCTGTCCACAGAATGGCAAAGTCTGCTTCACCTGGGGCGTCCCAGAAGCCTCCGCCAGCTCAGGATCCGGCCCCATCTACTTCCAGCTCAAGGCACCAACAAGTATGTCATGGGCAGGTCTCGGTATCGGCGACCGAATGTCTGGTTCCCAGATGTTCATCATGTACCAGGACGGAAAGGGCAACGTCACTCTGAGCCCAAGACCAGGAACAGGCAATGTAATGCCCAGGTACTCGAAAATGGATGGACTCGAGCTGTTGGAAGGTTCGGGAGTCAAGGATAATGAGATGATTGCCAACGTTCGATGCAACGACTGCAAGAACTTGAACCTCAAGGGTTCTGACTTGTGGATCGCCGCCTGGCTGTCTGGCGACTCCCTGGCTTCGACAAGCCCCTCCGAAGCCATTTCTCAGCACGATGAACACGCTACCTTTGATGTCGACCTTGCCAAAGCCTCGATGAGCTCCGATAGCAACCCGTTCCTTTCCACCAACACAAATCAAGGCAGCTCCAGCTCTGGTGGCGCTGCGTCCGAGACATCCAGCCGCGGTGCAAGCAGCACGGTTAAGCTGGCTCACGGTATCATTATGTCTATTGTATTCATCGCTGGATACCCTCTGGGCGCCGTTCTCATGCCCATGCTTGGCAAGTGGATCATCCACGCCGGTTGGCAGGTCGTTATGTTGCTCCTGATGTGGGCTGGATTTGGACTTGGATATGTCTATGCCAGAGACGGAGGCTATGTAAGTTTGCCCTGAGATGCACTCGCACTCGCACAAAACGTTACCCAAGTATCAATACTAACAAATGTGTTACTCCAGTGGGGAAAGCAAGCTCACACCCGAATGGGTACTGCAGTTTGTGCTCTGATCACCCTTCAGCCCATCCTTGGTTACATGCATCACCGATACTTCCTCAGCCATGGCGGGCGAGGCATCATTAGCCATGTTCATATCTGGTTTGGCAGAGCACTCATGATCATCGGTATCGTAAACGGTGGCCTGGGTCTGCAGCTCGCAAACTCATCTAAGGCATATATCATTGCGTACTCAGTCATTGCTGGTCTTGCTGCCGTGCTCTACCTCGGTGCTGCCATTGTTGGCGAGAGGCGACGATCGGCTTCTCGTGTTAAGCAGATTTCACCTCAGATGTCTCAGGAGGAGGCACGATAATTTGGTTCGGCCGGAGTTGAAAGTGGCAGAAGCTGTTGTGCTTTCAAGGTGTTTCGGAGCTCGTAACTTGTGATACCAAGGATCTTTGGGCCACTGGGCTTGAATCCTATAAGTTGAAAGAGGCTATTGTTTATTAGCCCATTCTTTGTTTGTTTCTTCTTCTTATCTTACTATAGAGTTAGCAGATGTGCATAATTGTATTGACCGACTAAATATTATATATAATGCTGGGCACCTGTTTTGTTTGGTTACATTGTCGTCATACGCACTACATATGCATGCATGAACCCTAGTTTTGAAGAACAAAACGGTCGCATAGCCTAATTGGGCATAATGAGAGATATTGAAATCGATGTAAAGAGAATAGTAAAAAAGCCAAAAACACCCTTAAACTCATGCGTCAGAAGCAGGTCATATAGCAATGATGCGTGTAAGTGAGCTTTGACGTCGTTGATCAAGTCCCGAGTGTCACGTTCGAGATGGGAGGGTCAAAACCAAGATCCGATTCTAACGTCAGCCAATCAACCATCGTACATGTCACGTGCATATCACCCGTGATGCTCCGGTAGCCGCTGAGAAGCACTAAAACCTGAGGCATCAACACGCACGATAGCAAGGCCGAAGCGCTCTAACCGGGGGCGAGGAAGCATCCAATAGTGCTTGCCAACCTCTCACGAATTTTCCCCCAAAACCCTCAATCCGCCCATCTCCATCTCCCCGGAGTCACCCCAATTGAGCCTCTACCAGCCATTCAAAATGCTCATCCAACTCTCTAGGGCTACGGTAAGAACTGCACATCATTTATCAATATTTGTTATTGAAGTTCAGGACTGATAAATTTGTAGCGCGCTCGCTCCGCCGTTGCGGCTGTTTCTCGTGTCGCCAGACCCAATGCCGTCCAGGTGAGGGGCTTCATTGCTCCTACCGTCTCCAGGAAAGGTAAGATCTTGCTATTATTGCTGTCTGCACTTTGAAAAAATCTCCTCCGACGTCGCGATTCGGTCTCTTCGATTGTCCAGTCTATTTTCTTCCGGTCGGATCTGTCCTATAGCCGAACCTGCGCTCCACCTAAGCTCCGACGTCGTCAAACATCATTCTGATGCGGTATGACATATGAAATACAAACGACCGAATCGTGGCTCTTCCGACATTCTCACCGAACTACGCCATGCAATCCGATTTATCAAAATGTGGCCTGACTGACTGATCAATGTTCAATTGCTGACATCATACTTCTTACAGCCGACTTCGTCCAGGAGCTTTACCTCAAGGAGCTCAAGGCTTACAAGATCCCCGCCGTCAAGGAGTCCGATGCCGAGGGCAACGTCCAGACCTTCAGCGTTCCCAAGACCCCCACTTCCCCCGAGGAGACCGACCTTGCCGGCAACCTGAAGGAGTACGAGAGCATGGCTGTTGAGATCGAAGGTCAAGACGCCTCCGCCCAGACTGCCGGTGCCCCCAAGGTTGCTGACTGGCTTGAGGCCGAGGAGGACGAGGAGCCTCACCACTAAGCGGTCTTTTCTTTTAAACTCTCCGTTACCATTTGAGGGTGGCTCATAAAACTATCCGTACCGCAGCAACATTTTGAGGGTGTCTCATTTCTCACCGCTCAGCTGCCGTCACTCGGGGATAGAAAAAGAGGGAGGGCTGATACCAAACTCAGTCCGGGGATGAAGAGCCGGGATGCGACCAGGAAGGAGCTGAAGCAAGTGGATTGGGGACGAGAATCCTGTGTACATTTTTCCTAAAATACAGCCTTCGGTTGCCTGTAGGAACTAATTGCGAAATGCCAACGTTAAATGAAGCTCAAGCAATCTTTTACTATTAATGACTGTCCATTACATTGATATGATGTGTTGCAGAATTGTGAATACATCAAGGAGGTTTTTTCTCTTTCGAACGTGTTACCAAACCGCCAGTAATTCCTGTACAATCGAAATCATGTATCGTAGATATATCACAGGCAGGCCTTCCTCCATCTACTGATCATCGCGATAGTCACGGTCAACGTTGCCCAAGCTTTCTGACATCAGTGGTATGCAGAGCCTCAAGCGTCTCTAGGCTCATGTGTCAATGACACCTATGCTTCGAGCTCTGCTACATTGCACCAACTTGAGCTGTCGACGTCAGGTGGCAACCAACGTCATTGACAAACCACAAAGGAGGGACGGAAGGCTGCATATGAAGCCAACGATAGTCTACTATATCTAACACGGACAAGCTCAGAATAAACTCAGGAGTGAACAACATAGTTCCATTCTGGGATAGAGAAGTGGTAGTTAGCTGCTGAGCTGGTATCAAGTTTGTATGTGTGAGAATATCAGACTTTGGAAATCGGGAAAAGACACCAAGTATATGCGAGAATAAGGTTGCTCCTTTGAACTTTTATCTTCATGACTTAGCTAGAAAACGAGAGACGAAGTCAGTATCAGACTTTAAAAATCGTATACAACCACCAAATTCTGGAATAAATTACGATCAAGCATATATGTGCATGTTGTCTTATGGCATTCTCATTTCATTACTGCATATGGCCCGTCCTGTTATTGCTGGGAATCAAACTAATGGAAAAGGCATTCAAAGAAGGAATCGTCCAAAAATGACCTTATCCCTTCTTTTCTCGTTCTCTCTCATCCCCCATTTTCTCTCATTTTACACAACCATAACGCCGTCAACCAGTCCTGTACAACACGACGACCAATGCAATGCAATACCAGCCGACCTTGATGCATATAATTCCACAATTAGACATCCATAGCCCACATGCAAAAATAAGGAAAGGGGCAAAGTTTGGGTTTCGCGAAAATATTACTTTTTTGTTAAGACACGTAGAGATAGATGGATCTCCAGCATGGTTGAAACGCCGTGGAGTTTGACTTGAATAAAACGTGCAAGAAACAATTTGCCGCATTATACGTCAAAATGAGAACCCCCCACCATGTGCTCGTCGTGCCCAGTCTTCACGACCCCACTCATCCGGTTTGCCTTCCTGAGGTCAATGTCGTCAAGATTATCCCAATCGTCGTTATCGCGGTGTCTGCGGCCATGACCGTTTCCATCATCCATATCTTCGTCAACAAGCCCTGCTCGATCTCGCATGTGGTCGTCAAGTGCACTCTCATCAACAAATGTGAAGCCCTGGAAGTTGGCTTGGACAGATGGAGATAGAGGTGTTGAGGCGGCGTAGCCCCGCGCCAACGCAGCAGCACGCTCGTTTAAAGAGCCATTCTGATCCAGAGCAGTCGTGAACTCTGGATCGAAATATGAGACATCTGTCTCGGACTTCAATTTGGGCTTGAAAGGAGGAGTGATGAGCTTCTTGGTAAGTAATGTCCAGTCCACGTCAGCAAAGAAGGGGTGTCTCTTCAACTCCTCGGCATCATCAGTTGCACCCAATCTGTGCTTGGGGTTTCGGTTAAGGAGTCCCTTGACAAAGTTCCTTCCTTCCTGAGAGAGGGTGTCCCGTGGGAACCTCACCTTACCGAAAGCAATATTCTTATACATCTGCTGTGTATCTTCGGCATAGAATGGGCTCCAGCCGCAACACATCTCGAATACCAAGACACCGAGCGACCAGAAATCCACCATCTTGGTGTAGCCAGATTCATCCAGCAAAACTTCGGGTGCAAGATATTCGGTAGTTCCACAGAATGTGTTGGTTGTGTCGTTCTTCGTAAGGTTGGCCTTGGAGAGACCAAAGTCGCACAAGGCGATATGACCATTTGCGTCCAAAAGGATGTTCTCGGGCTTCAAATCTCGGTACACAATATCGTTATTGTGAAGGTGCTGAATGGCCAAGATCAACTCGGCGATGTAAAACTTGGCTCGCTTCTCATCGAACCGACCCTCCTTCTGCAAATGCCAGAAAAGTTCACCTCCAGACATGTAGTCGGTGACCAGGTACAGTTCGGATGGTGTTTGGAAAGAGAATTTGAGACCGACGATGAAAGGTGAGTCGGACATGGCTGTGCGGACCAGGATATTTCGCTCGCCCACAGTGTGCGCGACCTCCTTCTTCTGTACAATGACCTTCTTCTGCAGAACCTTCATGGCATAGATGCGCTGAGTATCCTTCTTTCGCACTTGGTACACCTGACCAAAGGTGCCCTTGCCAATAAGCTTAAGGATGTCGAAATCCTGTGGGCCAAACTGCTTCTTCTCAGCCCTGTGGTAGATGGCCTCGAGGAAGATTTCGCCGGTCGGCGCCTTCTCAGCCATAGTATCAGCATGACCCTGAAGCTGGAACCAACCCTCGACAGTAGTACCAGGATCTTTGCTGGCCCGGAAGTCAACATGACCGAGAAACTCATCTCCTGATGCCCCATGATCATATACTGAGACATCAACAAGCATATCATAGTCTACCACGTCGCTGTTTGGTGTGAGTAATGGATCTCATGTAAAAAAAAAACTGACAAAAAGTGACTTACAACTCTGCTTCCGCATCCCACTTTGGGTTGGTGAAGGATAGCTGCCCAGACCGGGTGCGGACTGAGCCACCGTGATCATGAATACTGGTGTTACTGCTCTGTCTGCTTCTCATGGGAATGGCCAAGGGACGACCTGAATCACTTCCTGATCGTTGGATGGCGATGCCACCATGAGCGGGGGGTGGTTCGATGCTGAGGTTGTCTTCCTCATCAATGTGGTGGGGGCCGCCTGAGATGAGCTCACTACGTTGAAAAACAATAACAACATAAGGGTCCCGACTCTTCCTGAGTCCTCGGGCCTCATTGATCTTGATTGTTAGTTTACCCTTGGCAGCAGGTGCCTGGGCACCGCCAGAGCTCCTGGGAGTCTGGGCGCCGCTGACTTCAGCGCTATCGTGGCTGGTTCTCCCGGAGGAGGGGGCCCTCTCAGAGGCAGAAGGTCGTGCAGCCGACATTGCTCGAGTAGGAGTCGAGTTGCCGCTCTTAAACGTCATACGAGTTAGCTCCTTGAGTCCATTAAGAATATTCCACTTGCCGGGGGCAGCAACTTCAGAATTGTCTGAACTTGCAGCACCAGGTTCGGGGTGCGAGGGCTGAATGGAGTCTTTGGTATGTGCTGCGTTTATGGAGGAGTCAAGTTCAGGTAGTGATGGGTCATCAGAAGTTTGAAAGTGGGTGGTGGTGAAGGGCGAGGCTGTGGGTTTCTTGGATTGTGCCTGCTGTGTAAGAGACTTAGGCTCGACAGCAGCCCTGCCATGGGCCCCTGAGTCGGCAGAAATCATGTCCTGGGAGATAGAACCCCCCGAAGACGAGGGCTGAGATGTGGGTGGGGTTGGGTAGGGGTTTGAAAGGTTATGCTCATCGCGCTGCGTGGTACTTGGCATGCGATCAAGGCTCTCATGTTGAAGAGGCGAACGATCAAAAGCCGAAGAGTCACAGCCGCGAGTAGAGCCCTCAGGGTGTACCTGCAACTGCAGGTCGGTAGGTGGAGCGGTTTGAACTAGAATCCCGTCTAGAGTGGTACCGCTCTGAGACGAATTGGGATCTGACGAAGGCGCAGAAGGATAATTACGAACCTGGCCAAAGTAACTCATGATACTGGGCAAGCGTTTGTCCTGTAGATCGGGTTGAGGAGTAGCTACGCCGGATCGAGGAGTATCAACACCGATGTGATCGACATTATCCTCGTCTGCCGCAGTCCTGACGTTTTGGTTAATAACCCCATTCATTTTTGTAAGAGATTTCCAGTGAGTGAATAAATCCTTCTACACCGAAGCAACTGCGCGGGGGGAAAACAAAGTGGGAACACTAGTTCATGACGGCTGCCAAGCGCGTCAACTAGAGGGTAAACAGGGCAAAGACCGAAAAGGACCACCAAGGACAACAAGCAATAGCGGTCGAGGTGGACTCTGGCAATGCGACTATGACGAGAAAAACACGGAATGGCGAGATATCATTTGGAGCTCGATGTACAGAGCAGCCAGTGGTGTGTTCGCGAAAGTGTGGATGCGAACGAAACGCCAGGACCAGCACCAGTGAGCGAGTAATACGCAGTATAGATTGGGATGGGAGCCAGTTTTTGCCGAGAGCGGTCGTGTAAGACGAAGCGTCAAGGGACCAAGTGGAGGCTCGAAACTTGCATGTAAAGGGAAAAGAAGACGATGACGAGATCAATTCTTTTACTGCCGGGAGTGAAAAACTCGTTCGCTCAGTGGCCGGGGTAGGCTTGTTCAAAAAGGCCTTCTCTTGCGAGTTACCAGAACTTTTGCCTGAATTTTTTGGCCTAGGCAAGGAGCAAAACGTGGAAAACTGAAGCTGATAGCGGGGCCAGAACGCAGGGACTGACTCTGAAGCTGGGCAGCCGTTGATTGTGCCCAATCAGAGTTGGGGCGAGTCAGGCCTAAGCTTGCAACAACACAAAGGACGAGCTGTCTCTTGCATGTGGAATTGTGAATGTAATGCCATGATTGACTGCCGGTTTGGTTGTTGGTCTGTTCATGTTGTAACAGGCCCTGCAGGAGGATCTTTAGGGGCCCCGAAGATGAATTCGAGACGACGGCGGCCGATTACTCGGTTCCATTGCAACGGCAAAGTCGAAAGGACGGCATCGCCTTGATTGGTATCTGGGCTGCTTGTGTTGCCTTATGCGTTCGTTGTGTTGTAATAGATACGTCTTGTTCTCTGGTGCTGATAATGCAAGGATCGAATCTCATGTTTTCCATTTTTGTCAGGTTCTGACAGCGATCCCAGAGCAAAGGCTCGCTGGTTATGGGGAATGCATGCTCTCTTCCTGCCAAGTCGTCGACACCTCATCGTCCTGACCTGCAGTTACAGGGCAGCCGTCCACTGGATAGAGCCCAACAGCGCCTAAAAGTGGAATACAGGCTTGTCTAAGCACCTGTAGAGGCGCCGGAAGCGGTTCCATTTTCATGTGCGGTGAGGTGGGTTCTTTCAGTAGGCGGTGTCGTTGGTAGACCAGGGACTGGACAGCTCTAGCCGGAAGAGGACTTTGACTTGGCTTCGCTGAAGTTGAGATGCTGCAATCGTCCTATCGCCACCGCCGCCGCTCGTCCTTGGTGAGGGGCATCCAATTCCAGCAGCGCAGTGCAGCGCAAACAAGCACTGGACACTGCTGGGATCTGTGGAGTGTCGATTTGAAATACACCAAAATACAGGATGCAGAAAATAATAATAATAAAAAAAGCACCAAATTTGAACGCAAAACTTCAACAAGACAGAGAGAAAGCATTCACTAACCTAGACATCATTGCTTGAGTTGCTCTTCGTAACAGGTCAAAACCTCCTCCTGCATTCGAAGTCTCAGTGCCTGTCATGGCGGCGATTGCGAGGAGCTTTATTAAAGCTACCGCGGCTTAAAACAGGGCCGAATTGTCGGGGCGGAGGAAGAGAGGGGCGAAGAAGCGGGTATATTGCGTGAGATGAATCGTATAACGTAGTCGATTGGGCGTCGCTGGCCCAGGGATCGCTGTTCGGTTCGAGGACGGGACGAAGAGTGCGATAAGGGTCGATAACCAAACGAAGAAGAACAAGACGGAAGGTGAGAAAAGGATGATGGTTTATTGTTGGGAGAGAGGGGAAAAGATTTGAGATGGCGCGGGTCAGAAGAAGTGACGGGATGGAGATGATAATTACAGTAGATGTCTTTTTGGGGCAAGGTCAAGGTGAGTTGAGGTGGGCGTGCGTGGGCGGTAGACTATGGTCTGGCATGGCATGGCCTGGGGGCGTGTTTCCTTTGTACAGTGCGCCTATGTAGGTACGTGAGAAGTGAAAATTAAAGGCAACGTAAACGTAAACTTTGAACAAGATATGGCCAATTTCAAAGTCTTTTTTTACGAGACAGCTGTCTAGTCAAAAATCTATAGCAATAAACTGAATCTCAATAGAGTTGTAAAGGACAAATCAGGTGGGTAGGCAGTTGGGGTTATTGGTAAGGAAGGAACCACTTGTTATTGCTGGTACATGTGAGAGAGGCTCATCAACAAATAATTCATCAGATTAACTCACCTCAGCTTTTCAGGGATGTTCAACTTGAACGCAGTGCATGCTTACATCACTTTCTCCTATGGGATTCGGATCTGCCGCGCATATTGGTTTACAGACTTATGTTAGCCCGTCGTGTTGCAGGTATAGCCTCGTCGTCGATTCCGAGGTTAGAGATGTCGAGGTTTTCGGTATTCGGCTTTGTAAACAACATGGCTAGCTAATAAACTAGAGTTGGGACTTTTCAGTAATGGCGTTGAGAGCTGGCTCGGCGCCATCCGTCCAAGTCAAGTCAAGTCAAAGTCAAGTCTCAAACCTGATCCAACTCCAGCTCCAGCAAGGGACCCCTCTAACTACCTTGCAGAAGAATGACCCTGCCCCGCCTCTTGATAAAGTGATAACGGGTTTGAAGATACGTACAGATGCGTTTGCACGAGATGAGATAGGTTTAGACGAATTGAGAGTGGATGCGTTGAGAAATGTCCATGACATCACCGATACTGGATGCGAATTCATTATGAGTTGTTTGCAGTAACCCTGCTAATATTGACTCCCAAGTCCCAACAGAGAAGGACAGCTCAGAGAAGGACGATACACCGTACATTTTGTTTTGTTTTTGTCTTGGTTGCTTATAAAACAGCGGTGTCTATTTTCATGCGTATTGCAAGATGGGAAATAAAAAATGCCAGTCGGTTTTTGGGTTTTAACTGAATCATGATGAATGTACGTATCCAAACTACTTATTCGGAACCGACGCTTGAGACGTGCGTACCCACTGGCAGGCAGATTCAGATTACAACACAATTTACAACAAACACTCCACAGTGCGTATATCTTTTTGCTCGATTCAAGTGAGAATTAGACAGTGGATAGTCGACCCTTTTTTTTTTATTGTAATCAACAATCGCAATTCCCATCTCTGAAACGACCTGACTTTCAACTAATGGTGGGGGGGTTTTCTTTTTGGCGGGGTTTCAGTTTCAACCAGAGTTCTCTCTTGATTGCATTTGCATTGCATATTCCATGTCTTCCCCCAAAGTAATTTCATAACAAATAACCCATCTTGACCGACAAGTGCACATAAATACATGCTGGACTGGGTCGGATTAGTGATCGTATGGCCTAGCCACTAACTCCCTAACTTGCCATCGCCTATCTCGGCTCTTTATGGAGCTGGTGCTGTAAAAATAGGCAGGTATTCTTTAGCTGGTCTGGTATTTTAGTAATTAGTACTCAACCTGGCGTTAAACAAGATCTTGATATGTAGTATCGAGATTCCTTAGAAACAGGTATGATGAGGTAAAGGCAACGTTATCTAGTTTTGATCACAAGGCTTCCTGCAACAGGATAGGATTGTCTAGAATACTTTCAACTCAGAAAGTATAAGCGAATTTGTCTCAACCCCGCCACATCAAATGCTTCAGCAACAGGATTCTACAGCACCAGCTGATCAGCAAAATGCGATACGTATGAATGTCTATCTCATGATAGGCTATCGACTGCCTTTCACCCGCAACATACCAAGAACTCTCTTGTCACGCATAAGCTTGTGGTTTCTTTCGGTTCGGGGCGACTGCCATGTGCTTCCAGCCGTCTTATGGCATGCAGGATTGGTCCTTTTCTTTGCCAATACTCATCAACTCTAAGTTGTTGCCACAAACATTGTTCCTCCTGGTTCTCTGCTACTTACTCATCTTACCAGCCTCGCTGCATCAAACTCGACACCAACCATTGGTCACAAGCTCAAAGACCCTTGGAGTCCAGTAGTTTTGCTCCGCATCTTTGGTGAATCGTCAATACGGATACGGGTTCGTTGTCAGCCTTTGTATTCGTTTGTACCGTAGTTGTGTATAGAAGGTTACGCATTGTCGTTATCCCTGTGGCCGGAGTAAAGTAAGCGACTGCACCATGCGTATTGCCACTATCTACGACAAGGATAATTTGTAGTTGTGTCCAGCACTACCTACTCGAGTCATCTGAATACAGTACTAGGTCTTGGCCATGCTGTACCTAGCCCACCTTGCATAGACAGTTTCGACAATGGTTTTAGTCGCGATGTCTGTCTGGGCGGTCTGTATACTTTAGTTACGGTGACAGGATCAACAGTCACCGTCGGCATGTCCGCATAATACTGATCTGTCATGTCTATTCATCTGTCCGATATCCAACACTGCTACTTTCACATGTTGGCCCTTATCTGACTATGACGAATACTTTACACACCTCTAATAGGCCATTATACATGTAGACCACGCATCACAAGTCTGGTCCTAGTGCGATGAATGATCGACTTACAGCCTCTGCTGCAACCTTCCCATGTGGTTGCTGTGTAGCAGCTGGTTGCCCAATTGGGCAATACCCCGATTGTGATATCCCGAAATTGGATACATCAACTTGCTAGTCGCGGCGGTATAGGGATACAGTGGCATTTGATCTTTGGTGGTCTGGTGAAACATGCCAGGGGTCAGCAAAGAGACATGCCTGTGCCCAATAGCTGAAATGCATGGCGTCTCATGGTTGAGCTTTTCTCTCTTGTCAGCTTATTATATCAAGGCTGAGCCGCCCTAGATGTATGCAAGGCATCTACAGATCATATAAGAGAATTCTTATAGGGGTGATGAAGTAATGAACAGGTGCAAAGCATCTAGGCCGCATTTGTTTGTGCGACTAATATCGTGCCAGACGGAGACAGGAACCTGGAAATAATTTGTGTAGCTAGTATACCCATGACATCAAAGCTATACAAGACTCAGAAATTGGTGTGACGGAACCTGCAAAAGGGGCTTATCGTCTCGTTTGCTAAGAAGGACACGGATCCAACTACGTTGTATTTGCTGCTGTTTGACAGGCCCAGCCATGGATATATATGTCTTGGTGGAAGGGAGATTTAACTTGATATTGAAGTCCTCCAATAGGATAGCTAAGTTGCACCATATCAATAGGGTCTCCTAAAGCATGGTGTAGCAACAAGCCGGCCAACTTCACATCACGTAATCCACCTGTTGTGTGAATATTAAAAAGGCTTTATTATCATTAAACGTTTGTAGCAGTGTATATAAAGTGTTTCCGAGCACGAAGGCAACGGGTTCCTCTGGCTTGCAACTGGCCGTAAAGTTCACTACTCTCGGGCCTTCGTCGATGATTCCGTATTCTTCATCAGAGCTCAAGCTCGCTTCTTAGACTCTTCAATCATCTGGCACCATCTCGCTTCCATCTCAGAGGTCACTCCTTGAGGGCATCTTTGAAGTTGGGGTCGAGACGTGAGCGGGTCTGGATAGTTCACTAAAGATCTTGTCAATAATCAACCATGACACTAGGGGGGTTTTCTATGGGAAGAACATACAGATACTGACATTTTGGTCAGTTAACTTTGCACGAGCCATCTCGCCCTCGTCCATGACCCTTTTCATATATGTGTTGGCAGTGCGTTCGGTCATTTCGTGTTGTTGTGTAGACAATGAACGTGGTCCTCCGGCCATTGAATCTGAAGGAGCGTAATGCGACTTGTATATAGAAAGACGGGCTGCTTTACTGAAGTCGAGAAATACTGAGAGTTCTCCAAATATTATCGTGATTAGATGAAATTTGAAAGGTGGTTACAAGGCAAGAACTTGTTTTCTTTGGCGGTATTGCATCTTACGTAGTAGGCATTAAATGCTGGGCTGAATGCTTGAATTAGATAGTGGCTTGGATCCGGATTCCAGTCCACAGTCCAGCGTGGCTGCCCCACCAAATGACAAGCCACCCCGCAATATTCCATGGATTTCAAGCTCTGAGTAGGGACATTGACTTAATAAGTAAAAGGATAGAACAAAAGTTCTCCAGAGGACATGTTCTCGATAGACGTCTGTCATATAATCTAGACTAGATTGTACACTCAAAATAAATTTCTTTACTCTTCTAGACACTCACGGTGCTGACAATTTCATCAGCAGCACACCTCAAACAAGTACTAATCTTACGTCGTGAGTTCCATTCTTAGCCAACTCAGCTCTCCTCTCAATGAAAGCCTTAGTTAGCTCTCCCGAGGGCCCAGCCAAAAACCCACCAACACCACCACCCTGAGCCTGTCTTGCCCTGTTCCTTTTCTCTTTCAAATAAAGGTACTAAACCTCCAATAGTTGACTTGACCTCGCCCCATGCCCGACTTCACGATATCCAACAAAACTGTCAAACATCATTTCCCACGACGAAGACGACGACGTTGACATACAACCCGAACCGCCATCACCAAGTGAAAAGATATTCATCATGAGCAAGAAATCGACACTTGTCCCTGACGCCTGGGAGGATGATTGGGAGGCTCAAGCAGACAAGATGGTCAAGGAGCCTGAACAAACTGTCCCTCAAGTACCTCTGTCCAAGGCAGAACGCTTAGCACAGCATGCTGAGCAAAATCGCAAGCTTTGGGAGTCTGCGTAAGCCCTCTTACTTTGGCACTACCCAAGTGTTTCGCTAATATTGGGAATTTCTGCATGACAGCGATGCTCCGCCAACTTTTAACTACTATGAGGCTAACACCTCAGGTGTCTCTCTCACAACTCCGTTCAAACCACAGGTCAAAGTGCTTAGCCGGAAACCTGTCATTGCTAAGCGCAATGCTGCTGCAGGCATGTCCGGACTCTCACTCGACGATGATAATGAGCCAAAGAAGGAGGTACCATTGACCCCGGAGGAAATCCGAGCGAAACAAAAGCGCGACAGGGAGGAGAAGCAAAGACGATACGAAGAAGCCAGAGCCAAGATCTTTGGAGAATCGAACCCATCTTCAGGAGCCTCCTCACCCGGCACAGTTACCCCGCCGAAAGCCGATGGCTACACTGGTCGCGGCCGTGGCAGAGGACGGGGTGGTTACAGAAACAACGAGACCCGTCAATTCGATACCCGCCAACCCGATAACCGTGGCTTTGATGCTCCGCGTAGAATGCAGAATATGTCGGGCTCGGGCCGCGAGTTGTTCGACCCGAATCACTCACCAAAGCCCGAGCAAGTATCACAAAAACGGCAGCCGGAATTTTCGTCGCCCGGAAGAAGCGCAACTCCCCGCGATGGGCAGCAGCAAATGCAACCACAGGCACCAATCCGAGCACCTAAGGGGCCGGATGGAACTGGCAGAGGAGGTTTCGGCTTTTCACAACGAGGTGGTAAGGGCAGTTGATTATTTCTATCGACAAGCTTTACCTACCATCCGCCTCCAATCTTTCCAGCCAGTTGTACCACTGTCTCGTCTGTGGTTGCCTCCTTCCCAACGTCGCTAATAACCTCGCGATATGTTGTAAATGCAAGTCTATCTAGTCCAATATTTGTGATCTCCGCCCAATGCGCCAGGGTATCATGTATGTACGAATGAGAAATACCACCAACAGCTCCTTCAGATCCATTGACGATAGCTTCGGTGGCGCCTGCTTCCTCTCCGGAGAAGTATGCCTCGTCGACTTCCGCAAGCCAGCTCTTTTGTTCCTGCGGACCTGGATTGCCAGAATAATTCTTTCTCTCCAACACAACAGGGTCGTCGACTTTGATTTGACCACCGCCGTTGGTGCAACCTCCGGGACAGGCCATAACTTCGACATAACTATATTCAAGAGAGGCTGCCTTACCTACCGGTCTTCGGGCGCTCCCAAACGGCTTGCCACCAGGCATTCGAGATGGCTTGGCAGGTTTTAATCTTCGAACGAGGTTTTGGATGTTTCTGAAACCATAGTACCGAGCGGCGCGAAAGACTGGTTCGCCGTTGACAACGATAGAGTACTCTGCTACATCGACATTACGACCACGGGCGTGCACAATCTCTGCTCCAGATGTTTGTGCCGCTCGGCTTTGGAGAATATGCCACAACAAACCGCCTGATGTACCAGCCTCGCGAGGTGGATTTCCAGGCAACCGCCGAGGGAAAAGAAAATCATGAAGTTTGGGATCGGGGAATGGGATGTTCTTGGACAGTGGTGTTTTGGGAATACTGAAGAAGTTCAGGCCTCTTGACTCGGCGAGCATGAGGATTTCTTTGCTCGTAATAACACAATCGACATCGCGGACACCTCGGCCCCGAATTTCTCCTTCGGCCCAGACCTCTTCTGTTAGCTCTTCTCGACTGGCTTCGAGCTTCTTGTCAAAGCAGGGCATGATAGCCAGGTGCCAGATGCGACTGGGCGAAATACCCAATGTCCGGCTCAGTGTCGTCTTGAGCAATGTGCCCATCAAAGCCTGTGGCGACTTGACCTTTGAAATATGTGGTAAAACGTGGGGATGAGTCTTCTCGGCGTAACAAACCCAGCCGGGGCAGGATGATGCGAGGATCGGTTTGGCTGGAGTCGCGGGTGTGGATTGTAAGGGGTTGAGGACTTCGTCTGCGCCTAGGACGAGGGTTGCTTCTCTCGCAGTGTTGGTATCAACCATCCATGTGAATTCGTTGTTGTGTTTGCCTCCACTTGCGACACCTTCAGGCCCGCGGAACAGGTTGTCGAGCATGTATCCGACCTGAGCCTCAGAGACACCTGCGCCGCATGCTGCAGCCAAGTTGGCTCTCGTTTGAGGGCTCACACTAGCAACGAAGAGCTTTGCATTCTCGTCCTCCAACCCTTCAACTCTGAACTTGCCGCTGTCGTCGGTCACCAGCCTCAGAGCCGGAGCCGAGTCGAGTGTTGTGAGAACTTCAGCATGGCTCTGGAGGCTCACTAGAACAGCCTCGGCGGATGTGACGCAGCCAGAACAGGCTAAGCAATCTGTGAGGGAAATCTGTGCGGGCGCATTTGGGTTTGCGGTAGGCTGTTGGCCATCAAGTATAACTTCGGTCTCGAGGGACTGCGATTGCGGGGGCGGGGCGGAGGGAAGAGTTTCGATGGGTTTGATACAAGCGACACCGGGAGAGATGAAGTCGTTAAGGTCGTCCGCAGATAGAATGGCACTCATGGCGCCGGTTGCTTCGTTGGGGAGTTTCGAAGGACGGGAAAAGAGGGACGAGGCCGCTGTTCAAGATGTCGAGTATGGAGAGTTCGTAGTTGTCGCAGTGCACCGTGGTTGAGTAATTGCCCCTCTAGAAATTTTAAATGGAGAATCTAGACGTTACTGGCTGACAAATAAACTTGTACAATATTCTGGGACAAAGGGTAAAGGTGCTTGTTATATCACGAAAGAGAAGGCACCAGTCTCAGACAAAAAGATAAGGATGTAATGATGTTTAACAAAGTATCCCAATCTTTGAACGGCTCACATGCGGTTCGGCTTGGTCTTGTATAACTAACTCCTCGGAGCGTCGGACACGGCGAAGACGGCGTATCAGACCGTGCTAAAGTAACAGATAGGCAATAAAGTCGTTATGATAGGGTCACTGACAAGCGAAATCGGCCCCTCGCTCTATGGTTCCAGAAGAAAGCGGCTCTTGTCAGTTTTTTTGGGTGGCAAGGCAATTCTGTCAGTCCAGGCTCAGTCAGGTCGGAAGTGGGGGTTATGGATGGAATGGCCGGATGCAGTACGTACCCTGCTTGACTTGGATTGGTGGTGACGTATAAGTCCATCTGCTTTGAGACGTCTTGACGTGGACAAGTTCCAGAGCTTCAACCACTACTTCTAACAGCTATCTACCCTTCCCTGCTACAGTTCTCTCTTTGCTTCAACTCATTTGATAATTGCCAATTGACACAATCACAACTTTGCTTGTCTGTATTTTTTAACAATGAGCGTATGTATTTGTTTCTAACCTCTCAATTCATCAACTGATTGATCGTCTTAGGCTATCGCATCGTACAGCTTTGGAAACTTTGCCTGGCTTGGAACCCAGGCACTGCCTCTTATCCTCTGGCCTTCCTTTGTTGGATCGCTTCTCCGATCTGAGAGTGATCCGTCTTCTCGTGAGTCGCCTACGAACGCTACTCATTGTCGCGACTAACACCAGCATAGCTCTCGAGACCTACTTTGGTCGATCGCTCGGTCTAGCCCTTCTTGCGCTGGGCCTTATGGTGGTTGTCCTTTCAGGCGCTCTCCCTCTCGATACTACTTCAAAGGGTAAATATCAACCAACTTCTCACTCGATATTCTTTTATCGCTAACACCGCGACAGAAGCTCCCGATGGCGCACCCTCTCCCTATGCCTCCGCCGCTGTCCTCGTATCCACCATTCACCACGTCTCGAGCGCATTCTACTGCTATGGTCGCTACGCCTGGACCGGCGAGACGGGTTTTCTACTTGGCTGCGCAGGAAGCACAATCTTTGCGACTTTTGGAATATACTGCGCTTTGTTTGCTGGCGACAAAGCTATGACGAGCCGGTATCACAAGTTTGACCAGAGCACAAGCGGATTCCCGTTCAAGAACTCACAGTCATATCGGGCCAAGAAGAAGGCTCTGTAGAGGAATTTCTATTGGAGATGTGTAGTGTAGTATAAGAATCGCAGAGTAATTATTAAATCATAGTTTCGTTTGGGGAATCTGTAATAAACCCGTGTTCCCAATTCCCATGATCAACTCCCCCAACTCCAACTCCATTTCCGTTCGTTTTATTTGATATTCAGTTTACAGTGGGCCAAAGATGGGGTTGACCAACAACCTCTATTCCTCGGTCACGGAAGCTGCTATCCCATTCGTTGCTATATCTTGGTCTTGGTATTCAGCACCGTTAGTCTTCTCTCCTTCGATGCTTTCGACACTTTCGATGGCTCCAGGCACTTGAACATCAACTGCCCCCGTCAGGATAGCCTGTCGTCGACCGTGCCAGTCGACTTCGCTCTTAATGGCTTGGTGTAGGAGCACTTCCTTCTCACGCCACTCCTGGAAGTAAATATTCTCCCACTCCTTGCATTCATTCATAAGTGACTCGCCGATCTCCTCAGCCCACTTGGCCTCCCAATGGCACTTTCGGTAGAGCTTGTCAACGGGGAGTTCGAGCTCATCGGGGGTAAATAGTTCGTCCGTCAGAGGTGTAAAATACTCGGCGTTGGCTTCGTCTCCGTTGATATCGTCCATGTCGTCGTGGCCGCCTTGCGAGTGCTGGTTGGTCTTCATAATGATCTTGATCTTGCCTCCCTTGCCCTGAGGTCCGGATTGCATTGACTTGGGGACTGGATCGGATGGGCGGAGAGCCTCTGTCTCGTGGACTGTTCGCATATGTTTGGCCAGCGCATCTGATCTTGTGAATGATCGATCGCACTCTGTTAGGGGTTAGCGACGTTATACAAGCATTTGCTGTTGGTGAACATACCAGGCAAATAACAGTAGAATGGCTTCTCTCTTGTATGGCTGCGCATGTGCGCCTTGAGGGCATAGCCGCTGGCGTGAGGCAGACCCTTTCTAGTGCAGCTCATCCATTCACATGTGTACTTCTTTTGTCTGTTTTCGATATGGGAGTTGTGAATGTGCTCAACCAACTTGTCCATGTTGCCCTGGTCGCCCGCTGGGCAACCATCCCAGTCGCATTTCGTCACTTGCTCTTGGAAATCCTCTTCATCGAGACGCGCATTGATAGGAGAACTTGGAATGTCTCCTGAAGTGTCAGACGAGACGTCGGACATGCCCTCGAGAGGGTCGGGCTCTGGTACGGCTTCTGGTTCAGCGTCGGGGATTACAGCAGATGATGTTGTTGATCCAGCTTCGAGTCGTTGGCGCTTGGAAGGTCGCAGTGTCGACTCGTCGTAGTCGTGAACACCATCGTCGTCTATTTCCGACTCGTAGGTTGATGAGAGCGGTGATTCAGGTGAAGTATCGCGTGCCATATTCGCGTCGTAGTGGATGCCGAGGCGCGTCTCCTTGGTCGTTAGGATCGGGGGGCGAGGGCGATTGTGGAAGTTTCTGAGTTGTTAAGGAGAAACAAGGGTTGAGGTAGGAAATGGCAAGTTGCTTGATGATAAGGATAGGTAAAGAGTTCCGAGAAGGAACTTAAAAGGATTGGCGATAAGTAAATGCTGAGCTGCCCGTTCCAGTGGGTAGCAGGAAAATTGGCCTCCTAAGTCTTAGGATACAAAAATAAGTAGTCTAAGAGCTATAGTATAAGGAGCATAAACTGACCTACTAATTTCGGTCGGTCTTCAAAAACGCCAATTAGAAGCTCAGCAACACAGTGCCGAAAGAGCGACACGATCCTCAGGGTATCAGGAAACTTGTTGCCGAAGCACAAGTAAGGAACGAAATCAGCGAGTCAGTATGCCACTCGGTAGCGAACTTCTAGGTCATTTAATCCTATACCTTTAAGCCCAAGGTAGAGTTTCTGAAAGACACGTTACTGAATTCCCGTTGTCGCATAGGTAAGTGCTCTGACACACAGTACATACAGGGACAGGCTCGGACTGCCAAGTAACAAAGCCAATGTGATATACTCTGGTCGGATAGGGAAATTAGTGAGTCAAATAATAAGAAAAGAAACCTCTACGATATCCTATTGGCAGTCACAGGCTTTTCCCATCATATGTCTTGTTAAACATCATCTTTTGCTTTATGCATTTGCATTTATCCCTTAATCAATAAACCCTAAAACTCCAGGCCTTGAACCTAATGTGCGAGCTATTGCAACAATATGAATCCCCAATCTCACCAAATTTTGTGTTCCTATACGTGCAGAAAAGATCACAGCTTCTCCGTAGGGCATACGCCAAGCTTAGGCACCATTTGAGTTGGCAAGCTTGCGGCGGTCTTTCACGGCCTGCGCAAGAGTATCGAGCGTGGAAATGGTGTCCTCCCAGCTGATACAAGCATCAGTGATGCTGACGCCGTACTTGAGTCCGGACTTGCCCTCGGCGGGAACCTTTTGGTTACCTGTTGACATGTTAGTTGATGCTCATTCTGTCACAGACACTTCTGTAACTTACCCTCGTTGATGTTGCTCTCAATCATAACTCCCATGATGCCATCCTCACCCTTAGAGATCTGGCCGGCAATATCAGCAGCAACCTTGGGCTGGTTCTTGTGGTCCTTGGAAGAGTTTCCGTGACTGCAGTCAATCATAACTCGCTGTCGCACACCCTTCTTCTGAAGCGCCTCCTTAGCAAGAGCAATGCTCTCAGCATCGAAGTTGGTGCCCTTGGAGCCACCTCTGAGGATAACGAAGCAATCGTTGTTGCCCTCAGTACCAACAATGGCGACAACACCAGGTTTGGTAACTGAAAGGAAATGATGAGGATGCTGGGCCGCACCAATGGCATCAATAGCGACGCCCAGGGAACCATCAGTGCCGTTCTTGAAGCCCACGGGGAAACTCAGACCACTGGCAAGTTCACGGTGGAGCTGGCTCTCAGTTGTACGGGCGCCAATGGCACCGACTGAGAGCAAATCAGCAAGGAACTGGGGGGAGATGGTATCCAGCATTTCGCTGGCAATAGGCATGCCCTTGGCAGTCAAATCAACAAAGAGCTGTCTAGAGATGCGCAGACCCTTGTTAATCTTGAAGCTGCCATCAATATCGGGATCATTGATCAAACCCTTCCAACCAACAGTTGTTCGCGGCTTCTCGAGGTAGGATCGCATAACAATAAGAAGCTCATCCTTGTGCTTCTCCTTCTCCTTCAAGAGGAGGTCGCAGTAGGCGAGGGCAGCCGCGGGGTCGTGGATAGAACATGGGCCAATAACAACGAGTAATCGGTTCTTCTCGTCGGTGCCATTAACAATAGCAACAGTTTCGTTACGGCCCTCGAGGACTGTCTTCTTGGATTCGGGGTTTTGGGAGATTTCGTGCTGGAGAAGGTCCGGGGGAGTCAAAGGGTTGTAACCACGGACTGGGAAAGCATTAGTTAGCAAATGCGTTGGACAGATGGATTGTGTAAGTCAACGCTTAGAGTATGTACTCACTTCTCCAATCTTCAGAGTCGGCTTGGTTGCCAACATTCTTGTTTGGGATAAAGAACTTGAATTATCGTGAGTCACTGTCCAAAAGCAAGGTTGAGAGAGCTTGGAGGGGTCGACTTACAGACGAAGACATTGTGACGATGATGGTGGGGGTGGAGAGGAAGGAGTTTCAATTGTGTAGATGCGTGTGAAGAACACAGGAGAAAGGGGTATCAAGGAGATGAGTGCAAAGATGGAGATGGAAAAAAAAAGAAGAAGAAAAAGAAGAAGAATCAAGATACAGTCGGAAAAATAAAGTATTTTAGCTGTCTCTTGCTTCCTTTCCCTTCCTTTCTATTTGCGCCGGCCTCGGGCTGCAAGACTCAAGAGAGTCACTACATGGTTGTGATTGTCTGTACACTAATTGGACAAATTGTTCTGGGTTCCACACACTTCTTCCGTTCTAGCAGCGAATCCCAAGAAAGGCAGGTACAAGTGTTGCCCGTGCAATCCCAGTGGATGATCAAGTACTACATAGAAGCTCCAGAATTTTAGCTTGACTCACTTCGAGCCAAAAAGATGAGAATGGCCACTACTTGCCACTTATTGTTAGCCACCAGCTACTGGCTTTGTGCACTAATTTAAGCCAGACGTTTAGTGATCGCCGTTTTTTAATTGTAGGGGCCTATTTCTTTGTTGAGATTGTGGTTGTGAATACCAGCGTCTACTACTAAGCACAAAGGTGAACAATACAATGCTACCCAAGCTTACCATCAAGCTTAACCTAGGTTCACCGAACTGTACCACTACCGATATAGTCTCTGTGCACACTGCAAGATGTATCAATCCAATTGGTTAAGCTTCATTCGTGGCTCATAGCGTTTGGATTGTTGTTGCAGTAGAAAGGGCAAACAGACAGACAGGACAATGCTCCACGCCCGTTAGCTGAAACGCCCTGACAGCAGCTAGGCAAACAGGACAAATGTTATCAAAAGATGTAAAAAGAAAATCCTGCGTATCGCAGGTGGCTGGAACTCTCCCGCCGGGAATTGAACCCGGGTCTCAAGCGTGACAAGCTTGCATACTGACCACTATACTACGGAAGATGATGGTTGTTAATCAACCATTGTAGCGGAGTTCGATGACTGCGGGTCTCGCTTTAGCTTCTATAAAGCCTAGCATCTTTGGATTTGAATTGTTATACTGATAATATACCTAAGCTGGTGTCGACGCTGGTTGAGTCGAGCTCTGCTTTCTGAGCACCTAGTCTAGTCCCTAAGATATATGCACACCCCCTGCAAATCGGTGGCCCAGCTATGTATTCCCCGTCTTGCTTGATACGATGTGTAAAAGACTTTATTATCGTGGGCTTCGTGGAACCTCTATTACAAGCTAATTTGTTGTAATCAGACTGTACTATAGAATATCAATGTTGACAATTTTGATGTCCTCTTCAGGCTTTTCCTTGTGCGTCCGCACATTCTCAATCTTATGGATGATATCAAAACCTTGTGTTGCACGACCAAAAATAGTGTGCTTTCCATCCAACCAAGGCTGTCAAGAGTTAGCAAATACGTCTTACAAAAATGCAAAGGATCACTTACTGTCTTTTCCGTTGTGATAAAGAACTGACTAGCATTGGTGTTGGGGCCTGCATTGGCCATGCTGACAGTGAATGGCTTGTCGTGCTTGAGACTGCTAAACTCATCCTCAAACTCACGCCCCCAGATACTCTCACCGCCAGTACCATCTCCAAGAGGGTCTCCTCCCTGAATCATAAATTTACGGATCACACGGTGGAAGATTGTGTTGTTGTAATAACCGTTCTTGGAATGTGTGACAAAGTTCTCAACAGTCTTTGGTGCTGCATCGGGGAATAGACGGATGTGGATGTCACCATAGGTCGTGCGAAGGATGGCACCCGTACCGGTTTCCGTCTTTTTGGCCTTTGCGTCCTTCTTGTGACCCAGCATCGTTGGCTTCTCGTTCTGGACATCTCGGGTCGACTTGGAGACCTCCTCTTCGTTTGTGAACATGTAGAATCGCACTTTGCCAACGCCAGTCGCGACTAGCATGGGGTCTCTAGATTCTGCTTCTTGCAGAAGAGGGTTAACGGAAGCACCCATTTCGACTGTCGTTATTCCCTTCTTCTGAGGCTGTCCTTGGTAGATGGCAATGTTGACAGCGCGGAAGTTTTCGTCCTTTCCATATACCTTGACCACTTGGTTGGTGTATGTGTTGAGGACTTTGATTCCTAACATAGAACCGTAGATGATAAAGTTACCCGACTCATCAAAGATGACATTCGTCTTGTACTTGAGCGTATCCGACTCGATATCCCTTTCGTGGGCAGCTCTGCGACCGAATTCGACATTATCCAATTTGGCAGCCCCCGTCCCTGAGCGGTGCATTTCTTCAGCAACCTGTAGAGACTCGTCGTACTCGCGATGTAACTTGGCTGTAGCGAAATCAAACATGCGAATCTTTCTATCGGGTAAAGAAAAGGTGACGAGACTCTTGCCGTTTGGTGAGATAGATAGACATGATGGGACTGATTTGGCCTTTTTGAAATCAAACAGATTTGTTGAACTCTTGTACTCGAAAACTCCCTCGGGCTTCTCGTAGTCTCCGCTTGGTCGCCAATATTCGAGCATGCCACCCTCATCCGCGGAAACCACACAGTCATACGCCTCATTGTAAGCCATCAAGTGTACAGGCTTTCGATGTAAGCCCTTGATCGTGTGGGTAGATTCTTCCTTTTCTCCTCGTCCATCGTAAATATGTATCAGCGGCTTTGATGCTTCGGAGACGGCCAAGAGCGGTAAGGAGGCGCCCTTGCTGTGGACCCAGCAAACACAGTTGGGGGCATAGTTAAGAGAGATCATAGCTAGCAGATCAAACGTGATCACATCAAAGATCTTGACCGTTTCGTCCACGCCAACAGTCGCAAAGCTTCGGCCATCCTTGCTCACTGAGACTGACTTGATCTCGCCATCGTGCGCCTTAAACTCTTTGACGAAATCAATGCCTTGCGCAATCTTTTTCCAAAACTTTACAACGCCGTCTATCGAGGATGTGATGAGAAATTCGGTCAGGGGAGTCCATGTCGCAAAGAGGATTTGCTCTTTGTGCATAAGAGACTTGGAGTATCGAGGAGACTTGGGCAGGGCGGCGACGTAGAGCTTTTCGTGTGGTAGGACTCGTCTTTTCTTCTTAGGAGCTTGGGAGGGTAGCTGGGGGCCCATATCATCATCAGAGGAGCTGTCTATAGTTATTGTTAGTATGTTCAAGAGGTACGCGATGGGGGCTATATTTCGTACCTGAAGCATTGTCGCGGAACTCGGAGTGATTGCGCTTCTGCGAGCGGTTGTCATCGTCTGACGCCATTTTAAGTTGTTGATCCGTTCAATTAGATTTGAATCGGGCGGTTGGAGATATTGCGACAAGTCGGTAGCTTTCAGAAGTGCATCATTTGTTTAATCTACAGTTTGCGACAGGATTAGATTGTTGTCTGGACAAATTCAGCCTCATGTGGCACGACCTTGAAATGTGGCGGTGCTGTGACCTACCTGGTAGCCATGTTAATAGAAGCTTCCTTCAACGGGTCTGAGATCCACATTGAGGTCATGGCATGAAGAGACGGGACGTGATCAACTCCGAGACTCCGGCTTGGACACGATTCCTTGTTCTTTTGCAGATGTCATGTGAATTGGAGTTTTCAAATATCCTGTCACCGTCTCATTTATTGTTAAAGTTGTGAAACAATCTGTTTGAGACCAAGAACAGTCTATGTCTGTATAATCTCACTAGATCTCGATCAACATGGCACCTCGTCACCCCCTCCAAAAGCTCACATCGCCCGCACGGGGTCTTTCGCTAGTCCTTCACCTTCTTGGTATAGCCTCATTCAGCTACAACTTCCAATTTCTCAGAGAATGGGATGTTCCTATGGCCAAAGCCTATGGATGGCACTTCCAATTCCTCACAATCATTGGCCTTTCAGCATCGTTGCTTGCCTTTGTTGCCGGGGCCCTGGCTGATCTCACACTGAGTCGAACTCTCTTCCAAGTAAAGAACTACGTTGCTGTTCTCGCTACGCCCATGGAAGTCGTCATTTCCATCCTGTACTGGGGAATTAAATTTATCGACCCCAAACTGCTCATGCCTACCGAATTTTATATCCATATCATCCCTGATGTTGGTTTCCATCTTGCGCCTGCAGTGTTCCTGACTTTGGACCTTCTTCTCTTCAGCCCTCCATGGACAGTTCCAGCTTATGCAGTTATGGCAATTGGCACTACCCTTGCGTTTGCTTATTGGTATTGGGTAGAGCTTTGCTTCAGCCACAACGGATGGTACGTTTATCCAATGTTTAGAATGCAGACATACAATGCTAACTTAAGCACCAGGTACCCTTACCCTCTGTTTGAGCTTCTGTCTACGAACCAACGGATTGCCTTGTTCACTTTTGCCGCTGTTCTGGTTACTGTGTCTTCGTCGGGCCTCAAGTGGTTGTATGGACGAGTTAATGGTTATCGGACTGCTCAGAGGGAAGCCCACAAGCCTCTTAAGAAGGTTCAGTGATTCATATATAGTCGAATAAGTAGTATATAACCACTGCGCCAGCGACCGGCAGTGTTCTGTAATGATGCGGCTGTGCTGTTTCAGTCTTTAAAAGTATAACTTAAGAGTGCAACAACCTTATCATTATGCCTTTAAAGATTGAAAGGCACCGCTCTTCATATAGAACGCTGCGTCTTTGGCGCAACAGACACAACAGTACACAACATGACTTTAGGGGGATCGCAGTTGAAGCTTGGCAATGCACATTCATAGTCTACCATAGAAAATGAGTAAAACTCGAGCATCAAGTAAAGGCACTCCAGAGATAAATATCCATTTACTTCACATATTAATATTCCTACCTGTTTCTCAAGTGTACCTAGGGTATGTAGCAGATGCTCAAAGGCACAAACGGTACAGTAAGTGTGAGTTGCCCCGCTCATAGGAATGGTGCCTCGAATCAGAGAAACCCCACTACAACTTCATCCAAATCAACGGCCAAGCTACACTGATATCACCATTCCACTACCAAATCCTTCAGCCTTTCTTCTGATAAACACTCAAATTTCAACATGATGGATATTGACGATATCCTCCGCCAAGTCGATCCCTCGTCACACGGCGTTCCTGGCGAGACACGCGACCTGCAGGCATTGACGCGTCTCTGGATCGCTGAGCGATCGGCCCCTGAGCTTCTAGAGTAGGTTTCTCACTATTATTCACAAATATGACTGTTTCTAATTATCTATAGATGGCCAACGGACGGTTTGTTCGAGCGTGTCAACGCACGCATCAAGTCCCAGATAGAAAAGGTCGAGGATATGACGGGTGACATGGACCCAAAGACCAACTTTGCCCTCATCGTTATTCAGACTGAGCTTGAGCGCTACAAGTTCCTCATGAGAAGTTTCCTGCGAGCCCGTATCGCAAAGGTGAGTTATCCGTTCACTCCGGGAAGCGTTACCGAACTAACCCTTCAGATTGATAAACACACATTGCACTACCTTTCAAGCCAAGAGCTTAGAGACAGATTGTCACCAACAGAAGTAGCCTACGCCACAAGACATCAAGCTCTTTTGCACAATCACTACCTCTCATCTTTCCTGGCATCTTTTCCCCAGCAACTACAGAATCTCAACGACACGGCAGGCAACATCAGCATGATTGATTCACCAGATTTGGACACGGCTGTTTTTATTCGCATGCTCAGAGACAAGGACGTTCACGGTAAGGGAACCGATGCTGATATCACCCTTCCTGCTACAAATGGTGACATCCTCATTATACGATGGTCCAGTGCAAAGCACATGGTTGATGTTGGGGACGCTGAACTTGTCTGAGGTGATAAATCCAACCAATGATGATCAAAGGCGGTCTACACTAATACCAAGTATCTACCAAATCACCTTTGATATTACCACCGTCCTCGTCACCGACGCAAATAAAGGCATCGGCTTTGACATAGCGAAGAAACCCGCTTGAGAACAAAGACTGCGTTGTCATTGCACTACCAAGGAAACACATCTTCCCCTCGAGTTTAGGATCTCAACGGTTCCTCCCTGGTTCTTGACATTACCTCGGATGGCAACATCGCCGCTGCAGTCGAAACCGGACCATGAGTTTGGTCATTGAGATGCTCTCAGCCCATTACGTGAGAAGTCCAACAGGAAGCAACGTGCTGTCTTTGTATCTGCTGCTATTGGCAGTTTGGCCTTGAAGGCTGATCCCGTATGCATGTCGCATACCTCAACTTCAGTGTCTACACGCATAGCAAGTCAGCTCTCAACATTGTCTCACTCCACTGCACTGCCAGATATGATAAAGACAACACAGTCGAGAAACCAGCATCACCTGTCCGGGACACAACCTAAGACAGCGTTGAATTACGATGCAGCTACGTTGGGGGCTGACAGAGAGACCGGTATGTAGAGGGATGATAAGAGAAGTACCCCATGGTGAAGGCTCGAGATATTTTTCAGCTCCCGACATGTCAATGTATTAACAGATGAAGCAACTGCAAGTTTTCCGAAATAAACGATCGTTAGATAAACTCTCTAAAATGGTATCCTCAATATTATGCCATGCTTCAAGTCCAAAATGCCTTGCAAGCAAAAAAAGAATTCAACCAGAACGCCCTTTCCAATACCACGCCATTTCTGGACTTATTGGCCAGTTGCCTTTCCTTCTTCATATCCCATCCGTTCCCCCATTCCTGATAGTGAAACTGTTTTGTTGTTTGCGAGATGGACTTGAGTCCGAAAAAAGCGGAGGCTTTCGATTGGATCGCAGGTGCGATTTGAATCTATGCCTCACTATGCGATGTGCCTGGTCGCCCTTCCAGAAGCGCCTGTTCACGTCGCATTTGCTGCCAACGGTATGGCAGAACGGCACTGCGGAGCCCAACAGAGTGCAGACGACGTTGCTCTGGCAAGCCGATAAAACCAGCGGAAGGCTGACGACGATGAAGCGTGTACGGTCGCCAATCACCACTGGCACTCTTGGGAGGCGAGTCAGTGGGTGAGTCTTCTTCATCAGGATCACAATGAGCCTTGAGGTCGATCTCAAGGGTCAAGGCTGTCGAGTACCTACGCCCAGGAAGGGTGTTGGTACGAGGCCTGGTTCGAGGTCGTGAAAGAGCGTCAGAGAAGTCAGAAACATCAAAGTTTCGAGGAGTCTCTTGCCCCTTTTCCTCATCTTCTTCTGTGTCAATGGCAAAGTCATCCTGAAGTGCCACCCTTTCCGGAGGTGCTGAGGCCACAGTCGGCAGGTAAGGGCGCTCATCAAACTTTGGGGCCCCAGCCTGGGTCTTTACTGATTCAGTCGATACGACCTGTACATCTCCGGTTACTGTAGGAGAAGGCTCAAGGGGAGTGTCTTCTGGGACAGTCTCGAGGAAGTGAGTAATCATCTCAGGGTGAGGTTCAGGAACTGTGTCTGCGGCCTGAGCCTTTTGATTTCCGATGTCCAGATCGTCTGTTTCGGCAGGAACCTGAGCCTTGGTTGGGGCAGAGAGAGGGAGAAATGAGTTCTCAACTTGTTCCGTACCAATTACTGGTTGAGCCTCCTGATCCTTGGTATCTCCCTGCACTGAAACTTCAGAATTGCTTGAGGCTGGTGCTCCTTCAAGCACCTGAGGGTTGTCAATCCGGGACAGTTCCTCAGTTTCCTTCGCATCAGGCGCCGGAAGTTCGAATGGAAATTCTGCGGGCTCCTCCCCCTCCTTCTGGTCACTGTGGTTGACCTCATCAGCCTGCGAGTGGATCGAAGGAGGTCTGGGGAAATAGGTCAGCACAGAAACATCAAGTGTCTTCTGTGCAGCATCGACGTCTGTAATATCCTGCTCCCCAGTGGCGACAACGTCAGCCTTAGGTGTCGGTACTTCAGAATCATTGGACAACTGCGTCTCTTGAGTCTCGATTTCCTCATGGATACTAGCTTCAGGAGTGCTTCCAAAGCTCGTCTCAGACTTCGAATTTGCCTCAACTTCGGTTGAGTACTGACGAGGCACATCTCTGGCCTCGTCCATCTCACACTGCTCATCTTGTGTAGTAGGAGCGTCCGTGACGTTCTTCTCGCTTGGAGTTTCCTCCACGGCCACATCAGCTCTCTGAAGCTCTGTTGTCACAGGAGCTACAGGTTGTGTTTCTTCTTGGGATGCGACAGCCTCGTTCTCCTCAGGCAGAGGGAGGTGGTCTACATTACCTGAAAGATCAGGCATGCAAGTATTGAGTGAGTGACGGACCGACTCCTTATCGGAGTTTTCGGTCGACTTGTCCTTGGTGAGCTGAATGGGCTCGTCGTCATCGGTGATGGGGCGGTGGAATTGCACCATTCCACTCGCAATGGCATCCATGTCAGATTGCTCTTGGTAGATGATTCTTCGCCCGTCGTCGACGATTCGAAGTCCCTCGTTGGACTGGTCATTGGTCGCCGACCGCGATGGGGTTGCGACGACACTGTCTCGAGGGCTTATGCTATCAGTATCTACCAGACTTGGAGTAGACGGGGGTTCGGACTGGTTTTCGTCGTCTGCCATGAAATCAGACATATATCCATGCCTCTTGGCCATCTCAACACCTGATGGAACGCGGCGCAAATCAGGTGACGGGGTCACTGGTGTTGAAGGAGGTTCAACAGAATCTCTCAAGTTTTGCAGCGCAACCTTCCTGGCACGTGCATTATCAGAATGGCTGCTAGCAAAGGATCCGTTGAAAGAAGACTCAGAGGCCTGGCGCAGAAGAGGAGAGGCAGTGAGTGAAGGTGTAGTGGGTGCTACAGATGAGCTAGCTGTCGACAAAGCTGGTCTGGTCGATGAAGCTGCCCCAAAGGGAGACGCGGTGCTTCCGCTTGCCTTGAACCGCAAGTTCGGTAGCGCTTCAGGACAGTCGATAGCACAGGTATCTCTGCAAAGCATTGTGATATCTGAACGAATACGCTCTTTCAAGTGAGCCTCCAGAGCCTTCCGCTCCAGGTCAGGGGTAGCAAACTTTTCGAAATGCGCGGTGTCATCGCCGCCAGCACCATCGAGAAACCCATCGAAGATGAGGTGGCCCCGCTTGTGGACAGTCATGGTAGCAAGAGCATCCTCGTGGTGTTCAAGCACATTGCTGATGCCTGTCTGAAGGCGCTCCATGACGGCTTCCATAGTTTGGCGACAGTATGTAATCGTTGGGTCGAGTCGAACAACGAGAGGCTCATGAACAGCCCAAGCTTTGCCACGCAACTCATGGACAGTAAGAACGAGGTCGTCCAGAGAGCGCATGGACTTGTCAGTCAGATCGCGAGCTTTCTCCAACTTTGCCTTGACTTGGTTTGCGAACTCGTCAAAGTCACGGCCGTTGTGATCATTGAAGAGGACCTTGCTAGTTTGAATGCGATGAGAGAAATAGGTATAATCAGGGCCAATGTGGTTTCGGACTTTGACCATAATGTCCACGGCTCCATCCTCGATGTGCGAGCAACCACCACTGCCTTCTAGTCCCGCACAAGACTTATGACGCTTGTCAAATTTGCGCTTCCAG